TATTTCCTTTATTTTCTGTAGTGGCGTTGTTAACTATAGTCTGATTGACATATACTTTACCTAAAATTCAACAGATATTAATATATTTTTTAATTAAAATACAAAAATTAATATCATTAATACACTTTTTTTTTAATAGAGGACTCATTGACTCAGGTGTTCACAAAAAAATATTTCAGGGGGAGGGGGTTAAGGTTGCACACTTTCATACTCTCTTAACAAAGAAGTTTACATACTTTCAATTATAAGATTCTTTATTTTTCTCTAAAAATTTCATTATTTCATTTTAACCTGTTACTAAATTTTAATTAAATATTGTTTTAGTGAATACAGCTTAAATGATAACATAATTCATATTATTGTGTGATAATACTAAATATGCAAAATCGCTGTTATAATTATCTAAAAGCAGGAAAACCACAAAAAATTATAAATGGCAATAATAACAATATATATCTTTCATCTAATAATAAAATTAAAATAAAACCAAAATTGTATTTATTTTTTTCATTAATATAAACCACTCATGAGACTCTTCTAAAAATCTACTTTCATTATAATTTTCATGAAGTTTTGAAGGAGGGGTTGAACCTCTAAATCCTCCCTTATACAAGCGCCTGCATTGACTATAGACTGATCTATATTTACTATATCTGATAATTACTTTATTAAGTATAGTATATTAATTAAAATCAAAAGAATATACAATTATATAACTTGAAACATATTGGGACAATAATTAATTTAAGATTTAAAAAATATAAATACTATTTACATTTTCTTTTTTTAGGGGAAATAAATTATTAATTATTGTCTCATTGACACCTGAAAAATCAATACATTATTATATTAAATTAATCGAAATTATAAAAGTATAACTTAAAATAAATTAAAGACTGTTCTTAAATAACCTAGTACAGTGTTTTTTTTTTGTCAGTTAACCACGGTCAGCATTAATAAACACTACAAGACATTGTAAAAACACTTCTAAGATAAATAATTTTTGAAATATGAATTAATTATAACAAATATAAATACCATCAATATTTCCTTTTTTTTTTTTATAAGACTTTCTCACTGTAGTCCGATTTTCATTTATTATACCTGAAAATCAATACATATTATTACAAGTTTAAAATTAATATTAATTTTAACTAGATAATGTCAACATTGAACATTACCAGACCCAATTAGAAAATTAACACATAAAATTAATATCTATAATTTTTGGAATAAACTGTTTATTACCAATTTGTGTTTCAAATGACTTCAACTTTTTCATTAAGAATTTGCATTCTTCTTGTACAATTATTAATTTTTCTTGAGTACATGATATTTCATCACAAATAGCAGCATTTTCCTTGTAATAATATGCAAAAACCATTATTATTTATTGAATAAGATTTGAAAAGAACACTTTAACAAATAACGCACAATATACTTACAAAAACGTTGTTTTTAATAATTTCATTTAATGCTTTACATTTTGTTTTGAAGTAATTATTTTCACTTAATAATAAACCGTTTTGTTTAGTAGATGATATAGCCATCATTACGATGTCAAATAACAGTGCTAATAAATTCAAAAACAACAATTTGAAATTTTAATAACAAAATAAATTCATACTTATTATCACCAATCCATGGATATATACTACCTAACGAAAATGGTAGACATTAAACAATACGATGATGAATTAACAGATAGTTGTGAGTTTTAAACACGGATTAAGATATATCTTAATTCGTATTTCGTAATTTTAAACGATTGAACGTTAATAATATTATTGTGAACTACTACAATGTTTGAATAATTAATTTCGAAAATTTAAACCTTACGATAATTAAATAAAAGTATCAACAATGAGATTATGCATTTATTATATTTATTTTATTAGGTGGGTTTTGATAAGACTGATAATACTTTGCACATGCGTAGAAGTAAAATGCCTACCTGATATGCTGGCGTCAAGTTGTATTGCTTATAGCTCTATCCATGTTCCATTGTATATGATCAAAGCATTATATACATACAAATCACTTCAATATTCAGCAGCTGCTGCAACTAGTGCCTAATAAGCAATATTATCGATATTGATTATTAGTCTAATAATATTAGTGATAGGCATTGGTAGAGAGATAATATATTTATTATATAGGCACTCTTGGCATAGGTACTCAATCGAATTATTTCGACAATTGAGTAATTAATAATCGATATATTTTCATAATATTGAGACACGGGCGTCTTCAGACCTTGACTATGGGGGGGGGCGAAATAATTAAATTTAATATGAATGATTGATAAGAAAAAAATACTTAAAATACTTTGCACAATGGTTGAACTACTGTTATAGATGAAAAGTTAGAAAGGTAGAATATTGAAGGAAATTTAAAGTGTATTTGTACCTACTAAAGCAAATTTAAACATTACCAACAAAAAACGATTCTGACTGGAGCTTAGCTACTAATTGGAGCGTCTTCGGGTAAATTCAATAAGCGGGTAGGGGGGGGCGAATTCTTTATACTCTTGAATAACACCGTTTAAGTCAACAAAAACTTAAAACCTTTATATCTTATGCCATTTCCACATACATTAGCTTAAGACTGCTGATATATTATACAAATGCAGTAAAACAGTACAATTTATAAGTAAAATTTATTTTTTTTCATATAAAATAAATAACAATTAAAATAATGATAATGTGAATAACAAAAATAATAATAATAATAATTAATAAAAGTTACTAAGATGACCAAGTTCAGAATACTCTTATTTAGAGCAGCGTTATACAACGATTTAATCAACAATATTTTCTATACTGTTTTCATTTCGATAAATATTTAAAAGCGATAAGCCAGTTGACCAGTGGCGTAGCCAGGATTTTGCAATGGAGGAGAGGTTGAAGTATGAATTATACTATTAGCTTTTTACAGTTTTAGATTTTGAATGGAGCGAGGAATGTATTGGTTTTACAATGATGTTAATTTATTTTTTTTCTGTAGGTACCTTTTCTACCAGCAATTCTGCTCAGATTTACTATAATAACACTTTTTCTAAAATGAAATTTGACTGGAAAGATACTTTAAAGAGGTCATTTTTGTGATTTTCTCAGGAGTTTTCCTAATAAATTGAAAAACTCGAGAAAAAACATGAGAAAAACGGTAAAATAGATACAGTATTAAACAAATAGTATTAAAGAAAATATATAGGTAAGTAATGTAAGTATATATAATTATTTTATCATAGCATATTATATATTGTTGATAAAGTAACACTATCAACCGAATTCCACTCAGAATCGTTTTTTCGTTAGCAATAGTTTATCGATCCTAACAAATATACATTAAATTTCCTTTCTAATACTTTCCCAACTTTTCATCTATAACATGGCTGCACCCTTTCTTATTATCCTAGGACAGCTTTTTTTTGTATGGGTTTTGCTCAATGCTTAGATATACTCTTATTAAAACAGTCGCATTTATGGATTCAAACACACGAATATATCAAATATCGTAATTAATATTGTTCATTCGTTACTTGTTACTTGTTAGAATAGTCATAAACTACAACCAGAAATTGTGGTGCAAACCAAAATCCATGGTTTTTAAAAAATCGTTATAAATGATAATAATAATTATAATATTGTGGCGGGTTTCGCAACACATTTCTTCTTCCCGCTGCGCGTCACTCGCGGCGGACGTCGGCCACTCCCCTCGCCGTCGGCGTTCAACAGTCATCGGCCACAGCTCCGCTTGACTCGACGTCTCGACCGCTCCGCTCGCTCTCTTCGCACCGACGCCGTTCGCGAAACATTGTTTTCCGACTCCGAATAATTATTATGTATGATTGATTTTTTCCACTAATGTTGTTTTAACTATTGCGTGCTCGTCTGTTCTGTCGTCAAAAGCCGTCAGCTGGCGAGCACTTGTATTATGTTTTTATGTCGTAAATAAACTTTCTTTTTTACTTTTTCATTAAACCTCGTGTCTTGATGTAACCCGCCAAAATATAATATTATAATAATCTATTAGGTCTCTGGAGGAGTTTTAGAAGTTTTTTGTTCACCTAATTTACTAATGATAACGTGTTCATGATAAAAATAAATGATAAATTCCTTTATCCGTACATGCATTTTCTAATAGTATGACCATGAAGATTAGAGATGTATCATTAATATGACAAAAAATATCATAATTTTTACAGCAGAATTAACGAAGTATACAATAATATGAATACATTTATTAGGTCAAAACATGTGAAAAAAAGCAATGGGAGGGGTTTTAAACACCCAAAACCCTCCTGATTACGCTACTGCAATTAGCCTATGCTCAACATTTTTTTTTACAAAGTACGACTTTTTATGAATCTCGTGCTAAATTCTCAAGCATTTCTGTTTGGTCTAATAATTTTATCCACAGAGTACCTACCAAATATAAATTACGTACAAAATTAAAATGTCTGTAAATTGCTTAAAAATTTTACCACATCAAAAAAAGGAAAAAATATAAGTTTTCTGTCCAAATTTCAAGTCTCTACGAATATTTTCAACTGAATGACAACAAACACAAAATTTAAAATAATAAAAGCGTTATTTTCGTAAATTTTCCCGTTTTTCTTACGTTTTATCCTGGGTTTTCCTGATATTAATGAAAACTGCTTGTTAAATCAAAACTGACCTTCCTAAAGTACCATTTAGGCAATATGACAATATTTTCTTTCAATAAAGGTGCTATACTCGCATACATATTAAAGCAAGATTTCCGGTAGAAATTTCTTTCACAGTATAAAAATAAAAAAACATCATTTAATTGGGAATAATGATAATACCTCTTAAATTTTGATACTTTTTCCAAAGAGCCACAAGATTGCATCTGCATGTTAAAGAGCCGCAGGTCTCGACCCCTGTGCTAGATAATAGTGTAAATAATAATAATAATAGTTTTCTTGTCTGTGACACACAAATTATCATCTATCTTACCAAGGTAACCACGAATCACGACTTAAGATATTATGTATCTTAAACTATGCCATAAATAAACAAAAATAAACAATTAGATAGGTAGGTACTATCGTAAAAAAATACCTAAAAACGCAATTTGGATGCACCACTGCACTATGTGCAGTTCCTATTAACTTTTTATAAATGCATTTTTTTTAGAACGTTATTTATAAAGGTACCTATTCTATAAAAATAATAATAATATTACGCTGTAAAGTGTACGCTTTACGCTATAGCTCTAGTTTATATTAAACCAAGTTATTACGATTATAATTAACATCAATCAAGGGAATACCGCATCACCGTGGAAACAGCAATACTATATACGAGCAAATAAACAATAATTTCTATATTATTATTACTGTTTTTAAATATTCTAAAAAACCAAAATTTATAACTTGTACAAATCATAAAACGAGTTTTAAATATTTAAAAAAAAATAGTTCAAAAGACAATGAGTAAATGTATAAATGAACCGGAATGTTTTGTAAATAAAGGCGAATTTGAAGTAAATCCATTATGTCTTGATGATTCCATACATGAATATTGTTCTGACAATATACAAACAGAAGACTGTATCACAGATCAATTAACGGTATGGAATGTGGAAAAATATAACGATTCGAAGTATGACACAAAGTGCCATGCAAATTTGAATGAATTAAACAAAAATGTAAACACACAAAAACAAAATGAAAATTTAAATAATGAACAATGCGCTTGTATCGAAGTGTGGGAGAAACTCAAACAAGTATTTGAACTGACCGACGAACAATTAAATGCAGCCGTTCCTTTGAAAAACACATTTCCCGGAGATATGTTTTATCGTATGCCAATCGATTTCAACGACGATGACTGCGGGGAGAATTTAGTCAATTTTCAATTAGACGGAGAATACTTATATAATTCTAATGATACTACGCAATTAGACGATTTGAATAATGATAATAACCTTAAAGCAATCGAAAAAGTTAGTATTACAAATAAAAAAGAAAATGAAGTAATAATCAACGAATCCAAAATACAATCTAATACATTAGCTGGTAAAAAAACTACGACTATTACTAATAGTAATGGGAACGATCAAAATAATAATAAAGCAATACTGCAAAATATAAACCATACGACTACGAAAACAAATAGTCCGACGAAAGATATCAAAGAAAATAAAAAGATTGATTTTAAGAATGATCAAATTGATAATGGAGACAAAAAAACAAATAATAAAACGGCGATTAAAAAACAAAACGTGAAGAAAATAGTCAAAGGCGGTTCATCTGGGAAACGAGTCAATAAAGCGTGTTGTTTGCCGGTTGAATCGGCGATCAAAAACGAAGAATCCGGATATAATCTTAAGTATATATACTCATACGGTGAGAAATATCGAGGTGGCATACAAAGTGGTCATAAGAACTGTGTAGATTTTTGGGTACCTATTCCGCGGTCCAAAGGATGGATATCAGAATCGTTTATAAACACCGTAAGTAACCTAAATTTATGTATTAGAGAGAAGAGCTTAATTTTGGTCAGTTTCTTTTAATATAAAATTGTCTAATGTAATTTTTGTTTTTTGATAAAAAGATAGGTATATGTATTTTCAAGGTTAATGGTGTATTTAGTATATAGGTCATTGATGTATTAGTATGAATCAACGTATTTAAGGGGGTATTTAAACCCCCCTCCAGAGAACTATTCGTTTTATTATTAGGTATATATATTATGTTGTGATAAAATAATTAGGTATCACAAAAATCTATGAAAAATCGATATTCCTAATCATTCATAAATGTTGATCAAAAAATGAACTATGAAACTTAAACTTAAACAATTGAATAATAATGTTTGTATTATACATATAACCAGTATACAGCAATCGATTCAATTTTTGTACATAGTAATATTTAATAATAATATAAATATAAAATTAAAATAATATGAGTATAATGTAAAAGAAAACAAAATAATTAGTAAAAAGACCAATAACACTTTACTATTATATTTCGTAGATTTTCCCGGTTTTCCTCCGTTTTTTCCCGTTTATTGAGAAAACTTCTAGGAAATTAAAAAAATGACCTCCCTAAAGTACTACCCTAGTCAGATTTTTTTCAGAAAAAATTTATAATTGTAAATCTGGGCAAAATTCTGGTAGAAAAGTTGTGCACAAAAAAAAATCCGTTTTACTGGTAAATCTTAGGATTTACTAAGTTTCACCATTATTTGTACTTTTGTCATAACATATAATTATATTCGCATAATATAATATAATTTGGAAGATTTTTTAAAGTCATATAATAGTAGCTGTCCCGCCCGGCCTTGCCCTTGTTAATTTTTATTTTTTTTTTACACTACTCCTTTTTGGTTTTGACCGTGTCAGTAATAAATAAAAATAAATAGGCGGAAAGTGAGTAGTCTACCTTCGGCGGACTAAAAGTATTCTGTTATGACAGATATTTTTACAATTTAAATTACTATTTGCCTTAAGCATTAAATGTTTCTGGATACACCCACCACGTTAAGCGTCTCATTTTCTGGGGCCAGCGCGAAAAATTTTGTTTTGAATGTGATACGTGACAGACCCACGTACAATTGATTATGGGAAAACGTTGGACAGTTTGGTCTAAACTTGCAACATTTAATGTTTGATCTTATGCCTTACTGATAGTCATTGAAAAACACAGTTTCAAGGGGAATTGGAGCCGTTTAAACTGGAATGGTAGATTGGTTGGTATCATTGGTATTCTAGGAACTAAAACCATTTTCCCAGCTCCATAGCCAGCAAGAACCATACACTGAAGCAGACAGTTTTTTAAATATTTTATTTGCAATCTTACGCAATTGCATAATTTTGGTGAACATAAGTTCCGGAGTAATATTATAGGAGAACCTACCTCTTAACCTCTTAACCTTTTAGCTTTTTCCTGTACTTATGGAGATTTTTAAGTCATTTAAAAATTGTTCAGAATTATTATTAGGATGATTATATACTAATCGAAAAGATATCTTCATTCACATTCCAGTAGGTTTATTTTTTAGTATTTTACAAAACTAATGTTAAACTTTCTTCAATGTTATCCCATATTGTATTTGTTTCATATATTGGGGTTTTTCTTCACACGCGTATAACAATATGAAGATAACGGGATTAAATTTGGAACTAGCTTTTAAAAACTGGATAAAAGTATCTTGTTCGAATTTTGTCAGAACAGCGTGACATAATGATCAAAAATGGGACAATCCAGTTTAAAACAGGATGTACGGTCACCCTGATTTAGGATCATTTGATGTAGAATTAAAAGTATAAGTACTTATGTTGATCTATATAGGGTACCATCTAAGCCATATTGATTTTGTTTATTTTTTGATATTATAGCAAAGAAAAATAACGACCGAACAAAGACAGCTTAAATTGGAATTAGGACGGATGCAAGAGGAAAATACACAGATGAACTCCATGGCAGAAGAAAAAGCCACGAAGAAAAAAGAAAAACAGCAGACTAAACCAAGAGTCGTAAATCAATCGGTTAACAATTTGATCAATGACGGCGAAACGAAAAAACTAATCAAAGACAATAATACGGACAGTAAACATAGTTCGGTGCCTGCGTTCAAGGTGGACAAAGATAATGGTGTTTATACCATTACGATGAACCGTTTGACAAACGATGGGCGGCTGGACACAGTAGAAGACCCAGTCGTCTTCAGATTAGATACGCAGGTGGACGCGGAAATTCACAGTTCTTGTTCGAATTTGAATATAAAAATTAACCCGTCAGCAGCTTTGTGCCCTAAAAAAACTGCACGTGACATGTATACCTCATACGACCAATTCTTTCAACCTACAGGAAAAAAGAAAGGCGAAAAGAATGCTGTTTTTGTTCAAAATTAAAGGCTATGTACAGATCCATAAATGTATTATTTATTTCCACAAAAATCTAGTTTTAAATTAAACTAAATATCAACTGTGGGTAAAAATGATTTAGAATACTTCGCTACCAGAAATTTCTCTATGAATATTTTATATTAAACACAGGGCCGAATTTAAGTGTCTCCGGGAAATTACTAGAGAAAGGTCATTTTAAAGATATGTCAATAAAAACTGGCCAAATTTAAACCAAATAAAAAGAGCTGATAGGTACGAATGCAGTCACTGTTTAAGGTGAGTAGTTAGGAAGCTGGGATACATTAAACTATTTATAATATAACGTAATTTAATGTAAGCAACAATAAACCATTGCTAATGAAAAATGATTAGGAGTAAAGTTAGGTTAAGTATAGGTGTTTTGAAAGCCGGTAATATTTACGATTTTCGTGAAAATTGTATTTTAAAATTCTAAAAAAAAGACGTCCTAGGATAATAGGGACGAGTGCAGTCACTGTTATAGATAATTTAATGTATACCTGTAAGTAACAATAAATTATTGCTTAAGAAAAAACGATTATGAGCGAAGTTAAGTTGATAGTGATGCTTTGTCAACAATATATATGTAATTTTATAGTAAAATAATGAAATAGGCTTTATATATTTTCTTTAATAATATTTGTTTCATGTTGTAAGGATTTTTCAAGTTTTCCTACGTTTTTCCCGGTTTTCCGATGTTTTATCCCGGTTTTTAACTCGAGTTTTTAAAACTCGGAAAAATCGAAAAATGACCTATTTAAAGTACCTCTCCAGTGAAATTTTCTTTCAGAAACATTGTAATTATTAAAAACTGGAGCAAAATTGATAGTAGAAAAGTTTTCCACAAAAAAAAAATCGTGAAATTATATTTCGTAAGATTTTCCGTTTTTTTTTCGGGTTATCGCATTTGATGAGAAAATCAAAAAAATACCCCCCTAAAGTATCTCTTCGTGCTGATTTCTTTTCAGAAAAGGTGCTACACGTAGAAATCCAAACAAGTATTTTGGTAGAAAAGTTGCACAGATAAAAAAAATAAATAAATAAACATCTTTGTAAAACAATAAGCTTCTATTCGCTCCACTCAGAATCTAAAAATATCTACCTTACATTTAATATTAATTTTTTGGCCAGTAAGCAAAGGCATAAATCACCTAAAAATATTATGGTGGGGGGCCTTAAGTACTAAACAAATTTTGGAGAGAATAGACTCGTGAGGGGCTATTAATTAATCTAAATCAGTTATATCATTATATATGAAACAAATATTTTTTATTTGTTTAAAAATATACGCTTATTTTATATATAAACCTATCTTTATTCATAATAATTTCATTATTGAGTACTATATCTCTTTCAATGTGAATAATTATTAATTGTTAAGTCTGATAGTCTTTCTTGGCCCATTGTGATATATTGCGTTCACTTTATTCTTTGCATTAAAAAAAAATTCCTGTCACACGAAGCAGATGAAATCAGTAAAACTAAGGCAACTTAAAGTAACTGAAATAAATTTGGATAAACAGTTTTACTGATACATCTATATTTCATTTGAAAATGGCTTCATAATTTTCTATTTCAGTTTTATGTGGATATAATATAATTGATAATTATACATTTTTAATATAATGTTAATGCAGCTTACACACTATACTAGTTATTTTGGGCCTATGTCTTTTGTTCCTAAATCACCTGGACAAATTTGCACGCCAGTATTATGGCTTATCAGATGCGACTTTTATAGCTGTTTTAATGAAAGTAACTGTAACCAAATTTTTTTCAGATTTACTTGAATGTAGGAATGACTGAAATTGTAAAAAACTATTATAACTACATAAATCTACATAAATATATCTATATATATTTCCTATAAGTGATTAAAGTTACTTACCTCAAGCTGCTTGTCGGTATTCAACATTTTTTTACTAAAATATGAAAACAGCGTATTCATTATTTTTTCTAATTTTAATTTATAAAAATTTGTACAATAATATTAAAATTATTATTTTTTATTCATAAATATTGACTACTGTAAACAAAAAATTTACTGAACACGAAGGACGAGCAATTACAACGTGAATTAATGGCATGGACAACTAATCAGATTATGGCATGTTTTATTAATTTAAAACTGAATAATAGATACTGAAATATGCATTGTAATAATTGATAATATTAGTAACAGGACAGAATGCAAGCAATCGACAAAGCTATTTTAATCCTATTTTGTAAATTTACCTACTTTCTGATAGAAAACATTAGCCGTAAAATTTATAATAATAAAATTGTTGCGTTGTAGTTTGAAAAAATAATGTACCTATTTTGGTACATTATTACCTATTTTATTCTTTTTTGGTTCCTTCCAATTATTAAGAAAAGTACTTTAGATATCAAAAACTAACAATATATATCTTCTTTTAGAGACTTTATATTAAAAAGAACAAATTTCATCTCTTGTCGTTTTTAATTGGAGCAGTATTTCTGGTTGAAAACATAATAAACAAAAATTAAATTGCCACATTGTCGTAAATATTTTCCATTTTATCTGTAATTTTCATTTAGTTGTTTTCAATTATTTTGAAAACCTCATGAAAAAACAAAAAATAACCTTCCTAACGCATCAACTAGAAAAAATTACCTTTCAGAAAAGGCGCCACCTTCAATACACCAGAGCAAGATTTTTTGATGTTCAAAAATTGTTCACAGACAGAAAAAAAAAGAGATAGTGGGTAGGTGGGATAACTGGGATATATAAAGTTATTTAATTTATACTAACAATAAACCATTGATAACGAATTCGATTCGGAGCGAAGTTCGATTAAACATGTTTTGAAAAGCTGTAATATTTACGATTTTTGTCAAAATTTGATTTTAACTCTTATAAAAGAAAAATAAAAAAAATACTGCATTAAACTAAATTTTTTACCACTAGGCACTTAGTACGACTTCTAATGAACCATCTATTAAATTTTCAAACAATTCTGTTAAGTGTAACAATTTATCTAAAAACAAGCAAAATTGAAGTAGGTGTCTATAAATAGCTTACAAATTACTCTAATGTTCTGAAAGTTTTACCACGTCTAGGAAAAGTAAATATAAGTGTTCTGTCAACATTTTAAGTTTTTAAGAATATTTCAAACTGGATTACATTAAAAAAACAAAATTTAAACAATAAAAGAATTATTTTCGTAAATTTTCCCGTTCTTTCTACCTGCGTATTTTTCGGTTTTGCTCAATTATTAAAAATTCAACAAAAAAAATGTCTTGGTGTTTTTCTATTGGAGTAATATTTCTAGTAGAAAATGGAAAGCGTAAAAATTTAAAATAGGTAATAAAATTGTAACGCCGTAAATTTGTCAGTATTCATTTTCCTTTTTTCTAATTATTAATAAAAACTTCAGAGAAAAACCAAAAAACAAATATTTTTATAATATCATTAACTAGTTATTAAATGCAATAAAAAAGGTTTCTTATCGTTTATGTAAGTATTCGAGTAATATTTATAATGTGAATAGTTACTACTAACATAATAATGTTATTACTATCTATAATCAATGGTAAAACCAAATATAGGTACGGAGTACCGACTTAATAATAACGTAGTACTTATCTAATACAATTTATCAGGTAGGTCGTAAGTACCAAAATAATATGAAAAATTCGAGGCAAACTATTCAATAATTTATAAAATAGGTAATATTATGTAAAAACGTTTCGATAATATTTTAAAGCGGTCTAAATTTACGAGTCATTAAAGTGTACACTTTTTGACTATCCTATCATAGCCCAGTGGGGCCAGTGGGCGACCATTGGATCATATTATAGTGTTTATAATCGTAGTATTTTCTAACAAAATATTAATTGGAATTCGTTTTATGCATCTATGTAGTATGGTTTATAAATTATTATAAATATTATAGATAGGTATACATAATATATAAACCTTGTCTCTATAATAGTAGCACTTGTACAGTTGTACTTATCTACAACCATAAAACAACAGCTACACAAATCTACAATGCTACAACCGTAGTATGTGGTTAATGACATAATTACTACATAGATTAATCAACTAAAATACTGACTAGTGAATTGTGAATATTGTACGATGTAATTAATTTTACTTATTACCTACTACATCGTGATTTGAAGTAAATCAGTAAACTTCTTTATATGCGTTATTATTTAAGTATATTAAACCTTTATTAAATAATATGTAAGTACTTACTATACAAAAATAATTTTAGGTTCAATGAACATTTTTAAAATGAATACATCAATACCATCACAAGGTTAGTAAGAAACCAAAAGGATCCTATACTATATAAATCTATATTTTTTTTAATAAAAGCATTAGTACTTACCTAATAAATAGTAAATACAGTAGACGCCATTTAAAAGACACTGATATAAGGTTCAATTGTAAAGACAAAAAAATGGTAGAAAATATAAATATTTGTAATAAAATTCGAAATAAATTAGTTTTTGAATTATTATTTGTGTTGTAATGGTTTAAATTCATACCTTTCACATTTATTGTAATTAAATAATATTACTGGTAGTACAATCAGTTGTCATTCGTTTCAAGTTTCGACACTACACAGTGCTTTTTTATTAACTTAATTCCTCAAAGCGCTATTAGTTTGAGTTAAATAATATTAATTTTAGAAAAGTACAATCTTACAAAAATAGGAAAACGTAGAGTATTAAAAAAAATAGCGAAGTTGTGTTGAATGAGAAGCATTGAAAGAATAGTTTGTAAAAGTTAGTTGTAAAGATATTCGCATCTATTTGCTTTGTCAATAACCTAAAAAATTGAAAAAGTTAACTTCAAGGCGACAGAAAGGTGATTTCACTCAAATATTTAAGGTACACATTTGTCATTAGCACTCATTCAATGTAGAGGAGAGCTGTAAATCACCAATGCAATCATTTTTATATTTAATACTTGAGTAACACATGAGCACTGAGCAATATATGTTCTGTATAATATGTCTTTATTATTATCAAAATGGTTGAAAGTAGCAAAAAGCAATACAAAATTATATGTTCTATTAAAATAGCAAAATAAAATGAATAATTAATTTAAAATTAGTCTTCATTGTACTTCACTTCGCGTGTAAGAGTCATTTGGTTTTAACATTCACTTTGAGGTGGTCCAAAAGTGAGTTTTATAAGCATCAGCCACTGTACTATATTATAATTAATACTTTACTATGTATGAATAAAGCTGTAAAGCTAACTACAATATATAGAAAATAATGAATTTAACTTTAACCATTTCAATTTTTTTTTTTTCTGAAGTTACATCTGAAAACAAACAAACAAATCTAATTATACACATTGAAAATACCATTTTAGACATTATTAAAAGTTTATACTATAATAATAAACTTATTATTAATTTACCTAAACAAACAAACTGGTAAGTATAATCAGTATTAATGTTAAATATACTTATGTAATTTATATATTTCTAGTATCAAAATTCAATAGGCCTAAATTTATCTTTTAATTTTACATGTTAATTGTTATAACAGTAATCAAAAACAACTAATAACTAAAATATTGCAATTTAAAACCAAACAAAGTCGAAATAATTTCACAATCATAATTTATATGATATCAAAAATTTATAAAAACATAATTTCTAAGCACTCATGTACAGCAAGGTAATTATTTATAGTTAGGACATTTAAATGTAAGCATTATATAATACTATATACCTTTATACTATTAAAATACATAGTACCTTCCATTTATTTAATTGTCATTTCAGAGAGCTTTATTATGGAGATACAGTTTTATTCAAACACGATTATATTGTACATCAAAAACTTCTTGATATATGCTATTTATTAGGCACAAAATCTTGGGAGTTGGGTATTACATTAACTTCTAAAGGTTTAGTTGCTGGAAACCTAAGGATATATTTGTGTAATGGAAAAATTCTTGATTGTTCGAAAACTACTGAAGGTTAGATTAATTATTAAGTTATTTTATTTTATTCAATTACTCAGTGATATAATTAATTAATAGATTTGATAATAAAAGACTCAATAAATATAATATTAAAAACGTTGTTTTTTTTACTTATAAGGTATTAAATTATGAATAATATTTTTTTCAGGTGTTCAAATACCGCAAGATATTTTTTCAATAGAAAATTTTGAATCAAAAGCAAAATATATTTTAATTATAGAAAAAAATTCATCATTTCAAAAAGCTATTAATGAAGGGTTGTTGAAAAAAAATGAATGTTCTTTTATTTTAATAACAGTAAGTTATTGCATAAAACGGTATTTTAGTTCAAAATTCGAGAAATGTACTTAAAGTTTAAATTTAAAATTTTATTTTGTACAAAACCCAAAACATAGTGTAAAAATGCTATAATATAGTTTTAGTTTTAATATTATGTACCATATTAATAATGTTGTTCAAAATATACAACAATGATTTATTTTAAAAATACCTCAAAAATCTTTATTAATAATTATTTATATATAAAAAATTATAATTTGGATATTTCTATGATAACTTATCTACACTGTAAACTAGAAATCAGATAATATTAGGTTGACATTAAAATTAATTAAATAATTATAATATTAATTTGTATGTATACTAAAAAATAAATTTGAAAGGTAAACTATAAACTTGTATGTGTTCTTGTATGACAGATTATTTATTAAAAAAAAAGCCATTCTAATATATATTATTATATTTGTTTCAGGGGAAAGGATATCCTGATATTAATACTAGGTTATTTGTAAAAAAATTGTCTTGTAAACTAAAAATACAAGTATTAGCTTTAGTAGATGCTAATCCTTTTGGTATTGAAATAATGTGTGTTTATAAATATGGCTCTAATGTAAGAAATTATTAAATTACGTATACAATGTAGTGTTTTGTTATTTAAATAATAATCTACAGGGATTCATTTTCTAGACAATGATTCAGCAAAATGAAATGCTTAGTGTACCATCAATAAAATGGCTTGGAGTTCATCCTACAGATATACAATTATTAGATTTACCAAGTATTCCATTGAATAATCTAGATCAGGCACGATTGAAAGCCCTTTTAAAGAGGTCCTATATTAATTCAAATTATACAATTTTACAACAAGTAGGTTTATTTTATTGTAAATTATCTTGTTGGTGTTTGATACTCAAAGGAATAAAACACATTATTTAATTAGGTATTAATATTGCAACAATTAAATTTAAAAGCAGAGATTGAAGCATTGACCACTTTCACTCAAAAATATCTGACTGAAGTATACATTTTAAGAAAAATTGTTACTCAAGACTATATTTAAACAGATATAATAATTACAAATAGATGTATTTAAATTTTGTTAGATTTGGGTATACATTTTTAATATATCTTTTAATTTGTTATTCAAATTGTATAATACAGAGTATAATGTAATATTGAAAAAAATTTAACTTTACTGTGAATTTGTTTTATTAAAAAAAAACATTTATTTTATATTCATACATATACTATAGAAGAAACCCACTTGTTCTTTTTACAGTAATAAAACATTATATTTACTTTATATTCGACATTAACGTTTTTGAAACATAATTTAGCCATAAACTTGGTCTTCCATAATAGCACTTAGACATAGACTATAGCAGCATTCAGGGCTAGCTTGGAAAATATCAAAGCCCTGTTCAGCCATTTTTGTCAGGTCTCATTAAACTTCTTTTTTTTTTGCTTTATCACTTTCTATTACCAAGAGTAGGTAAATCATTACAATATAATTATACTAATTATTTAATTATTTTTAGTTGATTTATTTTTATTTTCATTTTTCTAAATAATCAAGTGAAATTACTATCTAGCTATGATTGAAACTAGTATCAAGGCTCTGTGTGAGTGCATAGATTGCACCATTTTCAAGCTGTCCCTGGCAGCATCTTTTGTTCAGTTATCTAATGTGTGAAACTTCTTGTGATTCTAGCATCAGGAACGTGTAATAGTAGAGGTGGTTACTGGATTAAGGATAATTACTGCTTGAACCTCCTACCAGCTACTTATTCTACTTTTTCTGATGTGATTTGGAGTTTACTTAAGTAATTCATATTAAATTCTATTATGTGTAGAGCTTATTTTTTGGTGTAAACATTAAATAGATTCTTGGGGTGTAAATTTCTTTTCTCAAATATACTACTGTGTCATACAAGTACTGAAAAATAAAAATTTTGTTAGGCACCAGTTAACAGATAGTAGATCTCTAATTGACATAATTGATTTTCAAACCATTTTATCATACAGATTTAATAAAACAATTTATTCAAATTATTGTTGATTATAAATCGTTTCACCTAAGTACTTATTACCAGAGTACTTAATGATTTTACCATCTAATCGTAAGATAATTTCTGTAAATTCTATATATATTATTTATTATAAATATTAATTATTGAGATATCAAAGTTTTACTAATAGTTAATAGTATACCTTAAAGGTATTCTTGTCTATGCTTTGCTTTATGTATAGCTTATTGTATTATAGGAGGAATTTATACTAGGAACACATAATTTCCAACCCTTAATGCCAGTACGAAAGACTAAAAAGCGTCCTTATAAATGTGTGTCCATGAATCGCTAAATTTAGTTATTTGTTCATCATTGATTTTAATGATGATATGAAATACAAGTCACTAACTAGACTTCATCAAGGGGCAAATATGGCAACCCAAATAAGATTATCATAGACTAATTTTGTAGTTACTTTTCTAAGTAGTCAAGAGTTTAAATTCAAAATTTAAATTTTTTTTAACCAGCTTGATTCCACATGAAAATGAATTTGATGAAACAGAAAATACGGAGAGCGTTATCGCGATTGATCTTGAATCCTACATTCATGATATTGATATCGTGCCTATTTTAAAATTTTTTTTTTATATCGAAATAAAATAAATAAACCTTTATAAAATTAGAGTGGTGGCGTGGTACCACAGATATTTAAATTATACAGATAGAATATAGGCATAATATAGATATCTGTGTGTGTTGCAAACATAGATAGTCTTTCAATGGATAACTTATAGCCTTGGTGCAAATGCTACAACAGTTTACAGTGTTTACTTTGGTAGAAATATCAGTTATCAAAACGTGTTTATTGGTTTTTGATAACGGTGTGCTTACCACGAGGAGGTAAACAATGCATTTTTATAACCTAGATGAATATTGTGTTTATACCTATGACGTCATATATGTTTCATGTTTTTACAGATATATATTCTTTGAAGCCATATTTTGTGTTAGTATGTACGATTATACAAACAACAAACAGCGTCCATTTACATCGATTGTTGAGCAAAGTGAATCTAAATTACTGAATAGTACGTTGGTGATGTACACCGTTTATTAGCACGTACTGTGATAATTGTTAATGTTTATAATTGCACGCGTATAATATATTTGTTTTAATATAATATAGATACTACATACTTTTAGAGAGTAGTTATAACGTTTTAATATTGCGAAGTTTTTTTTATTGATCGTGTAATAAACCTCGTGAATATAATTATTATTTAATTAGTACTTATATTGAAGTAGATTTATTTTTTTGTAAATGTGTAGTTATAATCGTGATCAAGCAAATCGTTTACAATCGCTTAATATTGACAAAGTATTGAAAACCTATCCGTATTACATCAAAATATCCATCAATTAAATAGCTGACACCATTTGATTAAAATCTAGATAGGGTATCTGCATAGTTACGATTTTATTATTTTGCTTATCCAATACTATCGATATGGAAGCGTGTATGGCCGTTGGACGTGAGGTTGACAGAGTATTGGCGAAATTTGGGAATATACGTCAAAGTTACAGTGATGTATATCAAGAACTTATTGACGATATTGAGGCCTTGAAAAATAATTTACATCCTAATGATGCAAATGAAAGTAAGTTTTTAATTATAACGACCGACTTAATATTGGTGTGGTCTATAGAATTTATATCAAAAGTATTTAAATACGTAGAATAAGTACTGGTAAGTGGTAACTCTTTAATATTTAGTTTTCAGGGGTCTTCAAATATTTACAAAGTTCATATACCTAGTTTTTAATTAATCGTTATTCATCAATATCATTCATCAACCTAGTTAAATTTAAATGTTTTAAAAAAAATTATAAGAATCAAAATTAACACAAACTTGGTAGGTATAAACTATAAACACAAAACTTAGTAGGTAGATATACAATAAATTTGTATAATTTTTGAACAACTCTTTTATACATTTTGCTATATTATTTGAGAATTAGGCTTATATAATGGTAAACTTTTTAAGTACCTAGCTCTCACATCATTTGTGTTATGTTATATTTTTAATTTGTTTTTGACTTATATGTGTTGAAAATTATTGTGTATATATGATATCTAAATTACGTATAGGTGTATTTTATTTTTATGCTTTGGGAAACCTTGATTATTGAGGATCATACCTGTATTCTGGATTTATAATGACCATACCATTTTTCACATTTTCCGTTATAAGTAGGTTAAATGTAACTCTAATATTTATTTACAGATATTTAAAACCTATTTTATTGCACTAAATTACTGCTTAGAGATATTAATTATACCTAATAATAGGTTAGTGGTGACTATCTCCAAAAATACAACAGGTGCTTACCTAAAAAGTACTAGTACTCCCAATATTTTGGTTAACCCAAAATAATCATTTCATAAATAACATTTTTTTAATCAGACACTACTGCCATAATTTATTCAATAATTCAAATATAGCTTTATACAATGAAAGTAAGCTGACCCACTGGATTCCCAAGGGAATCCCTTATCAATACAGCAACGAATAATTATAATATTGGGTCTTTTAACAAGAAGTGTCATTTTATACGATGAAACATAGCAAGAAAATCAGTTAAGAAAAAATTCCCGAAATGTCCGTTTCTATGAAGTATTGCCTATAATCCTTGTTATTATAATATTCTATGCTAGGTTGAGCCGTTTTATACTCATATGCCCATTGTTCTGACAATTTTATTTTTATCAAGTAGGTAACAATAATGTACACTGTTAACACTAACAGTCATCAGTTGTAATAATTGAAAAAATTTGGTTAAAATATACAAAATAGGTCAAATGATATAAAATTATAAAAATGTATTTATAAACATTGTGACTCTTGGTATTATGTATTGAAAATAACATTGTTGGCACTGAGCTTTAAATCCAAGTCTGTTAAAAAAGCAAGTATCTTATGATCTTCTGAGTTGATACTGGAGTCTGGAAATCTGGGAGACCTAATGGCTACCATCCATCTACTCCAATTATGAAAGGAGTGCTTGATGTATCACCTTTATAGATACATGATAGCCACCATAAGTAGATGTAATATTGATAGGAATAAATCTAGTTTACCATGCTACACACAAATTGAGATTTTTACTATTTCACTTAGTGCAATATACATTAAAAGGTAACTTGATAGAGGATAGAGAACACAAAATACAGAAACAATACAATTTAGAAAAAAATTAATAAAATATGGGTCCTTATTAACAAAACACATAAATCTAGCTTGTAGAATTGTATAGTTGTAAATTTAGAGCTGGAAGAAGGGGAATTTTTTAAAAAAATATTATTGTAGTAGGTATTTACCTACTTTACTAATTATATAGACTATCTAACAATTGGAAAACAATTTAAAAATTCAATGATAAAGCTTCTTTATGTGCTTTAAAATCTGAAAATCCCAAATTTCTAGTTCCGATTGCACTATTGTACTTGTTGTAATTCATTGATTTATAAACTATATTTAAGCTAAATAGTATATTAAAAAACTAATGTATTAATTTCCGTATTATTAAAGTTAAAATATCATTTAGACTAATATTTAATACAAATTATCAATATTTTTTATTTTTTAGATAGAAAGGTATTATCTGTCTTAAAAGGAAAATTTGATAAAACTAAAGAAGCAACACAAAGATTGGCTATTGAACATAGAGAACTGCATAGTGCTGTATCAAAAGTAGGAAAAGCAATTGATAAGGTTTGTAGTTTTTAAATTATTATAGTTTACCTAAATTGTATATTTGATTAATTCAGTTTTCTTAAATGTTAGAAATAGACCACTTATAAATGCGAAAATATTATAATTACATATAATTTATAGTAGAATATATTTTTTTTAGAATTTTGTACCAGATTTTTCTACAACTTGCGAGAAAGACATTTTTGAAAATCCTGATAATTGTGAAATGCTTAATAAAATTATTTGTCAGCATTTTTATAGAGAAGGCATGTTTGATATTGGTGATACATTTCTGGAGGTTTGTTAGTTAAAAATAAGTGATAAATTTAAATGAACTATAATAATATTGTTTTATAGGAATCTGGAATAACAATGGAACCTGGCATAAGAGAATCATTTTTTACGTTAAACCACATCAAAGAATCATTAAAAAAAAAGGATATTTACCCTGCTTTAGAATGGGCTAAAGAAAACAGGGTCCATTTGGATAATCAGGCAAATATTTAAAAAATTATGCTTTATTCCAGCGATTCTCAACCTGTGTACACGTACCATTAGTGGTACGCAAAGACATTTTTTTGATAAGTGAAAAAAAAATTATTATAATTATAATGCAGTTTTTTAATCCATAAATATTAATTAAAATAATAACTATACATATTTATTTTTACTTTTGTGTATAATTACACATTTTATTTTTGATAAGTAAAAAAAAAAAGGTTGAGTAATTCTATCAAGTGATACATGAAAAATGTCAAAATGTGTTGATGGTATGTGTATATGAAAAGGTAGAGAACTGCTTTATTCCAATTAAGAATGCCCAAATTAAAAACCATATTTTCCTACCTTACCATTTGTATTTGATTGCAGACAATAAACCATTTTATTGGTACCAAAAGTGAACCCTGTGTTTTCTTTGTTTGTAATTTGAGTGTTCTTAATTTCAATAGAGTTTAGCTAAATATACTTAATTTTAAATTTTACTAGTGATGAGTTGAACTGAAATATATATATATATATATATATATATCTCCATATTCCATGTACTATTTGTTAGCAGTGTTTCATGCTATTTAAACAATAAATGTGTTCTATATAAATATTTATATATTGTGTTTTCACTGAACCATAAATAAAAATCTACATCTAGAAGATTGTAAACCTAGAAAAAGAATCTAAGTTGTGATACTGAAATATAGTTTTGGTGGTATATACAAGTGAAATATGGAATCAAATCACATAATCCAACTTATTTGCTGGAAAACAGCTTATAGAACCAATGGCCTATTTAAGGTGGAAGATATATCTTCCTCCTTGACATTTTTTTTGAGGAGTTATAATAATAATATTTTTATGTTAATGTTAGAGCAGATGAATTTTAAAAAACTTACAAAAAATATATAAATTTAAAATAAGATATCTTTTTGTTTAGCCTAGGTGTCAAAATTGTGTTGCACCTATACCTCTATACACTAGGCTGTTTTGAATTTTCACTTTTTTTTTTCTGAATTAAAATTGGAAATTGCTTCCTGTGATCTCAAGCTTAACAAAAAAAATATTTAGAACTTGCTCATCACATTTGTAGTTTTTCTATAAATAACAGGAAACTAATGATACTTTCAATTAAATCACATTTATTCATTAAGTTTAAAAATTACAAGGTCATATGTAGTTTTTTCTTAAAGATCACAAAAAAATATATAAGATTCATTTGAAATCAAGTGAATTTTTACTGTTATAAAAATATCTCATTCATCTAAATCTATAAAAATTGAGTTTTATAACTGTTTTATTCACATAAAGTTGTATAACTCTGACACTTTTTGACCAAAAACAAATAAGGTTAATTTGTGTAAGTTACCTAACAGTTTTAAGATAATTGCTTTGGTTTCTTCCTTTATTATTTTTATAAATATTTAGAGATGCTTTCAATTTTAAGTTCTTTCGATTATTTATTTTGCCTTTTGAATAGTTATTTATTTTTTTTTATCAAAAGTGGAGGTTTTTTTTTTAATTTTCATTCCGTAGCCTATGCAGCTGATTTATAACCAAGGATCAATAGCAAGGTCTTTTTATAACTGAGAAAATAAACCTAATTTGAACATTTTTGGTCAAAAAGTGGCCGAACTATACAACTTGATATGATTAAAAACGTTATAAAACTCAATTTTTGTAGATTTCTAGAATAAGCTAATCTTATAACAGTAAAATTTCATTTGATTTCGTATTAATCGTATGTATATTTTTTGTGTTCTTTAAGAAAAAAATTATGTATGACCTCACCTCATAATTTTTGAACTTGATGAGTAAATGTCATTTAAATGAAAAACTAAATTTGTGATGAGCAAGTTCTAAAAATTTTTTTAGTTGAGTTTTAGACCACAAGGAAGCAATTTCCAGTCTTTAATTCGAAAAAAAAGTTAAAATTCTAAACAACCTACTATACACATTAGTTATACAATCCATACAACAGATTATTTCTAAATTCAATAACTCCCTTCCTTGTTAAAATCCTAAATACTCAACTGTATAGAACAATCTTCATTCATACACTAAGTGCTCTGATTTAAAAAAAATGTTTGTGTATGATTAGGATACTCAAATTATGCAAAGATAGCTTAAAACCTTGACATGTAATTCCACAAATACTAACATGCATTTTTTTATACACGAATTTTTAAAAAAAAAATAATAATATTTACTATCAATTTTTATCTTCAGGCTCATTTGCTTACTTATGGAAATCCTCTTTTATCCACTTAATTTTTAAAGTGGTGATCGCTCAAACATTATGAATATAGACTTATTAGCATTATGTCTTCCATTCTAAAACTATTTGAGTCTATCTTACCACTTAAACTAAATTTCTCTTTTTCTAGACATAGTACTGGAACAATTTGGCTTTCACCCACTTACATCAACAACTTCAAATTTAGTTTCTCATTAATGCATATTTAATAAATGTTGTGAAAAGTTATTAAGTAGATGCAATAATACTGATATTAGTAAAGCATTTAATACAATTAATCAGTCAGTATTGATCCCTAAATTGGATTTGATAGGTGTTAGCATTCACGTTCTTAACTGGTTCAGTTCATATTTATCATTTAGGACAAGTAAGATTAAATGATTATGTTTTGGAAAATATTTCAGTTCTTTCAGATAGTCATATCTCGTCACTTTTGTTTATTTTGTAGGTGATGTTGGCTTGATTTTTTAACATGCAAATGTTAGCTTATATTTGAATGATTTAAAATTATTCTATATCATTAACACACTGAGTGATGGTTTGAAATTACAGGATGACTTTGATAACTTTCGTGTTTGGTGTCTTTGGAATGGTTTACAACTTAACATTAATAAATGTAACTCAATTTCTTTCACATAAAGTCTCCTTCTTTATTTATTTTTTTGGTGATAACCTTTTACCTAGAGTTAATTCCATTAGAAGAGACCTTGGAGTTATTAATTCTAGTTCACTTTTGTTTACAACACACTTACAACCAATGGCTTTGTCATTAGAAATACTCGAGACTTAAAAAATATCTTGTCTTTAAAAACACTCTATTTGTTCTGGTTCAGTCTCTATTAGAATATGGTTTTGCTTTATGGAACCCATATAAATTCTGTTGAATAAATAAAATTGAGAAAGTTCACAACAAATTTCTAAGGTATATTAATATTAAAATCTATATCTATATTTATACTAATACTAATAATATTATAAAGCTGAAGAGTTTTTTTAGTTGTGTTATTTAGTAATCTCAGGAACTACCAGTTCGAATCGAAAAATTATTTTTGTGTTTGATAGTCCATTTATTGATAAAGGCTATATAACATCATGTGAGCAATAAAAGCAGAGAATTAAAGAAAAAATTATTCCTTTTCGTATTCTTATTACATTATTATTTTTATTATCGATGAGTTTGGTGTAGATATATACAAGTACCTGTAATAACCTAGGTTTATTTACACACAATAGTATCATGAATGACAAGTTTGTTGTCCACACTCACTTGGCATGTAACTGTTGCAACTGTCTCTCTTGCTGTGAGTGAGATTATGATAGTTTGTATGGAGAATCAATAATTTATTGTAAAAAGATAAAATTCATCATAATTATACTTTTGGTATGAAATGGAGAATGTTTCTGCATTTTTGACCAAGTTAATTTGGAAGATCTCTAGAGACATAGCTTGATAACACAATAAAACACTTTCTACTTATTTGTTAACATTCAATAAGGAATAATCAAAAAAAAATATAGCTAAAAAAAAACAGCTAGGTACCTAATAACTATATGCTCGGTAACCAGAATATTTATGAACCCCTTAGGAAATTAGCAAGTATCAGTTCCTCAAGTTCAAGTACCTATTAAGATGTTGTTTTCATTTACAAAATTGTACGTGGTTCAATTATGGACATTTATATTTGTAGTCTAATCAATATTTCAGTTCCTTCTTTTAGTTCTAGAAACTTGTCCCTTTCATTTATCTAAACATAGAATACTAGTGTTTGCCATGTGTAGTAGCTATTTAAAGAATATTGATATATTTCATTCCTCTCAAGGTGCGATATGATTCAATCTTTCCAATTATTATTACTTTATAATTTGTTTGTGTATTTTTGTGACCTAATGCATTCATTAGGTCTGTACTTTGAATACTTATGTGTAAATATTATATATGCATATTTTTCTTTTTAATGTATTTTATACCTATTTCCTACTAATTTAGAACAATATAAGAAAAAATTTGTGTGAATTTGTACTTTATAACTTTGGGTGAATTGTATTTCAGTAAATCAAATTATAATTTAAAACTTAAGTTCAATAAAGTTTAAAGTTTTATATAAATATATATATATATTAAGTATTATGGTTTCTTTTATTACATGTATACATATTATATAATTTGACGATATTTCATTAAAATATAAATAATCATATTTATGTGAGATTTAAATTGTCATATTTTCTTTGAGTGGGATTTGTCTATTTTCAAATTTAATAATACTGATTTATTTAATATTTGCTTCTTAGTTTTATGACTTACATTACTGAATATGTGTAATATATTCTGATTATTATTTCTATTACAGCTGTATCCACCAAACCCTCTTATTAAAAGAATTTCATCTGCATCAAATATACCTATTAGAACTCCATATCATGTAAAACGATCAAAATTTTCTGGTTGCATAATAAAACCAAGACCCAAAACAAAAAAAATCAAACGTTTGGAATTGGCAAAAAAAATATTACTAAAATTTTATAAGGTAAGTTAAAAGAAAATATAACTATTAATTACTACCAATAAATACAATAATTACATTTTAAATTACTAAAATATTCAATTTGTATACACATACTAATGTATTAAGATAACAACAAAATTTAAAATTTAACTTTTCCAGTTACCACACTGTACCTTTAATGGCTATAGAAATAAAATTAGATCAACTGTATCTATTATCTTATAATCAATTATGCAATTATATAAAAATATTTAAATTTATTATTTTTATCTCATAAAGTTTTTAAAAATATCATTATAGACTTCTTCTCTTGAGTTTAAACTTGTCCAAATTGGATTTCTAACCATTATTCAACAAGGGGTTGATCACCAGATTGAAGCAGTCCAATATGCTCGAACCCATTTTGGCCAATATATGGACAAACATGAAAAAGGTAATCAATTAAAATTACTTTGCATACCTAAAAAATAACATATTAATATTTTATTTTTATATATAGAAATTCAATCTATGATGGGTATGCTATTATATATTCCTCAAGGAATTGAGAATTCTCCATACGCTGGTGTGAACCTTAAAAATATGTGGGATGAAGTATATGAATTATTTACAAGAGATGCTTGCACACTCCTTGGTTTAAGTTATGACAGTTTCTTGACTGTCAGGTAATATTAAAAATAATTTAACAAAAAGTAATTTCGGGTTGTACATATTCTGTCCCGAAAGTTTCTGAAATGAAGTGATAGATAAAAGAACAAATTTGGGATTATGAAATTGTTCAGTCTGAATATGTGAAATTCGTTTGAGAAGCTTATTTAAAATATACTGACATATTTCTTGTGTATAACCTCTGGATTATTTAAAAACAGAATCAACATGGTCATCACTTTCATTTTTTTGGAAGAGCATAGTTATATTTCTAATATTTTTTTGGCTGATACCAATTTTAAATTAAAATATAATAGCCACACATAATTGTTTAATGCAAATCATTTTTAAGAATCACAAGTAACCAAAGTATCTGTGATACTATTCCCTGTTCCCTAGCCAATAAGAACCCATCCACTGAATTGTGGAAGTTAGTAGCCCTAATAGCTATGTCTATTTACTCTATGATTGTTATAAGTTTTTAAAAATTTAGAATTAAAGAATTGAATTTAGAAATATTATAAAGTAATATAATAGATACTTCCTGAACATATTTTAATGTTTGTGTCTGTTCTACCGCTATTTTTTTCTTTTATTTCTATATGCTATTATTTTTTTTATGGGCACTTTGATAAATAATATTATTATACATTTTTTTATAGATAGAATATTGATATACTTAAACAAACAAACAACATTAGTTAAATTATTCACATTTTTTCTTTATATTTATGCACATTATTAATAGTTATTAGTAATACATTTTAAAAAATAAATGAATATTACTTAAATTCAGAATTCCGAAGACAATTGTCATTAACACAGATTGTACTTTGGACAACATTTCATCTATAATGAAATCAATATCATAGAATTTTTCTTCCTCTGCTTTAGTGCTTTTTAGGAAATTTGTCATCTCATTCAATACCTTCAATCAATTAGGTTTTCACATCACAAAAGTTTATATGTAGTGTTGTTCATCATTATATGATTTTTCGGTATGACAACTCATTTCATATAACGAATGTAGTGAGCTACTGCCAGAATAGATAGATTGACTCATGGGTACGCATACCCAAGTTTTAATCAATTATCACCAACTGCTGGCATTCTTAATTCGAACAGTGTATAGTATATGGCAGGATGACCAAACTTTTTTCTAGAGATTGACTAAGGATATATTTTTCCTTTGAAGATCAACTTCTGAACAAAAATGTATAATTATAAATTACCTAATAGGTGTTAACAATTAATATACATATACAAAATAAAACTAAAATATGTATTTAAATAATGTTTTTCATTGCACTAATATAAGTAATATTATTGTAAATACAATTGTTTGTTAAAATAAATGGATAATATGCCAATAATGGTATTACTTGATAAATTTACAACAAAATTAATATGTTAAGATAAAAATGATCAGTAATTTTTATTTATCTACTAATTACATAAAAATAAATTTTGATAAAATGGAGGTCGACATTTAAATCATCTATGATCTACTGGTCAATTCAGATCCTAGTATAGGGCGACCATTAAAATATGGGACAATTAAAAAAATAAAATAAATATGCGTAGTATAAAGGTTTTTATTATTTAAGTATAAATAATTTATATATGTATACACAAAAACAATTTTATTTTGATGATGATGTTGGTTAACTTCTTCATCTGTTAGTTTTGTGTGCTTTTGTAATGAACTAATTTAACTAATAAATAATTTATTATCTTTTAATAAAATATTTTAAACCTTATACAAAAATAGTTTTAAAAATGTGTTTTCATAATAATCATTGCTTATTTATAATATATATGTACTTCTATAAAACAAACAAAAAAAAAACATTGCAAAATAGAGATTTTATTCAATAATGTAATAAATATATTAAATAAATTTCAAAAGTTATACATTATTAATTAACACTAAAGACAAATGAGATTAATACAGGACGGATTGGCAAAATTAGACAAGAAGTATCCCAATAGTTTTCAATGGAATACAGAGTTGAAATACAGAACAACTCCAAATAATATGGTTTACCTATACTAGTGTACTACTAATACTAATCCTAAAACTTGGGCAAACTAAGGTCTGCCTATGCTGGCATATATATATATAATCTTAAAATTTTGTAAGACAGGTGATCGGCCACTAAAATAATGCAACTCATTTGAGTATTCAAATGAACGAGCTTTGTGATTTTGTAGTCAAATTCTCCCACTCACTCAGGAATTGCGCAAACAAGATGAGTTTTGATCCCTGCTCAGTTGCATTCTCTTGGTAGCTAGAGTAAAGTGCATGATAATATTAGTTCCCAAATTTTTTTAAAGGTAGTGTACTTGTACTGCATCAATGAATTCATTTCTAAGACTTTCAGGAAAAACTATGTATAACAGATAGCAATACAATAATATTATATACAAATTAATAATTAAGACATTTTTTTTTCAGCATAAATGCTGGTTGTATGGCCATACCGGCTTTATTGGATATTCGTCATGTAATGATACAACGGAAAGTTAATGGAATTTGGAATGAAAAAGATGAACTACCTGTATATTTATTTATGTTTACTTTAATTTTCAAATATTAATTTAATGATCTGACTTTTAGGTTGAAATTGATTTAAGCTTGGAACATAGATATCATTCAATGTTTGCATGTCCTATTTTAAAGCAACAAAGTTCAGAACAAAATCCTCCTATGAGACTTATTTGTGGTCATATTATATCCAAGGATGCTGTTCATAAGTTGGGCACTGCTTCAAATAAGTATGATAAATTGTATTAGTTTTAAATTAACTGTTTGCTAACAATTGTATATTTTTTAGGTTAAAATGTCCATATTGTCCAATAGAACAAAGTTCATCTGATGTTAAGCAAATTTGCTTTTAATATATTTTGACATTAGTTATAATAATTTTAAACCATCAAGTATTATATTATAGATTTTATGGCATTACACAGGTATATAAAACAAATAGATAGCTAAATTAGTTTTATCAATAAATCACAGCTACTATTTGTCTAATTTACATAAAACTTGTTTTTATCTTTCTAATTAAACTAAACTGCTATCTATGTATATTCTGTCATCTTTGAAATGGTAAAAGTGCTTCAAAGCTAGGTTATGATATTAGCTATCTAGTTGTTTTATATATTATCTGTACCTTATACTAATAGATGAAATATATTAGTCCATGGATAACCATGGATGAACAGTTCAGGCTAGTAAATTGTGTGGTATACAATGGTATACCACACCCAGACTGTAATTATAAAATACTTTTAAATTTTGCTATGTATTGTTAATAGTAACTGTTGCTAGGTAATTGCCAATTGGTATATTCCATGTTATTATAAAGTAATCAAATGATTTTTAAAATTGAAACATAATTAATGAAATTCCAGATTAAGTAAAGTTTACTTATTTATTGAATTTGTTATAATTTAAAGTTTAAATTAATATTATGCAGTGGCTTCACCATCTACCCACCCACTTATACGTATATGTTCGTCTATTATTATAAGGACTAATATAAATTAATTTTAATATTTCTAGTTTAATTTAATATGTGTTTTAGATGTATTTTTATGCAGATATTACTTTATTTATTAATTATTAATTATGTAATCTATATTAGTTTTAATTTAATTGTGTGTGTATTGAGTACATATCAAGATGGTTTTTTGAATTATAATTTCCAGAAAAAGTAAAAATACCAAAATTAAAATTCATTTATAACATACTAAAATTCTTCAAAAATCATTGTAACTGTACATAATTAAGAAGTGGCATCCATCTAACTTCCATCCGGAATCATAAAATACCAACCATGTATTCATTAAATTATTAATTATACACATACAAAAATTAAAATGTAATATTATACTTTAATACTGTATACATTACTATTTTAATGTTTTTTGATTATAGTTTATAGGATGGTTTAAAATTTATTATATACATTTATAATTAAGTACTTAAATATAAATTGATACATTCATATCTGGTGTTTTTCTTTCATATGCTTATTACCTTACAAAGTGACAATAGTACATACCTACTGAATTTAATATGAATAATTAATGAGAATTAACTAATAGTTATTAACTCAAAATAACCTAACCTAAATTATTTATTTAATGTTTTCACCCAAAATAATATTTGAATTGAAAAAATGACAAGAAATCTTTTTTGTAAAAATTTTCAATCTAGTTGATAATTAAGAAAGTCAGTTTTTAATTTAATTTTTTTCAAAAGGCTTTAGTGCCATGATCTATTAAATCAATACTGACTTAAAATAATTCTCGAAAGGTTCCATCGCTAAATGACTTCCCTCATTATGTGCTTTATGTGATTTTATGTATATGTATATGTACAGTCATCACTTATTTATTCTGTTAAAAATACTAAATTGTAAATTTTTCTATTAAAAATGAAAAAATGTAATTTTTAGTTTTTCTAATAATTGAGCAAAATCGAAAAATACTTAGAAAGTCTTAGACAATTTAAGAAAATTATTATTTAAAATTTTTTTTTTATGTTAATCAGTTAAAATTATTTGTAGAAACTTGAAATTTTGACATAAATCTTATATTATATGCCTTTTATAGACTGTAAAATTGTCAACAGTTGAGCAATTTTTGAACTATTTACAGACATTTTAACTTTGAGTTTTCTATGGATAACGTTGTTTAGACCAAACCACAAATGCTTGAAAATTTAACAGACACCTCATTATAAGTACTTTGTGATAAAAAAAAAATGTATTTAATGTATTTTTTTATATAAGAATTTTAATGGTAAATTTTTACGAAATTTGTAAATATTATGAATTGTTTTTATTAGCAATGGTTTATCAAATATAAATTAAATTCCCCTTTATATTCTACCATCCTAACTTTTCATGTAAAACAGTGGCACACCTCTGTCAGTTTGGTATACATAGTAAGTTAAACAATTTTATTGCAGGAATATATAAGATTGTTTTGTTGAATATCTCTTTTAGTTGTATCTTCTGTGTACATTACAATTATTTTTTTTCTTACAACCAAATGATGAATTTAAAATCACTGGATTTCACTGTCAACTGGGCAATCATTCATGATTTTTGGTAGAATGGTCAATTTGAATAATCATTGTATGGTTTAAGGATGAAAAATAATACAATTAAGAGAAAAGAGATGATCAAATTAGAGTAGGTGGACATAATGCAATTATCAATAGATACTGTGTTGGATATGAGGATGGATGATCAGTTACATATCATATATTATATAATATTATACTTTATTTAGTACAATAATATAAGTTTTGTTTGAAATTTCCATGAGGAACTGCCTCCCTGGATTTACCACTGATATAGTTGAGGTGAGTTGACTACCAAAGACTGAAAGATCTTAAATAGCAGTAAATCATAAAGATTTAATTTTTATTTATTAGAAATTGTAATTTTAAATTTTTATGTATTTGTATAGTATATACTAATAATTTTTTTTTACAACATTAATTATAATTAGATTCCGAATGTAAAAACCATTATTCTTCATTAGTTCTAAATAATAACATATATTGTTTTCTCATTTCAAAACACACAAGTAGGATTAATTAGATCATAATATATTTCATTATTATAATTTTTTTAAGTTTTTAAATTTTTAAAATCAAAAAATAACTTTCCAATTAATTTATTCAATATAATAATTTTTGATAGAAAAAATTTGATTTTTAATTTTTATAATTTTATTAACAGTAATAATATCTATAAAGAAGAAATAAATAGTTACAATAAAATTCAAAAGGCAAGAATTAAAAGTAGGCAGGGCAGTATACTAAAATTGGTACAGTCAATTAAATAAATTTAAATTTGTTTAATACATCTTTTAGTCTATCAACTTTATTACTTTGAAATGCTGTTTTAAGTAATATACTTGCCATGCTGATAAAGTTATTAAACTAATGATGGTGATTATGCCAAAGCAAATTATTCTGTTTCTAGTAGACTCTATAACAAATACAATTTGCAACTTTAATAATATTTAAATAATGAACATTAGAATAATAGCTACCATTTGTACTTCGCAAGTTATCAGCTCGGGTTTTCATATCACTAAACTCAATGATAATATCTTGTGATAACTCTTGAACATTTTTTAAAGACAATTCGAGAGGTTTCAGTTTAGTAGCTTCATCCTCCTACAATTGAGTTTAAATTACAAATTAAAAATAGTTATAATGAATATGATTTAAATATTTTGATTTTCTTTTGTTATTATATTTAGTTGTATTGTTTTTTTTAAAAAAATTATTTGTAATAACGTATTTATAATTATGCAACAGAACTTGAAAAAAGATGAATCCATAGAGTACAAAAAACTGTGGAAAGAAGCTAATATGGTGGTAAAAAATGTTATACTAAAGAAATATGATGAGTTATATGAGAGACTAGGAACAAAAGAAAGTGAAATAGAAGTTTATTCATTGGATGTCCAAAGATATTAGAGGGTGTTTCATGATTCAAAGGTTTGGTAGATTTAGTTAGAAAAGAAGAAAGTGTTGTGGGCTGTGAGAGCAATGGAAAAGATAGAATTGGTAGGTTCAGATGGTATACCAGTAGAAGTATGTAAAATGATAGCTAGGCATAAGGCTGTAGTTGAAGGATTTCTTCAATTAAGTGTTAATAGAAGGGAAAATGCCAGAGGCATCAAGAAAGTTGTGTAATAAACTTATTATTTATCTGTGATAAAAGAATTGCAATGAGACTTGGAGAAGATAGGAATATAAGCATTAAGAATTATAAGTATATGTAGTTTAAGTAGATTTAGAAGGAAAGAGGAAGGCTGAAAAACAGGCAGTTGATATTGTGAAAGTGATGAACAAAATGTGCATGTAAGATTATAAAAACTTAAATTAATATATCTATAAACATCTATTTCTCCACTATATTGGTTTACTTAATTTTGCTTTTATTTTTATAGAGATTTTTATAGTTACTAAAGCAGTTTCCATTACACTGTGCACCGTGTCCCGTACATTAATCTATGCATTCTGATTGGCTGAACCAGGTAGTATCAACCAAAGCCAGTCAGACAGTCAGAATGCAGAGATTAATGCACGAGGCATGGTGTACAGTGTAATGGAAACTCAGCTTAAACCATTTAAAAATAAATAGAACATTAACATACTGCTTCTGAATTTTTTGCTTCAATACCAGTTTTAATGTCCAAAAAAATGTCTTGCAAAACAGCACTGTGTTCTGTAAATCATAAATTCAAATATTAACTATTAAATATAATATTTATAATGAGTGTCAAATATGTTATCTTATCAAATAATAAATAGACAAAATTGTATTACATTTGTAATTATTTCTTCCATATTTACTACTATAAGTGACACAAGATGAATATATCATTATAATAAGAGTAAATTAGTTCTTGAAAATGTTGAGTCTATTGTAATATTTTTTACAAAAATAATGATAGAGATATTATCTTTAGATTGATTTGTTTATTAAATACATTTTAATCAAGTAATACTTTATACACTTTTGTGGGAATTTGAGCAATCTATAAAATAATCCGTTATTATACATCTAAATATTATAAATTATTTATTGAGTATTACTAACATTTTAAACAATAATTTGTAAAATAAAAAATAGTACTGTAGGTGAAGCAGTGAGTCTTGTTAATAGAATAATAAGAATTTAGATTCATTCTCAAATATTTGGAAAACAATTTTCTCTTGAAAATAATATAGATTTAAATATTCCTGCTATGTTTGAGAATTTTGAATATTTTACTAATTAAAATAAACATGCTATTAAATATAAATTATGAAACTTGATTGAACTATATTTTTCAGTTTCAAAGAGAAAAAGAATCCGCTGCATTACATCATTTTTATCTTACAACTACCACTAGTGTAAATGATGGAAATATTCATTATGAATTTTTCCTGTAATTGACAGTATTTTAGTTAATATAGTGGATTTTCACCTGGAAGTCTTAAATTGGTCATAACAATTGATAACTTCATTAATCCATGAACAAAATTTCATTTTTTTAAACCAGTATAAGGTAAATTATCAAATCATGTAATATTATTCTAAATATTCTTATTCATCAAATTTTGTGCCTTTTTTATGTTTTCAGACTTTATTAAATATAAATGAAATCTAAAATATTTGTTGTTATGATAATCAAATAGAAAAGATAAACATTCATCCAAAGAGTATTGTTGAGAAATTAGTTATCTAAATTTATATGAAATGTTAAATCTATTACACTTTGTCCCTACAAGTACAGTATCTTGTAAAAGAACATTTTTAGTAATGCGTCAAATGAATACATATATATCCAGGTCAATTATGTTACCAAATTGTTTTTCTTAGCTGTCTATTATAGCTGTTGAAAAAGATCTATCAAATATTCAAAATAAAGAAGAAAATCTAAAAAAAATGTCAAGTACCAAGCAGAGGCTTAAACTGTAAATATTTAAATATTACTTATAATTTTAATAAATTTAAAATTCGACCTTGTTGTTAAAATATATTTTAATCCCTTAATTTTAACCTCAATACCATTGTTTTATGATTTAAATTATGAACATATCACACATACACTATGTAATAAATAATTATAGACAGTATTAGTAATATAAATTGTTTTATTAACAATTAATATAATGTATTGGTGCAGCGAGGGGATGGGGGCTTAATTTACTTAATAATATAAAATTGCAATGCTCAAAAAGGCAAAACTGCAAAGGTAGGGATCAGAATACTCTCACAGTACCTCTATCTATCGAAACAGATTGCATCAGGTCTACAGCCAGTTTAATATTCTATCAAACAGTATGAGACAAGACTAAACAAGACTGGCAGATTGTCCCATTTCAAATGTGTGCTTGGATAACAAGTGAGAGAAGGTACCATGGTGCATGATACATAGTATGGTATAGTATAGTTTTATATATTTAGTATAGTATAGTATTAGTATATGGTGCATACAGGATATGTGAGATGATTATATAATATGAGATGGTTGGATGTCATTGAGAATAGATGGTGTATGTAAGGTGGGAGATTTGGCTAAGCAGAAGTTTAGAAAAAGGGTACCTGACTCCAAATAGTTAGAATGAAAGCAAAGGAGAAGAAATTATAAAATTTCAAGGGCTGAAGCTCCCCCTATCTTTAAGGTCTAGTTAAACCTATAACTATGGAATCATTTAAAATACAAATTTTATAATCATGTTTCCAATAAATATTTATTATTTTACATTATAGATACTAGGTAATATTATATCATATTTTAAAGAAATACTTACTATTAGTAACTTTTGAAATAAAACAAATTTCACAAACATCATCATTTTCTATGCTGAAGGAAAACTTTCCAGAACTTATATCTTCTTTCTGTGATAATACATGATTTTTGGAATCTTTAATCTAAAAATACAAATATGTTTTAGTTTTTCATCTATAGTTACCTATATATTTATTAAATTATAAACTAATTATAACATGATTAAAATGTCTATCTATATTTATACATTTCCAAAAATTAAGTAACTAAACTATAAACTTGTAATAAAACTATATAGATACCATAAAATAGGTTACATACATACAACTATTTAAAGACAAATAACTATTTATTGTTTAAATTATTAATAAAATATTTAATCAGATAGATAGGTATTGTTGAAGCCTTGGTATATTACTAGGTATATTAAGCCTATTACTAAGTATATTATTATACTTACAACATAATCAATTGTTTGCCCATTAACTGTATTAACTACATACACACCCTTCACTAATACATTTTGTCTCAGCTCTTCTCTAAAACATTTAAAACTGTTGGGTTGCATATGCCACCTTATGCAGCTACCCGCTGAAAATAAAAAAAATAAAACTAGTACTATGGTCAAATGATTAATAAACTGCATGATAAATGTATATGTGATGTTTATACTGAATTAGTTTATAAAACTGAAATATTTTAATTTATATAAATATATCGTGGTAACAGAGAAATATTTTTCAACCCAAAGATGTTTTACAAAAGAGAAAAACTATACTTTGAATAATTGGTAGTATAAACACAAAGTACCAGATAACACTGAAAATGACAAATGTATAACGTGTATATTTGACAATGATAAGGCAAAGGCATATACTATAAAATAAACAAAACTTATCAATGCATAATATTTGATGATTCTAGTTCCAAAATCAGTAACCTAATAAACCTATTAACTAATTTATTTTCAGAATTGTGAAATTAAGGTGTTCTAAATAATTTTAAAAATCGTTTAGTTACGTAAAGTAGATAGTTTTTAATGGTAAAATTTGATTACAGATGATTTTTTTTACTTGACGCTCATTTCGTAAATTACTCAAGTGCCTATTTTTTTTATAGGTACTTATAAGTCCTTTTCTGTTAACCATTAATAACTATGCTAACTTTACTGTTAATCTACCAATAAAGTTTGACACATCTATTAAGGAATTGCTTTTATCGCTCGATTTTGTACCTAATTAATCACATATGTCAAGAAATAGTATATATACCACATAACCAAGAAATTACTATTTAATTAAATAAATAGATACCATTTTATTACTAAAATATATAATTATTAAGTCTGTACTTCATGTTTGTGTAATTTTTAGTTTTTTAACAACAGAAAAGTATTTGATTTGATTCTAAACGTTTTCATAATAGACTTCTTTCTGTGTCCATAAAAAAACTTTTCTACCAATGATCTTCCTTCAATCAAACACTGTATAGGACTCTTGTAGAATTTGTTTTTTCTAGTTTGTACATTGGGGAGGTTATTTTTTATTATCCTTGTAGTTTTCTTAACAAATAGAAAAAACTTGAAATTTTTGTTGATTTCTAGATTACTTTGTCAACAAAGGAAAAATATGATTAATAACGCTCTGCTGAGAATTGTTTTATGAATGATTTATCATTGCATACAGATATTAACTTGATTATCCTTTAAATTCTCCCTTCTACATAGAATACATTTTTTTATTTGCATACTATAACATATGTTTAAATGAGGATAACATAACTACAGACAACAAATTGTGATTTAAGGTATGGCACTCAAACAATTTCCCATATTCCCAAACTATTCAATAAGAAAATAAAACTACATTGGAAGGACTTTAAAAACATAACTAAATTGCTTTTGAGTGAACATACAATTTTAATTTTAATTTATAGAACAATCTATAGTCATTATTTTTTTTTCTATAATATAATATTATATTACATGTTATATATCTGCATAGTTTATACTCATTATTCATTAGTCATCAGTTATACGAATAAATAAGTCATTTTGAAGTTTGTTAATTCTCAATAAATTTCTAATGCAATTACTTTGTTTTAATAAAAACATTCTTTAAGTAACCATTAACATTTAACAAACCTACTAATTGTTAGACAGTACAAAATTAAATGATTTTCATATAGGTACAATTATAAACATATTTTATTAATTTGTTCTATAAAACATTTGAAAAAAAATAATATTTATATTTGCAATAACTAATAAGCTTTTAAGTTAGATTATTTCCAAATAAGGTTAATAGGAAATAATGATAATATTTTACAACAATTAATAAAAAAAACAATTTTAGTAAAATTAATATGAAAAAAATATTGACTTAAACAAAATATAAATACATACAAATTCAACTAATTTTATTAGATTTATTAACAAATCAATAATTATAATAATAATTAAACAATTAATTACAAAAACATTTAAAATTAAAAGTAAATTTTATAATCATTATTGATTGAGTGTTGAGAACCTTACAATTGTTAAAATAAACATTTTAAAAATATAATTAGTTTAATTTTAAGCATGTTCCCCTCTTACAAAAGGATGAGGTAATAAGGACATAATTCCGTTAATTATTGCGAAAGGTTTTCGTTGAACACATACTTTAAAAGACCAAGGATTACCTAACAAAGCCAATTTACCATAATTATTCTGAGCCATTTCATCGGTTTCAATATTATTTTCACATACATAAACAATATCAAAGAAAAATAACCGAGAACAGAAAATATTAAATGTCATTTTATCAAATTGCTCAATGATTGGTAGACAATCATCTCTATTATAAGTCATAATAACTCTAAAAATACTATCTTTGTGCATATTTCTCATTTGCCTAACATATTTTAATAGGGGACCAAAATCATACGAAGCAACTTCCTCTGGTTTATCAAGTTGAATTGATATAGATAATAATTTGTCAAAAACAGTATTTAAATTAGATGTAAAATCAAGTACTTTATTAAATGACTGTGAAGTTATTACACAAATTCCAAAAGAATGATTTTGGAAACGATTTTTTTCTAATGCAAATAATCTGATTGCCTTTTTAATTACAGTCAAACTAGAAATTGGTACCAAATTTGTTGGACTAAGGTCTATATCAAACCTAGATAATGCATAGCTGTCAACCACAAATAAAATTTTTTCATTAGGTAGGTTTTTAAATATTGTAGGTGTTTTAATCTTGTTTTTGGAAAGAGCATTGGCATAAGACATCTTAAATTGGATTAAAATTTGAATTCAACTATATTCAATTACTCAACTTCTATGGTTCTGAAGTTGTTATTTCTTAAAATCTTCTGGTTCAATGATCATAAAAGCCTAGAAAAAAAATAAGAAATATTTAAACAGTATTATCATTGGAATATTTCTAACTACTTAATTTGGCATACCTATATTATATTTTACTTTATTAACGACTTTAAGATTAATTCAAGAAGTAAAATTCTGTCACCTTTAAGTTACCATTAATGAAATGAGATAAACAGCTTAAATGAACTATAATTAACAATAAAGTTTATGTGAAAATAAGAAAAACTGTTTTAAAATTTATTAGGAAATTTAGAAAGCAAAGCTTCAAAAAAGTTATACAGCCCAGTTTGTTGTTTAATTAAATGCAGCAACACTGCCATACATAATAATAACTCTGTTTATATGTATACATTAATGTAACACTTATTTCATGATTGTTATTTTTATTCTACAAAAATACATAGGTACCTACTTTTAAAATGGTTTTCTGATATTTGTTGTGATTAAATAATTTTGTTTTCACAAAAAAAAATCATAGACAATCAATATAAACATTTATAGTTCAAAATCGCACTGATTAATGTGAAAATAAGATTAAATCTATTAATGAGAAACGACTTTATTATAGTAAACTGCTTATACTGCAATACCTGAATTGATGAATGCTGATCTTACTTTCCTATGTTGCTGATTGTTAATCGCATTCGTTCTATAATAACTGCAGCTGTATTGTTGACGTTAACCTAACTGATGACTGATAAGAGAAGAAAATAAATACTTAAATTGCTATCACAGAGAGAGTTCGTGGCGTTAAAACTTATTTTACAATTTACATAATTACATTTGCATTAATTTAATAACTACAAAACATATACTTAATATTATTAATATTTAATTCATAAATAAAGAAACATGCGTGCACCAAAACACATTAACATTGGTATTATCATAGATAATCTTTATTATCTATTGACATTAAACATAATACTATACAAATAACTTATTACAATAATATTAACAAAATACCGTCCAAGTATTGTAAAAATGAATTGACAATATTTAAATATATTTTTAACCATCAATTAGGTACCTAAACTACCTATTAATATTTAATAATACAAAGGAAAAGTTCTACTGGTCATTTCAATTGACATGCTCATTTACGATTATTGTTAGCTATCTATCAATCAAATATAAGTAATAATAAATTGAAATTTGACATCGGTTATAATTATTAACATGATAAATAGGTAAGTATCTTATTTGTCATATGGAATATATGTAATGCATTAAGAAGTGTAATTGATAACAGTAATGGCTAATAGAAAAGAAATAATTGGATAGCCAAAAAACAATAATATTGCTTTAAAATCTGCTTAAAATAAAAACCCGATCAAATAAAAAAGACTACGCAATTTTGCCTGCATTAGAAATAAAAAACATTGTAAAAGCACAGCATCATCAGTATTATTACGAATATTATACGTAGATACTTTATTTAGTGTAAATGTAATAATATCTATACTTATAACAAACAAATATATAAAGAAACCACTTTTTCTGAAAGGAAATCTGACTGTGGTAGAACTTAAGAAGGTAATTTTTTAATTTTACCAATAAATGGGAAAAACCGAAAAAACGAGAAAATAGGTACAATATTAAACAAATATCAAAGAATATATATAATGCATATGTAATTATTTTACCATAATATGACATACATATTGTTAACAAAACAACATTAGCCACCAAACTATAATACACATTTTTTAGCTTATGATGTTTTATACAAAGAAAAATTGATAGACCCAGATGTTAAATTTAATGATTAAATTTACAACAAAACTTCAATTAGAATAGAAGACAAATTGATAGCTTGCATTGGAAATTACCTCAAACATAATCAAATACAAAGTCCTCTCAGAAATCCAATTGACATAGCAAATTTAGATAGTTCCATATATTATTATGAAAAGAACAAAATGAAAATGTGTTAATAATTGAAAATTAACTTACATTTAATCAAAAATATATTTTATAATACAATTTTGGAGAATAATAATTACTAAAACAGTGGTTTATATTTTTTAAACACCCCAGGTGTCAAAGGAAAAACATATATGCTAAATTTAATAAAAAAATGAAAAATTAAAGCTCCAATAAAAAAGGAAAGACTGGAACAAGAAAAAAAGTTAATAGAAAAATTAATTTCAAATAATTAATTATTATTAACAATTTATTACTAAATACTAATTTTTTTCTTTTATGTAATTGTATGTTTACAAAATTATTGATAAATAGACACTATGCCTATAAATACTTATTACCTATTATGTGTGTTAAATTATTACAAGAAATGTATTTTATTCAGTATAACCCTATAAGATGCATATGTGATATGCTTAGGTTGTGGTTTTAATAATTTTCCAAAAAATGATTTTTACAATAAAAATTTAAAAAAAATGTATATATAATCATGTTTATTTTCAGTGTTTAAAAGTAATCATATAAATACATGAACAAAAAAAAAAAAACAAAATAAATATGTATTGAAGTAAAATTGTAACCGTATAATAAAATTTAGCATATTTTGCATCCAACTAACTTTTATTCAAATTAGTATTAATTAAAATATATTGATTATATGTACCTACTTAATGTAAATTTCATAAATATTTTATTTATTATTTAGACAATTATTTATAGTAGGTAGTTTATTTTAAGGTATCAAAAGTAGGTAGTGTAACATTCCATTATATGAATTATAATAATTTTATAAATAGACAATGAATAATTATAAACATTTTTGATCACTAATCAGTAAAATAACAGACAAGGCTCTTCCAGTATTTGTAATTTATAAACGATGAATTGATGTAACAAATTTGGCCAGTGCATTTTTAAGTTAAATTTGTCAATGGCAAATTTCTATGGATACCCATGTTTGTAAAATATACACTTTCAAGTAACTTCTTACATAATATATTCCAATAGGTATATAATTAAATTGCATATTTAATATGTTTAAATATTATAGGATTTAATTACATATGCTTGAAACAAAACAGTAAATTACCCTCATGAGTCATGAAAATGTTTACATGAATGGGCAGTTAGTATTATATAATATACTATATAGTATTATATTACACTACTAATAATAATATTATAAAAATACTTATTTGTAATAAATGTTACATAATAATATAATATTACGTTGGACAGAACAAAATACAGTTTTTTTACAGACATAATGCATGTGTGCATGAAAAATAATATTAAAATATTTAGTTATAATAAATTTGTATATATATATACAAAATTTTAAAAGAAATAGGAATAGTTGACTGTTGTAACAGTCATGTATAGAGGATTGTAAGGCATCGCACAGGGTTTTAAAATCGAAAAAAACTGAAATAAAGTCAATTTTTCAAGTTTTTATTTTTAATGAAATTGTTGAAACTTTTTAGTATACTACTTGTTTATTTATTTATGCATATGACATATCGGCTTATATATATGGTAACAGAGTTAAGTATATAATAACAATAGTTAAATAGATAGATAGATAGATAACACGATTATTAAAATATATAATAGATTAATAGATAGGTAAATTTATTTTTAACACAGTAAAAGATTTAATAATAATAAGTTAAAAGTTATAATTGCACAACAAGTTCCTCAAGCCATTTCGCTGCGGCCGGGCCACACTCGTGCAGTTTTACCAGCCCATCTTCAAACTTTGTGAAAGGGCACGTCTCCACGATGTGCGTGATATTCTGTATCTCACCACATTCACACAGTGGTGAGTCAACCATGCCCCATTTATGCAGTAGGTAGTTGCATCTTCCCTGCCCGGTTCTGATACGATTGAGTGTTGTCCACTGTGCCCTTTTAAAATCCCAGCCAGGCACTTTTATGGACGGTTCTTTAATCAGGTCTTGGTTACGAGTTTCTGTTTGACTCCATCTTCTTTTCCATAGGCACTCTGTAGTCTCATTGTTTATTTCTGTCTGCCATATGGGGGCTCTGGACTTTAGGCGTAATGGTGGGTGCTCAAGCATGTCCTTTTAAAGTAGTAAATTAGGTAGTCTGTTAATTTTTTCTATCATTTTTTAGCGCCACATCATCCGCATATATGAATTTTCTAGAAACAGTATCGGTGATGTCAGTCGTATACGCATTAAAGAGGGTAGGAGACAGTACGGATCCTTGCGGGAGCCCATTCTGGAGGAATTTTTACCCGCTTACCTTACCGTTAAGTGATACACGGATTTTCCTGTTTGATAGTAGATTTTCCAGTACTCTGATCGTCGTTCTACACTTTTTNGACTGCGCCAGACTTCTCTTGACGTTGAAAGCCATTTTCTATATGCGTTGATAGTGTGAGGGTTTGATCACAACAATTTCTATTACACCTAAAACCAGCTTGTTCTATTGGTAGTGATGCTTCCACTAAAGATTGTAATCGTGATAGGATCAGTCTTTCAAAATATGTATAAGTCGTTGACAGCAGGGATATTGGTCGGTAGTTGTTAGGGTTGGTAGCTTCTTTATTTGATTTTAGGATAGCTATCACTTTCGTTTCTCGCCATATTTTTGGGAGAGTATTCGTATTTACTATTTTATTGACCAGTTTTGCAATCCAGCTGATGCTCCGGGGTCCAAGATTTTTAAGAAACTCTGACAAGATTTCGTCTGTTCCAGCTGCTTTTCCGTTTCTTAAATTTTTTAGAGCGTTATAGACCTCTTCATCAGAAAAGTCTGACATGAGTGCTGACTTTTCTTCGCACTTCCCTAGCTCCTCTACGAGTTTTCTTCTTACTTCTGATTTTTCAGTTTTTTGCAGTTTGATGAAGTAAGAATGAAATATCAATTGCTGCGACACATCCAGCTTTCTTAGAGGGATGCACAGCGCCAAGCTTTCGTAATAGAGACCAGCTTTTCCTGCTTGAGTGTGTGTAGTCCATTTCTTCCATTGCTGCTAACCATCTATTTCTTCTCTCTTCATCTAGTAGTGACATTAACCGATTTGCTGTTAACTCACTTCCAGATTGATCATATTCGTGTAATAGTGAGTCGCACTCTTTGTTCGAGCATGGTATGTAGTTCTGTCTATGTCCTCTAAGTATCGCTAAGACAGCTGCTTTTTTAATAAGTTTTACAAATCTTGAGTAGGTTTTTGGAGTGGGAGGGATGCGGTTTATATTCTCTTTCATGTATTTGGTGAAATCCACCCATCTCGCCTTTCGAAGGTTCCACCTGGGCATTTCGGGGTTATTAATTCTTGGAAAATTGACGCCTATATCTATAACCACTGGCTTATGTTGGCTTTTGGGGAATTTAGGTAGGATTTGTCGTGAGACTCTTAAAGGTTGGTTATCATTGTCTCTTGTTACAAAACAAAGGTCAGGTGAGGTAGTTGTCCCCCATCGTTGTTCTTTAGTGTTCTGATTTACGTAGGTTGCCAATCCATGCTTGGCGTGGCCTTTATAGTCGACCATATTGAATCCAGGCACCCTCAGGCGACTGGTCTTGTCACTCGGTACGTGAGTCTCTTGGATTGCCAGTACATCTGCATCCTTAAACATTTTGCCTAAAATATCAGACTTTGTCCTTGTCAGGCCTTCCACATTCAGTAGCACTAATCTGATTGCTCTTTAAGATTCTTTGTTGTATTTGTGATTTTCGTTGACTGGATAAGGTTTTAAGATTTTATTTTTTCTGTTTTTTTAATTTTTTTGTAAGGGATTTTGTTGTTTTTACTCTTTACGTATCTGCTACGCATGTCAGGGTAGCTCTGAAAAGGGCTGTTTAAGCCGATAGAGCCAGGAGGTCTTAAGACGTTTGGCTGTCGGTTTGATGTCGTTTCGTTTCGTGCCATTATCACATATAACCGCAGAACTATGTTCCAAAATTATATATTTTATGTAATATTAGCACTGCTCACGGGAGGGACCACGGGAAGGTACGACATAATCCCCCCCACTACTTGTTTAATAGTGTATTACTAAAAATTTCAAAAAAAAAAAAAATTATAAATGTCTTTAAAGACCATAATACCTTAAAAACTTATAAGTGGTAATTTTATTGTAAACAAATTTTAGGATTGCTACTTAAATTTTTGATCATAATAAAATTATAACAGAAATAAAGTATAAATGATTTGACTTAATAAATTAAAACTATTTTAACACTTTAATTTACTGAGTAATTTCTCATATCAGTTTAATTAATTTTATATATTTGTATATTCACAATGTATTCGTGTAACACACATACACCTATTATTATTATCGTTTAGTATAAAAACTATACAAATAAGCCTGATAAAATATTAAAATACGAAGTACAAGAAATTATTCAATCAATAGATGTAATTATTAATTAAAAACTATTTCCAATAAAATAATAATTTATGTTCGAAAAAAGATGGGTTAGTTATGAGTGGTCCTTTAAATGCGCTTCTGTCTGATTTTTGCATACAAAATTATGAAACCAATAATATTATATATAACAAAATATATATAATCTATATATAAAGCATATTATAGATATGTTGATGATACGTTCATTTCATTTAGAGGTTCAAATAGACAAGCAGAAAGTTTAGTTAATTACTTAAACAAAATAAAGAAAAACATTCAATTTACACTCAAAATATGAATGAATAATAAATTAAATTTCTTAAATTTTACAGTTTCCATAAAAAACAATACATTTGATTTTTGTATTTACAGGAAACCCACACAAACTAATGCTAACTAATTCCACATGATTCTAATCACTCTTTTTCTCAAAAATATTATTTTTTAATTCAATATTCTATAGGATTAAATGTATTCAATTAAATAAACATAATTATCAACATGAGCTCAACATTATCTATAATATATCCCACAGAAATGATCTTAATTTAAATACTATTAAAAAATATATAGACGTATTAAAGAAAAAAACAATACACAATTCATCAAATAATATTGTTAACTATTGTAATATAATATACTAAAATAATATGTCTAACGAATTCGATAAAATTCTGAACAATAATACAAATGATGTGAAAATTGCTTTTAAGACTATAATAGAAAATTTAATCAAATATATAAAGAATAGAACTAATAACTTCATAAAAAATCGCCCTTCTTTTGAAAATGCTGGTATATATAAACTTAAATGTAACTGTAATAAATTTTATACAGGTAAAACAAATAGAAATTTTAAAATAAGATATAAAAAACATATTTCTAAAATAAAATTAAAAAAGACTGCCTCTAATTCAAATTTTGTTTAAACATGTTTTAGAAAATAACCATAATATAAGTTTTGGTATTAATACAAACTTAGAAAAACTAAATACCCAAAATAACATTTACATAAATTCAGTTTTAGAAAAATTACACACACAATAAAATAAATAAAAATTATTTTAATAATATTTTAAATGTATAAACCGATTTTCAATACCGATATTAATACATTTTAAATAATAACCAAATAACCAAATAATTTTATATTTCTTAAATATCTATGTCTAATAAAAACTAATTTTAAATAATTTCTCCTATTAAAATAAATTATTTCTATATTCAATGTAAAAAGACCAATTTATATAATTTTTTTTCTGATATTTTCCTTCATTTAATTTTTCATATTCAGCTACTTTTTATATTTTGATTGTGATATACCTGATGACGAATTTTTAATTCGTAACCGGTCGTATAATACATTTATCATAATACTCCAGGTGACGCATTGATTCATTTATTTATTTTATTTTTACGTATACTTTTTTTATTTATATATTTATTTACTATATTTATTTACTTTATTTATTTACTAGTATTAACCATTTTAATAATTTTGTTTTTATTTTATTATATTATAATTTATTATTTATTATTTTTTTCCATGATAGACATTTTCAAAGTAGTTTTAAAATATTTCGTCATTCGTCAACAATATTTTATGATACTTCAGTAATGAATAGAACTAGAAAAAATATTGGGGGTTGGTTTAACCTCCAGGATACTCCCCCCCCCCTAAATACGCCACTGACCATAGTTACTATAGATTATATATGAATACAATATAACTGTTAATTTATTGTTATTACATACAATGGTGAGGTACTCTACTCGAAAAATTAATTTTAGTTCGTAAATTATAATGGATGATTCCCATTTCTGTCAAAAAAACTTCTGGAAACCAATGATTTTAATTTTAATTTGTAAAACGTTTTAAATATAATTTACTCGTTTAATGTAACCTATTTTAATAATTCAATATCATTTACTCGATAATTTAATAATAATATAAAGAATATTGTGAAGAGCAATTACATATTAAAGAGATTAAAAAGTACCGAAGAAGGAATTATAAAGAAAAAATATAATGTAATTATAGATACACTTTTGTTAAAACGGTTTCATTTAATTATGTCATTATCGTTAAACGTTTACTATATTAATTATAATATGAATGACTGTAACGACTTATATTATTATTACTATACCTAACAAATTATTATTATTAGGTATTACTGTGACCTTTTGAAATATTTAAATTTAATGGATATGATGTGATTTTTAAAAAAACTAACTTAATTATTTTATTGTTGACTTATTGATTATAATGAATAATTCGAATAGTTATATTATTATTACTTTAAGTGTACGTTTCCCAAATAATATTTGGTGAAAACGTCTCTTTAACAAAATAGATATTTGCAGAAACGGAAATCGTACCATTTTGGCATAATTTTAGTTTAGCGCCCACGCGATTTTTCGGTTTTTTTTTTCAAAATGTGTTATTTTTCGTGTACATTAAAAATTTAAAAACGAAAAAGTTGAACGAACTTCGTTTTGAAATTATGGGGGAAAATTTCATAAAGTTCGGGTTTTCCGTTTCATGTATTTCTTAGTTAAAACTTAAAATTAAAAAAATTTTTTTTTCCAAAATATATGTTTTTTTAATACTTAGTCCATTAGTATAATCAAAACTTACCTATCATACTTACTATTACAGTTTTTTGTACATAAACCTCGAAAAATAGCATTTTTGAAAATTATCTAAAAATAGACATTTTTATTATTATTATTATTTGTAGTTATTGATATTTTGATAAAAAAGTATTTTGTTGAAATCAGAATAAGTCTATCTGGCTTAGTTTTAAAGTTACAAACGTTCTAACGCGGCGTGTTTCGCTGCGCTCACTCGGACAATTTTAATCGAAAATAACTCTTGAGTGTGACCACATTGGGTCTCTAATTTCAACTATAATGCTTTTCATTTTTCCTTGCTAGGTAGCAAGGAAACCTATCCGACGTGGTTTCGCATAAAAAATCGAGGGTTATTTTGATTAAAATTGTCCGAGTGAGTGTAGTGGGTCTCTTATTCCACCTAGGGCTATGTCAATCATTGTCATTAGATAATGACTTATGAATAAATAAAGGATCTTTACATTTTTAATATGAGTCCAAATTGTTTACCAATACGCGTTTTTTATACATTTTAAAAAAGTTAAACAATTTAAAGATTATACTCATAAACCTAACTTAACCTTATGGTTTATCCCCTCCTCCTGCAACCAAACACCTTCCGAAACAGAATTTTGTTTAAATTCATAATTTTGCTTCAGGCATTTGTAGTTCTAGTTAAGTCACTACACAGTTCACACAGTCCAATAATAATAATAATAATAATAGAAAATAATTTTCTCACAATTCGCATGGAACGCAGACTGGCCAGCCGCTAATATTTAGGTAATTTAGAAATAAAATATAAAAATATAAAAATAACCGACGAAAATACATAGTACAATAAATAATAAAATATAATAATAATAATATAATGATCTGTAACAACTATAACAGTTTAATAAATATATCAGTGTAGCTGCCTTTTTTAGTCCGATAAAAACAAGTACCTACACAATAGGCGATCTAGATATCACAACAAATCATTTCGTTTTTAATACATTATAATTTCCCTGTATACCTACGTGCGCAAAAATAGACGGGTGAACAAAAAAAACCACTAAAAAAAGTACAACGGCAGAGAGCACTGCGTCCGCGTATTCCATAATAGATACCTACTTGATAATAACTTAAATTAACTTAATACAAATAAATATGTGCGTGTGTTTGTGTGCGGCTGATAGGTACCTACGTCTTACCTAACTGAAATATTGATCAGGTCAACGACCCACTTTCAAAGGTAGTGACGCCTCAACAAAGCAGGCCTGATCATGGGCGCCGAAATTTCCAATTTTCATGAGATGCCCAAAATCATAAAATAATTAATTTATGTATTATATTACATTGTATATTATATACATTATTATATTGTATTGTATTATATTATAAAGTATTACTCGTTTATGACTTTACTTTTACATTTAGAAGGGGGCGATAAGGCGCAATCGTTTCAAGGCGATAAACTTTTTTTTCGGGTGCCTACAATAATTAATAGGTGATCATTTTTTTTGCCCATCCCCAAAATATATGTGCCCGGAAGTGCAAGTTTTCATAATTATACCTAAAGATGGCAAAACTATAAATACTTCTCTGCTAAAGTTTTAAAAATAATGAAGGCTCGCAAGCAAAATAAAATCAAAATATTTTAGATTCTGAGTGCAGCGAAGAAAGTATTAGTTTTACAAAGATGTTTATTATTTTTTTATCCTGTGTACAAGAGTTCTACTAGAAATCTTGCTTCGATGTATACGATATAGACCTCTTTTTGAAAGGCAATATTCTTGCGGTGGAACTTTAGGGAGGTCATTTTTTGATTTTTCCTGCAGTTTTTTCATAAGAGAAAAAGTAGAAAAAAACCTAAGAAAAACGGGAAATTTACGAAAATAATGCTTTTATTATTTTTTCAATTTTGTTATTTGTTTTATTTTAGTTAAAAGTATTCGTTGAAATTCTATGTACTTAAAATTTGGACATAACAATTATGTTTGACTTTCCTAGACATGGTAAAACTTTCAAAAAATTTAGGCCATTTTTGAGCTATTTATAAACATTTTAACTTTGTGAGTTTTATACGTAATTTTTATTCGGTAGGTACTGTGTAGTAAAATTATTAAACTAAATGGAAATACGTGAAAATTTAACATTATATCTTACTTTGAGGTCAAAAAAAAAAAAAAAAATAAACAAAATTGAATTCAATGAAGTATATTTTTTTTATAAAGAAATTTTAATATGAAATTTTGATGAAAATCGTTTTAGTTAAAATTTATGTGGAACAAATCTAATTTTTCATTTTTAATTTTTAAACATATGTATATTGCCGATTTTTGAACAATGGTGAAATCAAAATTAAGCTGACTAAGTTTCAGAATTATAGCTTTTTGAAGTTCTGATATTATATGTTATGTTAAATAACTTTATATTGTCCTTCTTAAAGCATATTTGTCGTGATGTAATAATTATTTATTTCTATTATCACCCTAGGAGTTCCGAGATCAAACAAGTGTGTCGAAAAAAATTGTTTGTATTTTTTTTCCCCTTTTACCTAAACAAGGAAAAAACAAATGCATTTTAAGAGTACCTAGAGACCAAAGCCGTTGCTCGCTCGGACTATTTTAATCGTGAAATACCTCTCGATTTGTTGTGCAAATTTTTATACTAGAAATCTCGCTCCGATGTATCAGATGTATCTTATTTCCAGAAAGGAAATTTATCTACTTGGTTCTTTAGAGGAGTCATTTTTTGATTTTTCAAGTGGTTTTCATAATATCTGTAAATAAAACAATTTAAACTTAAGAAAATAAAAGTGCTGATTATAGCAGTTTTGACCTTGAGTTATACATATTAATAGCTTAATATTTTGGTATATCAATATCAGCGTTACACGAAATCAACATCAAATGATCAAGTTTGGATTCTGATATTGTTGAGCGAAGATTGGTTTTGATTAATTTTAGTTTTGAAAAACACCTTTCAGCACTTGCTGTCGTTGGAGGTAAAGTGCAAATACCTTTGTAAGCTAAGTACACATTTGGAAATGCCACCGTTATACTTGTATTAGTGAGGGTTTTAAAAATATCTAATAGTTTTAATACATTTGCACCTTCATCATTGGACCTCATGATATCATTATCGTTGCTGTTATTCTTGTGGCTGAATGCATTAATTGTTGTATTGTTATCAATATTTTCTGAGATTTCGGGAAATGTTTTCATGAAATACTTAAAATTTTTTGAGAATAAATTATACTCAGTATTCAAACTATTCTTGATCAATATTCGTGGATGATAACCATTAACATATATAATTAAATAAGCTAGGTGTGGTAAGAGATTTTCGAAGTAAATGTTCAGCAGAAAACAATGAAATTTCATTAAAAACATTTTTAGCATTATTATACCTGTCATCCAGCTTCATTTAAGTCTTATCAAGAGTTTAATAATTAAACAAATATTATTAAAGAAAATATATAATACCTATTTAATTATTTTACTATAATATGACATATATTATATTGTTGACAAAGCATCACTATCAACTGAAATGCGCTAGGAATCATTTTTTTTTTATTTTTAACTATAAATACTTATAACAAATAACATTTTTGAATAAATAAAAAATATCATTATTTTTGTCATACAGAATCTAAATAGTTAAAAATAGTTTAAAATAAAGAGTTGTACAATAGGTATACATTTCTTTATTTTTCAACAAATCCCAAACATAATCCCACCCGTCCACGGTAACAGCTTTTTTTTTTGTTTGTAAACAACTTTTTGAAAATAAATTTTGCTCTGATATGTATAAAGTATAGCACATTTTTGAAAAGAAATTTTTTCTTTAGTTTGTACATTAAAGAAGTCATTTTTTGATTTTCCAAGAGGTTTTTGAAATAATTAAGAAAAACCCAAAAGAAAATTGTTGCTAAAACGACAAATATTTACGGTGCGCTGCGGTGTTACCAATTTTATTGTTTTTAATATTCACAGCTTAAGTTATTTACTAAAAATATTGCTCCAATCGAAAAATGACAGGAGATTGACTTCATTCCATTCATTATGTAGCCACTGAAATAGAGTCATTTTTTGATATCTAAAGTATTTTTCATAATAATTAGGAAAAATAAAAAAGACGAACATTTTTTTCAAATTACAGAACGATTTCATTATTTTACAATTTCACTGCTAATATTTTCACCATAAATATTGCTCCAATAGAAAAACATCATTTGATCTTTTTTGTTGAATTTTTAAACTAGTTGGCGAGTAAGAAAGTCGTTTTATGATTTTCTTTGTAGTTTTTTTTAATAACTGAACAAAACCGAAAAATATGCAGAAAGAACGGAACAATTTACGAAAATAATTTATTTATTATTATACATTTTGTTTCTGTAAAAAAAAATTAGTGTAATGCAGTATTTTTATTTTTCATAAGAGTTTTATTAAAATAAAATTTTGACAAAAATCGTAAATATTACGGTCTTCTAAAACGTATAGTTTCCGAAATTCGCTCCGAATCGTTTTTCGTTGGTTACAGGTATAATAAATAACTTAATGTATCCTACGTTTCAAACTAGCAATCTACAACAGTGGCCGCACCCGTCCTCAGTATCAGCTCTTTAATTATTATTTTTGGATTGTCGTGTATAGGCCACAGAATAGATGAAATTGGTTATATTATTATAAAAGGGGATTTACAACAGCTGCCAGTTGATGATAACAGCAGCAGCAGCTGTATCGAACCACGGTAAGCATACCGGGTTATTGTTATGGTCCGCTGCCCCCCGTCCGATTGCTTTGTGCCACAGCGGAACGATTAAAATGTTCACGAAAATGTACCGTGTACTATCGATGTGTGCGGATAATTGTGCGCAATAGTAATATCACGGAGTGCGTAGTTTTTTTCGTTGGTATTTTTCACATTTTTTTCGTTTTTCCATGTTCGCTATTATTAATTAACATTCTATCGTATGTGCGTTGGGACAACCATGGGATGCGAAGCTTGATTGTTCGTCCGCGCGCTAGATAGACGAAACTCGAATTTTGTCCACACGGATGCGGTACGTGCGTTATCCATCGTTCGTGTGATAAAATAATTATTGTACCTATTTCGTAATCGTCGTCCGTGTCCGCCGCTTCCAAACTTTTTGCTGTTATGGTGATGTGTTGTTAAAAAGTTTATATAAATCTATTAAAAATTAAATAATTTTTTAAAAACCTGACCTACTAATATAATAGTAGGTAGCAAAACCAAAATAAGTGGGTAACACTTAACCTGCAGCTGTAACGTCGGTAGGTATTATTGGTATTGTCTTTTGAAAAATGGCAGCCGAGAGGGAGATAGCTGCTGAGGATAGTATTAAAGTCGTCTGTCGATTTCGACCATTGAATGACTCTGAAGAAAAAGCTGGTTCTAAATTTATAGTGAAATTTCCCAGCGGACCTGACGAAAATTGTATAACAATCGGCGTAAGTTCTAATTAGACAGTTTTAATTATTTTTAAATGCTTGCAGATTTAACTATACATGCAAATAACTATTTAACATAATAATTTTGGGTACCTATTATTTTAATGAGTAATTTGTGTTTACCTTTTTCATTTGAGTCATTTTTTATTCAACAGACCTTTGCCTAGTTTGGCAGCTGGTATACAAATATCTATATTTATTATTTAAAATTGCCAAAATCAATATATTTTTTTTTAGAAAAATCTAACTTTTTTTTTGTTATTGCATTTATTCCATCGGTATAAGTTTGGGCAATTTTTCTTTTTTTCCTTTCATATATATCTATAAATGTCATCATAAAAACTAATTGACTAATTATAAAGTAGCTCGTAATAATATAGTGATTGTCAATTTTTAAATTGTTTTAAAATTACATTACGGGAATATTTATTAGTTCATATGTAATACATCTTGGTGCCTATTTTATTACAATTTACTAGTTGACTTACAAAATGTATAAATTATGTTTTAGTAGTTTTTAATATAATATGTTTATTTAGATAGATACCTAAGTAATATGTTTTTGATTTGGGTATCTACTCTATGTTCGAAACATCTCTATTTATTATATTATACATACATTTGTTTGGGTAAAGTTTTGTTAAATAATATGTAATAGTAGGTATTTATTGTTGTTACAAACCCTAATTTTTAAGGACAAACCAAACATTTCTTAGAAATTAACGAACCAGAACCAACACAAACGAACTTGCACATTCTTATTTGAACCCAAACTGAACCTAATTTTTTAAATATTTTATCAAACTTTAACATTAAAAACTAAAAAGGTTATCCTGTTATTTGATGGTTTTGTGGATTTTTCTTTTTTGTAACTAAGCCACCCTGTCCCATCACAGAACATTGTATTAATGACCGGACTGAATAGATATCAAATGATTTTTGAACTGAACACCCAGAGTTTGGTTTGATTCGAAAATTGAACAGTTCGTAACATCTCTATTTATTATATTATATTTTATCAACAACAAAATTATTTCTACTTACCTAAAATAAATGTTATTATTTTTTAAAATATATACTGCAGTTTAATACAAATATTATGTTTATAATACAAAATGAATGAACTGTGTAGTTACATATACTATTTATTAATTCTTGTAGACTTTAAAAAACAATACATAATTAAGTATTTATAAGTAATTGTATACCTAAGTATGTACCTACATTTAAAAATGGATTGTACCTACTTGGGAAATGACACTTTACTTTTTCTAAACAAAAAAACAAAAACATTTTTTATTAATTGTCTACCTATTTATTTTGTAATATGCAATTTTAAAATTAATATTTACATTTTATGTTTTATTTAGGGTAAAGTTTATTTATTTGATAAAGTTTTTAAGCCAAATGCCAGTCAGGATAAAGTTTATGGAGATGCTGCAAAGTCTATTGTTTCAGGTAAAATATCTTATAATGTTTATTGTTTATTTAACTAGTTATCTTCTTCTTCTTGGGTTAATCGGCCGCTAGGACCATCCCGTCTCACAACCAATTCTCCAGGCATCTCTATTCATCGCCAAATTCTTCCAGTTTGCTCCGCCTCTTAAGACTTCTATATCTCTCTTAACTAAATCTTCCCATCTCAATTTTGGTCTTCCTAAAGGCCTTTTTCCTACTGGATTCTGTTCTAAAACCATTCTTAGTAAAGAGTTCTGGCTTCGCATTGCATGTTCTGCCCACCGCAACCTTTTTTTCTTGATCGTCTCTGCTATGTTATTTTCATTAAAAATTTCTTGTAGCTCTATATTTTTCTTTCTTCTCCACTCTCCTGTGATGTTATCTTTTATTGGACCGAAGATCTTTCGTAATATTTTCCTTTCTAGTATTAAAAATTTTTAAAAAAATTTAACTAGTTATAGTCACACTTTATTATACAATCTAGAATGACTATCAAGCTCTAAAGCCCAGCAAGCATTCTATGAATAATTGGGTCATACCTACTTGTAGCTTTCACCAATAAAACTTTGGTTAACTTTTCAAGTTCCAAAACATCTGTATTTAACTAAATAAAAATAATTTTCTGTAAATACTGTTTGTGATACTTGATATCTATTGTTCTATAAAGTGTTTTTTAAGAACCTAGTCAACTTATCAAGCATTTATTAAAATACATATATTTGTTAATTGCATTTAGTAGTTATTTATAACTCAAAATAAATTAGTTCAATATTTTATATTACCCACTTCAAGTTTTAGGTAAATGTTTTGTTTTTAAATAATAAATCAATTCTAATATGACACCCTTGTTTCAAATAATAGATTTAATATCTTGTGTTCATATTTTTGAAAATAATAAGGTCCTGATAAAAAGATAGGCATTTCAATGTATTTCGAGCTGTCTATAACAGACTCTTTCTATTACGGAAACGGGCAATAATATTTTTAGTCAATACCTCAATAACAGACATCTATCTTAGTTTAAAATCAAATATATTGCAAATTTGTAGCGTGTACATACATATCACACAATAGCCTCGCCGGTTTATTTCAAATACTGATTATGATAGATTACATGTTTGATAATATATAGGGTTTGGGACTTATTGCATTTGAAATTCAGAAAAAAACACTTTAAAGTGTCGAAAAGCCTTACTAAAGCATTTCAAACAAATATTATTAGACTAAACGGTAGAAGGGTTTAAATGTCCTCTATCTAACAACTTTAAATTATTAAATATGATATATGAACCCTACTATTATCAAAAAAGACAAAAATAACAAAAAACACAAAATATAAAGACTATTTAGTGTTCATTCCACATAGCTTCACTATTATAGTGTTATACATTTTTCTCTATTTGTTTTAATTTTTTCTTTGCAATACTACTTCCCTACTTGTCTATAATGAATATTTGTATGCCCTTCAACTATCCGTTATTACCAGGCTTCACTGTATAATTGTTTTGTTTTATTTTGTATTATTTATAAAAACACTTTTAGGGAGGTTGTTAACATAATTAAGCTTGTTTTTGTGTACAATTTTCTTTTGCAATTCCAGAAATTAAACATTGACAATACATTAAGTACTTAGTTTAGATAGGTAATTTTTTTATTTCTTAGTTTGAATACAACTAGCAAAGTTTCAACTATATTATTAGTACCTTAGCAAAAAATAATTTTAATAATACATTTTAATTTTAAGCTTCATTTAGCTAGTTATAGCTGAAATTTTCAAGTACATAAGATTTTCAAGTTAGACTCACTATTCTATATTTATATGAATAGAATGTGGGAATAAATTATTAATTTGTTTATGTCACTTGAGTGCCTATTTATAATTTAAAACTGATAAATGTTTTTTAGTCTTGTTTTAACAATAATATTAACATTATGAGTGACAACAAAATATTTATTTATAGATGTACTTGCTGGTTATAATGGAACAATTTTTGCATATGGTCAAACTTCTTCTGGTAAAACCCACACCATGGAAGGTGTTATTGGTGATCCATCTAAACAAGGTATTATACCACGAATAGTGAATGATATATTTAATCATATATATGCTATGGAAGAAAACTTAGAGTTCCATATAAAAGTTTCATATTTTGAAATCTATATGGATAAGATTCGTGATTTATTAGATGGTATGTACTTAAATTTCATCTCACAAGTTTGAATAGTTTAATATTCATTCAATATTATTTATAGTATCAAAAGTCAATTTAAGTGTTCATGAAGATAAAAATCGAGTTCCTTTTGTGAAAGGTGCTACTGAACGGTTTGTTTCTAGCCCTGAAGAAGTATTTGCTGTAATTGAAGAAGGAAAATCCAACCGACATATAGCTGTCACAAGTAAATGAGTGATGATCAAATTATTACTTCTTACTTTGTTATTTTTACTTTATATTGTAATATTAGACATGAATGAACATAGCTCAAGAAGTCATAGTGTGTTTTTAATCAATGTAAAACAAGAAAATTTGGAAAATGAAAAGAAGTTATCTGGAAAACTTTACCTTGTAGATTTGGCTGGTAGTGAGAAGGTAAATAAATTGAGTTATAATTAATAATTATGAACTTAGATAATATGAAAATAAGATATTTTTTGGTTATGTGTACTACCGAATGGTGTCACAATTGAGATATCTTTGTTCCTCTGTTAACTACCTGACATGGTTTTGCTAACAAATCAGGAGTTGGTTTTTTTCAATTAAAATATCACATGGACTTGCATACAGATAAAAATATTTTTGGCTGACGGATGTGTGTACATTAAAAGTACAGTTATACTCTGAGCTTATATCAGACTTTAAATCAAAAATAAACTCTGATTTGTTTATTAAATATGGAATAGGTAACTGGAAGCTAAAATAGCTTTGCCATTTCATGTCACTTTTAATACAAATTTTAAAAATGCTGGTTTGGGTAGCTACTTAATCAGGTAGTAACTGAAAAGTACCAAAAATAATTTTATAGTACTGTACAATATTTATAAAGTAAACAATAATATTAATTATAAAGTAGTAGGTATATAAAGTATATATACTTTTTTCTATACAATCATTACTATTATTAGGTTAGTAAAACTGGTGCTGAAGGTACAGTTTTAGATGAAGCAAAAAATATCAACAAATCTTTATCAGCTTTGGGAAATGTAATATCGGCTTTAGCTGAAGATAAAAAAACTCACATACCATATCGGGACTCAAAATTAACACGTATCTTACAAGAATCTTTAGGAGGAAATGCAAGAACTACAATAATAATTTGTTGTTCTCCAGCATCATTCAATGAATCTGAAACTAAATCAACCTTAGATTTTGGCCGAAGGTGAGTTTTATAATATATCTTTTAATAATAAATTGTAATTTCTTTCATTATATTTAAGAGCCAAAACAATTAAAAATGTAATCACGGTAAATGAAGAATTAACGGCAGAAGAATGGAAAAGGCGTTATGAAAAAGAAAAAGAGAAATGCACTCGCTTTAAGACCAAATGTGATAAACTACAGGCTGAACTTAATCGGTAAGTTAGTGATACAAATTATTTATAAGCTAGTGTTGACATTATTTTTCTTTCATCATTAAAATAATTTAGTTGGAGGTGTGGTGAGACTGTTAAAGAAAATGAACAAATTAATTTACAAGAATTAATGGAAGTATCTACACCAAATGTTCAGATTGATATTAAAAAAGGTAGATCTTTCAAGATTTTTTTTGTTTTTTTAATTATACTATAATTTCCCTGTGTTTTTATGAATTTAATATTATGTATGTATAAATATATATATATATATATATAGAATTAGTTGGACCAGTTCCTGCTATTCCTGGAGGGGTTATGACAGAATCTATGTCAACTGAAGAGAGACAAAAGCTGGAAGAAGAACGTGAAGCATTATTCCAACAGTTAGATGATAAAGATGAAGAAATTAACCAGCAAAGTCAGGATATAGAAAAGTTAAAAGATCAGATCTTGGAACAAGAAGAAGTATATTTATCTTATACATATTATCCTATATAACCTAACAATACATACAATACACATTCACATTAACATTCTTACTACCTTAACACTAATTTTAATTAAGTCACTTATTCAATATCACCACCTTGTTCTTAAATCTTTTTCATTATTATAATAAATTGTATTTTAATTTTAAACTTATGTATTACAGCTTCTAACATCAACTCAACGAGATTATGAACAATTGACCCAGGAAATGCATCGTATAACACAAGAAAACGAATCTGCAAAAGAAGAAGTTAAAGAAGTACTGCAAGCTCTAGAAGAACTTGCAGTAAATTATGACCAAAAAAGCCAAGAAGTTGATGTGAAAAATAAAGAAAATGAAACCCTTGTTGAAGAATTATCTTTAAAAGAAGTAGATTTACATAATATTTTTTTTTTCATAACTAAAACTATGCTTGTCAAAGAGTATTAATGTCAGTTTATTTTCTTAGTCTTCATTAAATTCTACAACCTCTGAACTACAAGAGTTAAAAGATATATCTATACACCAAAAAAAACGTACTACAGATATGTTATCTAATCTACTTAAAGATATAGCTGAAATTGGTGTTGCCATTAATAGTGAAACTGAACTTAATGTAAGTAATTTTAAAATCTATAATCTATATTAAAACAATGTGTAATTATAAATGTATATATTATAATAGTAATAAAATATATTTATATTTAAGCTTCTAACTAACAGTGATGGAAATATAAAATTAGATGAAGAGTTTACTGTTGCTAGATTATATATTAATAAAATGAAATCAGAAGTGAAAAATGTAGTTCAACGATGCAATTTCTTTGAACAGAGTCAAAACGATATGAACAAAAAAGTAATTTTTGCTAGATGTAGACTGTATTCTAGTTAATATTAAAACTTTTTACTGTCATTAAATTTAGGTTAATGATTATGAGAAAGAGCTAGCAGAAAGTCGATTAAAAATATCACAGAATGATGCACGTTTAAAGTCTATGCAAGAATCATTAAGAGAAGCTGAAAATAAAAAACGAACTTTGGAAGAAAATAATGATACTCTACGTGAAGAATTTGCTAAAATGAAAGCAGCTGGTATAAACATATCATTAAGCAATCACGAGATTATATAGTTTTTGGCTTATTAAATCAAAATTTATATTTTTTAGAGCAAGTTCATATTGTATCCTCATCAAAAGAAAAAGCCGAAGAAAAGGAAAAAGCAATTAGTATGCGAGCTGCTCTGGAACAACAAATGGATCAAATACATGATGTTCATCAAAAGCAGGTACCTACTTGCAATATTTCAAAAGAAAAAAAAAATAATACATTGAAAAAATTATACAATTTGTTTTCTAGGTTGCCGATTTAAGAGATGAAATAAGTGAAAAACAGCAAGTGGTTGCAGAACTTAAAGATCAAGTTCAAAAATTGTCATTGGCTCAACAACAACTACAAACAGATTTTAATAAGTTATTACAGGAAGATCAAGATAAGAGTCAGAGACTTCAAGAATATGTATTGGCTAATGAGCGACGCGAACAAGCACGTAAAGATCTTAAAGGTTTGGAAGATACTGTTACAAAGGAACTTCAAACATTACATAATTTACGCAAAATATTCGTGCAAGATTTACAAGTGTGTTTCACAATTAAATTAAGTTGCATAGATGTATAAAATAAACATTTATCTTTATAGTCTCGCATGAAAAAATCGACTACAGCTGATGATACTGACGAAACAAGTAGCAGTGGTACATTAGCCCAAAGACAAAAAATAAGTTTCCTGGAGAATAATTTAGACCAGCTTACAAAGGTTCATAAACAATTGGTCAGAGATAATGCAGATTTACGATGTGAACTACCTAAATTGGAAAAAAGATTACGTGCTACAATGGATCGGGTCAAGGTAAATTAAATGATTAAAATATTATAAGATTGTGGGATATATGTGTATTCAATTTTTTTAGGCACTTGAATGCGCATTAAAAGATGCCAAAGAAGGTGCTATGAGAGACAGAAAACGATATCAATATGAAGTTGATCGCATCAAAGATGCAGTGAGGCAAAAGAATTTAGCTCGTAGAGGACCAAGTCCGCAGATAGGTAATTTCATCCTAAGTATATTGTATTAATGTTAAAATTTGCATAAATTAAATTTTTTATTTTAGCAAAACCAATAAGGGCTGGTCAACATAATATTATAGCAAGTAACCGTATAAGTGAAGATGAATTGAAAAAACGAAAAGCCTCTATTATAAATGGTATATATTAATTTATTATAATTTTCCTAGTTTTTATATGAAAATGTTTTCAAACAAGATTTGTTTTATGTAATTTTCAGAAGTTGCTGAAAGTAATTAAGAGCTTTTCTATTTAAGCAAATTAATGATGCTCTTACCAAAAGCAATGTTTTTACTGCATGGTGGAAGTGTTTGTATTTAATTATGCAAATCGAGTTTATATTATTTATAAAATATAATTTTTACTACACAATTTTAAAAATTTAATCAGTTATTGCACCTTTTATTAAATAAAATATAATATAATAATAATTATACACTTATAATGATTATAAGCAAGTGTTATCAACTTAAACAGCAACTGTTATTTAAAAGAAGAAATTCTTTAAAATAATTGAAATTCATATGCTTTCTAGGTGCTGTTTTTTTTTTGCTTTCACATTGTTTGTATTTATTAAAATCAAAAAAAAAAAAAAAAAATTGGTTTTATATCTTCTATTCTACACTATCAAATTTTACTTGGCTTTAATTATATTTATGTAGAGGAAAATACAATTTTTATATTATTATTATTATTATTATTATTATTATCATCATTGTGTATTTTATAACCAATATCTCAACAATATTATTTAAAATCTTTGATTTAATTTTTGTCTTATATTTATTTATTAAACATTTTTCCTATTTTTTAAAATGTTAAATTTTGTTAATTACTACAAATTTGACATACAAATAATAGTATAGAGGTCAAAGTACATTTTTTTTTTTTTATCATTGGATTTTATTAAAAAAAAAAAAATTATGATTCAAACGTGGTTTTAATACTGTGTAATTTAAAGTTAAAGTATAATAATATTAAACTAATTAAATTTATTAATTTAACATTAAAAGATTTTTGAATGGAGTTTATACATTTAATTTGCACTTATAGAATACATATATTTACTTTAAATTCTGCCAATTTATTTGAATAACTATTTTTATTTATGTAGACTTAAATGTAAACATCAGTAGTTACACTTTTATTGCCTTTAATTTTTTCATATATATTAATTAAAATGATTTAATTTTTTTTTTCTGTTTTTTCATATAAAATGTCTATAATTAGGTGAAGGGTTTTCATATTTAAAGATCGGCTTCACATTTAGTGAGTAACAATGCAAAACTAATGAAAATCTAAATAACACTAATTCATTAAAATTTGTATGAAATAAACTGATGTGCATCTAAATAAATCTACTATACAATTTATTATTAAATTTTTGTGGTTTGATTTGTGAAAACCAAAAAAATATTCCATTTAATTATAAATAATTAGTTTATTAGTGGTTAATTTTATTCTATGGGCTACATTTGTTTAATTATACAAGTAATGTAGAAAAAAAATATAATAGATTTAAAATAATATCATATACCTAATTATTATGAAGTTTATTGAAACAAAAAAATTATTTAGTTTTATAATATATACCTACTTATGTATTGTTTTTTAAATTCACAAAAATTAGTAAATTTTATATGTAATTACAGAATTAATTCATTTTGTATTGTAAACATATTATTTGTACTAAGCTGCAGTATAAGTTTTAAAAAGTAACATTTAGCTGAATCTCTCATCTAATTGTTGAAAATGCTTAAAATATACATTCAAATTATGATATACAGTTTAAATGTTTTATTTATAACTGATTATACCTTTTTCATTCTGCAAACAAATTTGATCCTGATTATAAAAATTATATAAAAAATAAATATAATTTGTATGCTTATAACAATCATATGAATTTGTCCATGGATACTGCAATTTGTTTTGAACTGATAAGTTAAATTAATGAAAAAAATAATTTATATTTTACTCTATTACTCCTTATAGAATTTTATAAAACCTTTATGAGATGTATGAAAGGTAAATAAATTGTTAATATTGGCTTTATCTTAATCTGTATTATATATTTTTGATTTCTTTTCTCTGTTCACTTGTATCTAACAATCCACAATATCCTTATATTTCAAATTTCCATTTAATTTTCAAATAAATATACCTTCCAGCACCTGCATATTATATGTACATTTCATGATAATAACTGTTTATAATATATACTAATCAAACAATTATACCATTATGATTTAATTATTGTTATACTATTAAGTAAGATTATACATAATATACCAAAATAAAAATATATTCTATTTATTTTATTATTCATAATAAAATAACTTTAATTTTACAAATATTTAATTTACATACAAATAAAATACCAATAAATTTAATTACCATACAATAAAAATATTCTTAATAAATAATATATAAAAGTGGTATTGTTTCAATAAAAGTATACATTTTATAGTGAAAAATCATTGGGGTTTAGAAACTCTAGTTAAAAGACTGTTCCATGCTCTTTTAATTTGAATATGTGTACAGTTGAAACTCCAAAGAGTACAGAATAAAACATTAGCATTTTCAATATATTCCATGTTTGATGGTTGAGATTTAATTCTGTCAAAAGATTCTTTTTCATTAAGATTATTACGGACTTTGAGTCTTTTGACAGCCTAAAAAAAACCAAAAATATTTAAAATTTGTATTATTTTACCTGGGTATTACAGATTTTATCAAATTTGGTACAAATAATTGATGTCAAAATACATTCATGTTTGAAATTAAAACTATATGTACAATACATTACAGTAAATGTCCACACACAGTTGATGAATTTATTGATTGAATTTGTACTGTATGTAAACTTTCATTAGTGAATGTCATAATTTTCAATGATATTGGTGAATGTTGGTAATGCCAATTTTGTTTTCTTTAAATGTAATAAATGTAATAAGAAAGTCATAATAGCTAACTATAGTGTTTAAATATAATAGTAGCAGTGTTTGAATACAAGTTTCCATTATTACTCAACTCATTTTTCAGAAATTTTAGAGTATTATATATTATTATAGTATTATATTTATACTATTTATTTTTGCATAGCATATATATTTTGCGGTTTTATTAAAATTTGAACTTAAAACAAATAAAAAAATTAAATATTATCAACACTACTTGTAATTCATGATAAACATTGTTTTACCATTTTGGACATGGGGCAACATATCTTTAACCACATAAAACCAAATAATTTAAAATATCTATAAATAACTATGTATAACCGAAGAATGTTTTGAAAATTGTTCCATGTCTTGAAAGTGCTATACAGGCTGTCCAACAAAGATATACCCCACGAACATCTACAAAAAATATAAAAAAGATAACCAAATTATGTTTTTTATATATATTAATCTAAGGAAAGAGGACTACAAATATTAATATTTGATATAATTTTTATTTATTATTGAAAAATTAACTTTATTTTAATATTTTCTTAAAATTTTAAGATAGCCATTCTGTAAAGATAATTTTTTTGAAAACTAATGGATCACACATTTATATCCAATAAATAGTTTTTAAGTAACAGCAGTTTTAAATTCTATTAATCCGCATAAATCTTATTGTGTAACACAGTTAGGTTATTCCCTAGATAACATCGGTTTTCACATGGATTAGTAGAATTTAAAACTGCTGTTACTTAGAAACTATTTATTGGATATAAATGTGTGATACATTAAAATTGTCCAAAAAATATTAAAATAATTTTTTTGTTTTTTTAATAAAAAAAAAAATTAATTCAAATTATAAATATTTGTAGTCCTCATCCCTGTGAGTAATATAAAAAAACAACATTTGATTATCTTTATTATTTTCTGAGATATTTCAAGGGTATATCTTCCTTGGACACCCTTTATATAAGTATTTGGTGAAATTTACAGCTTCTATAGTTTATTTTCACTGAAATATAACAAAAAAATAAAATTGAATATGACTTGTATGTTTATAATCAAATGCAAAATATTTAGAAGAAAATTTGATTTAAGATTAAAAAAAATCACTTCATAAAGAATTAAAAATAAATGTACATGCAAAAGCAAACATTTAGTCTGCATGGATATTATTAAGTAGTTTTTATTTTTGTAAATTATTTATCTCTGAATTATGTTTAAAAATTGGTATAAGGGGAGCTGTAGGTGGTAAAGCTATGAGTTTAATATTTGCAAAGGAGGCTAATTTATTAAAGTCCTATAGTCCCTCTTCTTTTATTTATTCGATTTTAGTACTGAATAGTAGGCATACTTAGTATCTATACAATATTAGGTATTGTATAAGTTGATCTTTTTGATAAAATATTTATCATATCCAACAACTTTTATAATATCAATCTCAATAAAGTATATAGTTTAGGTATTTAACACCACTTTCTATAGTTTAAAATAATAATTTTCATAAGACGAAATAATCTTAAATTAAATATTATATATTGTATATTGTCTATAGTAAAATGTATGCCAACATTCACTAACTAATGTCCACATTTCTTTAAATTATTAATTAACATTCACCAATTTAAGATGTGTATTCTGACATTCACCAGGTGACTGTCAGCATTCACCAATTGTTAACATTCACAGCAACATATGTAACATCAACATATATTAACTCTTACTTCATCCAATGGAATTATTGATACCCAAATTTCATGGAAATTACTTTGCCAATTTGCAGTTAAAAGTACAGCAGCTTCTACAAAAATTATTTTAAATTCCTTTTTTGACTCAATTATTGACTTAACTTTTTGCAAAATTAAAGGCCACATTATTTGATTTAATTGATTCAGTTTATCCTAAAATATATTAACAATAATTATTTTATTTTAAATAAATTTAATGGGACAAGACCTTTTACATTAGGAATGTGGAATACATAGCTAGGTAAATAACAAATTAAATAATAATAATAAACATGTCAAAAATAATTAACCATACCTACAATTTTTTTGAAAATAAAACTAGTTTACAAGGTTATTCTTTATTAAAATAATAGAATAATTTCTTAACAATACGCTTGACATAAATTTAAAAGTATCAAAAATATCTAAGGAGGTGAAGATTATATTTAGAACTTTTAAAGCTTTAACTAAAAAGTTGTCATTACCAATTGTAGACTTAAAATATTAAGAATATCCAGATTATAAAAATTAAAGGACGAAATTGAAAAATTTATTTGAGCTAAAAGCGCAAGATATTAAATATTATTATTTAATAAATCAAACAATAATATAACTCAATTAACTGATGTCACAATATAAAAAGATCAAAATTAACTATATTTTAGACTAAAATATTTGAGTTTCTAGAAATGGGTGTATAAGTCAAAAGAACCATTTCTTTAAATTCAAATTTAAACTGGATTAGAACTAAATTTAAGAACAAATAGAGGGAACAATAATGGGTTTTTATAGAATTTGAATTTTTTTAATGTTTTTATCATCTATGGATGATTTCATTTTTTTTTCTTTTGAAAGAGAGATCACGAATTAGATGAACTCCAATATCCTTAACTACAGCATGTAAAAAAACAATTTTACATTTATCTATTTTTAATGGTATCAAATAAGGAGGCATGTCCCAAAAATAAAGTTTCCATGCTTCTAGCACCTAAAATAAATATTTTTCCAAAAGTTGATAACACTAGTATATATCAAAACTTCTTCCCTATTAAAAGATGATTGGATCAACTTAATCTGATTTTTAGTTTGTGCCTGACACACATTTACGATGAACGACAGCCACCAACACCTCTCTTCCCTTGATTTTGGTCAGATATGCCAATGAAGGAGAAGCTTTTTGAGACTACAAAGTTTTATCTAAATCTCACAATATGAAACTGCATTTATGGTTGCCTCAGTTGGCATAAATTCGATCAAAAGAACCTTCGTGTCTCAAAAAACAGTGATCATAACATTTTAGACAGACTGTGTCACTTAAAAATTTCTTTATTTTGGAGTCTGAATGTCTCCACTATAATGATTATTGTTTGGACCCTATGTTTCATCACTCATTATGTTAGGTTCGTTAACTTTGTAGAGCCTAAAAAAATCTTTTATCAGTATATCGAAGAGAGGTAGTGATAGCTGAAATAGAAGTTGTTAACATCATATACTATAGTAACTCTTCTCACTTGTTATCGCTGCATACATTTGAGATTAGATAATCTACCAGTCCTGTTTAGAACTCTTTGACAGAATTTGTACCAGCTGTCAACCTGACACAACCCCATTTGTAGCCTCTTATGACAGGTAGTTGTAACATAGGAGTATTTTGATCCCCTTCCAGAGGGTGAATTGTATTTTCAACTATTAAGTTAATTCCTCCGTGCTACAGAAACTTTACCATATGCCTACTGGAATTACCAATCTGGGCTTTCCTCCAGTAGGAGCTCGATGCCCAGGGTTCACAAATAAAATTAACTGTTGTATGATAGGCATCTGGTAATGGTATTAACAGAGTATAATTTTGTACAAAGATTATATGAATACCAAACAATATCAAATCAAGTGTTTCATTACAAAAATTAGTGAAATTATTCAATTGCTTAAGGTCCAATTAATTGATAAAAACGTTAAGTTTAGTACATTAAAATCACCTATAGGTAAAATCTTAGCAATAAGGTGTAAATGAAAAGTGTCAAATAATATAAATATTTATAATCGTATTACAATATAGAATACCTGGTCACTAAAAACTATGGCACCTAGTTTTTGTCTGTCTATTTGATTATCCAATGTCAATATGTTAGATCCAAAAGAATCAACAATCAGTTGGTATGCAGGACAATTTATACCATACAGTTCATGAGCTAAAATATCAGCATTTATAATGAATGCTCCTAATTCTTTTAAATAATTAGAAATAGATGATTTTCCACTTGCTATGCCACCAGTTAAGCCAACAATATATGGAAACTCAGGTATATTTTTATTAATCTGAAAATACAAATATGTGATTACAAATTTCCAATATGAAATAAAACAAATTGTATTTAACTTTATTATTTACTTGTATTGGTTTTAACAATGTACCAAGTAATCTCATACGATAATTGCTTGAACTAATTTTTTCTTCTTCCTCTTTGCAGTATAAATTATTCGATATTTTATCTTCTTTCAAAAGAGCCACAGGTAAAATATGCAGTGGTTTTAATCCATTCTTAGTTCGTTTATTATTAATTAGTTCTCCACCATGAAGAGTTTCGTCACTTAATATTATCATCTAAAATACAAAATTCAAAAAACACTTTGCAATGCAAATATTAAAATAATAATAACCTGAAATGTAGAATCATGCACGGTTGGTCCATAAATATCATAAATTGGCAATACATTATATTCTAATGTTGGATAAATGTCTTTTAAAAACTCCTCAACATTTTTTATTCTAGTTTCACAAGGTTCAATAAGCTCCCATAATTTTTTTGCTGCAAAATTAAATTAAATCACATTATTAAATAATATGCTAACAATAGTTAAATTAAATAATTCATAAATAAAACCATGCATTCCACTGGCATTTTATAAGACTTATGCATAGGTATCTATCCTATATTCATTTTTTACAAATACAATAATAAAATTAAAAAAATAAAAATGCATAAGCTATATTATTCAAATTTTCCACTTAACCAACTTACATTTTAACATAGATATATCAGTTACACCCACAGTTAAATTTTTACTACATTTTAACACGGCTGTACTTAGTAATATTTTATGACCTTTGTGCAGTCTATCAAAAGTTCCTCCTAAAACCACATTTTCATATATTTTATTACATTGAGAATTTTGTTTGATATCTATTGAACCCGTATCCTCTGTTGGATGAATAAACACAGTCTTATAATTAGAAGACTTGTTACTTAACAAAGAAACTACAAAATTAAGTTGTTCTGTTTGTATGTGGTCATCATAGAAAATCACATCAATTGGCCTTTTTGTAGCGATCCGGGAGTCTAATGTATCTTTAAGACCATATAGTAAAACACGTACATCAACATTGGTGTAATTTAAATTTTTGTATGCATCGATCATCATAAATCGTGGTTCTATATTTTTTTTATCCGATATTGATGTTGGAAAAAAATGTACGTATAATGTACTTAATAAATCGCATTGTAATTGCGGGACTATGCGTAACACACGAAATGGATTAGAACATATCAATAAGCCGGTTTTCGCCATAATAAATTAAGATTTTACCAATACAAATAACGATAAATAAATTAATATTTAAACTATTTAGTGGATTTAAAATAAGTAATTTAATAAAAAATAACTAATGAAAAACAGATAATTATTACTTGGTAATTGGCTTGAAGTCTATGAACTAAAAACTATTGGATTTCAGAAAACAATAATAATTATTATCAATTCACAGCCACAGTGAGTATGTTGAATTTTTTTATATATGATTTATCAGTATTTATCATGATTCATGATATAAGTATCGTTTAAATTATGTAGCACAGATAATTGATAATAGATTAGAAAAAAAACAATAATTTAGACACTACATTGATTGCATATCTACAGATTACAATTTACTATATAACGAATACCTAACTAATGTGAAATAAATCCACAATAACAAGTTTGTATTTTGCACAAAATTCTATCGTATTTTTGTACAATACTGTAAGTCTGGAATTGATGTTAAAATAGTCTCTTCCGCACGGTAGTTACAACTACAGTGAAAATTTGAAATTTATCAGCACAATTATAATAATAATGTATGAACCATTAATTTTCAAACGTTAATTTAAAAAAAAAATGATCTTCATAAATTATTTAGGGTGTGGCTTTTGTAAACCGGAGAGAGCGTTTACATATCATATCATGTATATTATCTAGATAACCGCGATTAAGAAGAAAAACAAAATTTAAGATAATTGTATTAAATCCTGATGAAAAAAAGAAAAAACTGAAAATTTGAAAAAAAAAAAAATGTAGAAATGTGTAGTAATGCAACAATGCAACATTATTCCATTCACCTCATGATGGATCTCATTATCCCAATGAATCTTGGTTAACATGGTGAACTGTTGACGCATCTACAGTTTTAAACACCAGTGAAAAGGAGACAAATTTGTTAAATCTACCCGCCAAAGACTCGATAAGTAATAAAAAAAAAAAATAATGGCCTCAACTAAATTCTTGTTTTTCATTCGTCGGCTAGAGTTATTTATTGATAACTGATTTTCGTCGTGTACACCGTACTACTGTACTACTGTACTACAACTGTACAGTGTACGTCTGTTCGTTTCAATAAAAAATTATTGGTAGATAAAAAATGTACTCCATAATATTATACTAAAAAAACACTATTGTATTGTCATGTGTGAAACTAATCAAACGCCCGTAAAATGAAAATAATACAGTTGATTATTTGTTGTTAAAACTAAAATCATAACTCGAATCAAATTACATTCTTAACTGTAACCTTAACTTATTGCACATCGTGAATATACCATTTTACACTTAAATCACAACGTGTGTCATGAGATATTTCTTTAATTTAATATTGGTAGTACAATTAATTAATTTTGAGTTATAAAACTTAAATGTATTGTGTTTATTGAGCAAATCGCCAGTCGATTAATTTTGTTTTTTATTAATATAATTGATTATCATTCCGTGTCAATGATAATCAATTATATTGAACCTCGTTTTGCGATATTATGACTTCATTTCATATCTAAGGTAAGATGAATATTAATTATTGGTACCAAATTTTTGGTTATTTCGCACTTAACGTTTAATTTATTCTACATTTTATTTAATTTGGTTACCTAAGTGTTTCTTTATTAATCATTTAAATTTGATCACAGAAATAATTAGTTTATTTGATTTACTATTAACTAAATATTTAGTTACTATCAAAATTTATTACGAATAGAGATGGCATATTCAGTGGTAATTCCTGGGAATATTTAGAATAATCAAGGTACTACAAATATTAAATTAGTTTTTAAATTAATTAAAAACTTAAATGTAATTTTACTGTGCTCAATACCTAGTTAAATTGTTAACTATAATAAAAATATACATTGCATTGTTGTAGGTAGGTACATCTATTTTAAATTATAATTAAACATGTATATTTTTTAAATTTTATTGAGAATAAATAAGGTAGGTAGGATGACTTCTGATAAATTATGAAATATATATTACTATGGATTGATTAATTTAATGGTAATATATTCATTAATTACTTTTAAAACTATTAATTATAAATTAATGTCTACCTATGTGTAAATTTATCATAATTTTGATTTGATATTATCTCGCAATTCCAACCTAGGTATGTTTCTCTATAGATTCAGGTTCATGTGAAATCGGTACTAATACAGTAATAATTTAAATAGTTCTCCACTGCATGCAATATTTTCGTTTGTATTTTTTTTTCTGATGGAATTGGATCCTAAATTTCTTGTCCTGAATATCATGGGATGTTAAATCAGTGATCAAATATTTAAATCTTACTGACAATATTCTAATGTAAAATGCCTAGTTACAAAACATTTTGTATTTTACTTAATATTACTAACATATTTTACATAATCAAAGTAAAGTCAACTTAAATTATTATAAAATATATGAACAAATATACCTAATGTAAAATTAACATATTTTGTATAATAATAATATTATAATAGCATATAATTTTAATTGATCATAGAAAACTGAAAAAGTTTTGAATAAATACATCCATCTGCTAAGAAGACAATTAATGTCACAAACTAACTGACACTAATTGATATTAGCTAAATGTTAGTAGTAAAATATAATTTTATCTAGTAGTTGTAGTTGTTTTATAGAAAAACCATAGATGGATATTATATATATATATATATGTACAGGTGTCCCATAAAGATATACTCATTGTAATATCTTTGGAGATAATAAAAATAATCAAATTCTATTTCATATTACTCATTGAAATAAGGACCATAAATATTTATATGGTAATTTATTTTTATGTTTTGGTAAAAAATGTAAAAACAATTATTATTTTTTAAAAAATTTCAATATAGCCATTTCTGAACATTTTGATGTATCAACTTTTTATTTTCATTAAATTCTTGATATTTAATAATTTTTTAAAGTTTAGAGAAAAGAGGTGTAAAGTAATTTGTAATAATAATAATAATAATCAATGAGAGACTGATTAAAGCTTGCTCCATAATTACGGGTACTTTTCTTTGATCTTTAAACAATTGTTAAAAACCATTAATTTAATGAAAATACAAAGTTGGTACATCAAATTTTTTAGAAAAATAAACTATAAAATTATCATCTTCAATTTTTTATTAAAATAATAAAATAAAAAACTATTTTTTAAGTTTTTTTATCAATGCATAAACAAATTAATTACAATGTAAATATTTGTAGTCCTTATCCCTGTGAGTACCAAATATATATATAAAAAAAAAAATAGAATTGGATTACCTTTATATCTCAAAAAATAATATAATGGATATATCTTTGTAAGGTACCTTGTATATACTTAACTAATAAATAAGAGCATAAATGATATACACCAAAAAGTTTCAATAATATTTTAAATCACAGGGGTCACATTCTATAAATTACATATGTGTTTGAATTTATATGAATCAATAATACAGATATGTGCTTGACAATTTTCATTTGAACTATTTTTTTTACTGATAGTTTTCAAAAATTTAGATTTTTTATTCGATAACTAACTTATAAAATATAATTTGTGTATTTTAGGTTTCTTTATTTTCTTTGTAGTATGCGAAAAATTTAAACTATTACATGTATAATAATCAATACATTTTAGAAAATGTGCCTTCATATAATATAATACAAAATGGAAATATTTTATAAAAACATTAGATACCTAACTTTTGTTTGCATTTTCTATACTAGTAGGTATTATAGTTTAATACAACTTTATAATATAATATCACTAAATAAATAACAAATTTATTTTGATAAATTATAATATCAAAATAAATTTGTTGTTGACTAACCAACCAAATGTATCTACTTTAATAAAAATTATGTTGATTCAGATGGAATGCCTAAAATAAAAATATGGGTAATGGTTTGATTTTCAAGAAATATTTTTGTTAAAGTTTATTTTTGGTGCACACTGTTCGGTAGGTAATAAAAAACATCATTATTAAATAGGTTAATATATCTTATAGGGGATTAAACTTTAATAAAATATGTATTAGGAAGTATAAAAAACAAAAAACTCAAAATAAGCACATTCACAGCTCAATTATGCAAAATGATATGTTTTCAAATACTATACTTGTCACTGTAATTTTATAAAATGGATACATATCGCATTCTGCTAGATTTTAAATAAAAAAAATCCAAATATACAAATTTCATCAAATTAGAATACTATTCAATAGGATTGAGAACTTAGAAATTCTGAATTTTTAAGTATATATTAATTAGGTATCTAGTACCTACCTGAGTACCTATTTATTTTACACATGGTGATTATTTTATTATGATCAATTTATTACCTTTCTGTACTTGTCCATTCTATATTCTAAACTTTTATAACTCATAAACTCTTAATCCAATATTAGTGCTAATTTTATAAATATTTTTAGAATAATATTCCTTTTTCTGATCTATGTTGAAAAGAGTGGGTTTGTTATTTGAAAAACAAAGTTAATACTCATTTAAGGTATAAGGAGTTGGGTTAAAAATTTGAATAGTGTTAATAAATCTTTATTACTTCTATACTTAATGATTGAATAAACTAGAAATCAATTTTACTTAAAATCCTCTGATAAAATATGATAAAAATAAAATTAATTTTAATTTTAAAACTATTAAGTTTTGAAATGGTGCCTAACCTAAATATTTGTATATTTTTCAGATCCCAATAGTGTTGTCATAATGCAAGATAACAAAAATAAGATTTAGTTTTAATTCATCAAAAGATATCTTTTGGCTAAATTACTCAATAAAAATAAGCTGGTTCATTTAATATTATTTCATTATATATAAAAAAAAGGTTTAAAAATCTGTGTACAAACAATATTGTTAAAACAAACATTTATGAATGAGAATGAAATAAAGATATGCTCCCAGCAGTGGATAAAAAATTGTATACAACAAACCAAGAAATATCTCATCGAAAACCAAAAGAAAAAAGACATAGACATAAATTAAAATCTTACAAAAAGAACAATGAATTTGATTTTGATAAAAATTCAGTTCAGTATTCAGATGTAAGCTCTGAAGAACTCAGTAGTCCGGAAGCTGGTGAGATCCATAGTGATTTAGAAGATAAGTATTGTAGAATACGCTTTAAATCAAAAAAAATAATAACTGATAATTTACTTATTACAACAAGAGTTTCACCTAGAAATCAATCACCTTGTTCTCCTTGTTGGAATCAAAATTTAATACAAAATAATTGTTTAATGTCTGCTAATATGAGGTCAAATAATTGTGCAGATATGTCATCTGAAACAACACATCTAAAATATAGAAGAATTAAGAAATCTAATAAAAAACCTAAAAGTCCTGGTTCAAAAAGGAAAAAAAAGAAGAAGGATTTGAAGAACACTTCTGATATTATGTTATCAGACCCCAATAATAGTAATGTTAATCTTTCTAAATGTACAAATGTGGAACCTAACAAACGTAATGGTGATTTTACTGATTCGGTTAAGAAATATAAGCACACAGAAGAGGAATCACATACTCCACCATTAATGAAATCAACCCCTATCAAAGTTTCTAAAGAAGAAGGAAAACATATTCAACATCTGAGAAAAGAAGATAAAAGGTAACATCTATTTATCTGGCTTTTGTTAACAAAATAACATGAGTTTCAATATATTTAATTAGCCTAGTTATTGTAAGATTTACACAAGTATATTTTTAATGGTTTATTTAAATAATTTATTTTTTTGAAGTTGGGTCAAGAATCCGCTGTTATTAAATATAGCAATAAGAAAAGAGTACAGTCGCACACCTGAACCAGCAGACAGTCGATATAATTCTCGGAGTGTTTCAAAACAAAATAATCGGTGTGTATTAATATAATTAATACATTTTAAATATACATTTTAATTTTGTACATATTTTAGTGACTCCAAAAGACGTATGGATGATCATGACAAACATGCTCCTGACTGTCTCAAACTCAGTAGAACTCGTGATAATCGTGATAAATACGAAAGAAATAGAGTACAAAGAAATAAATCTGAAAAAGACAAATCGCCAGTTCATAGTCACAGGTATATTATTGTTTTATTTAGAGCTTGTAGACCATTTTTTCACAAATCAACTTATTACAAACTAATAAGTATTTAAAAAGAAAAATTATTGTGTATCTTCTGCACCATACACTGTCGTACTCCTAATTTCATAAAATATTGTTAAGTAACTCAGGATCCTAAAAGATTATTTTCTACAACTTATTGAATAAAACAAATTAATATAGGTTTAATGAATATTTTATTTTAGGTTATCGAGAAGTCCAATTCGAGATCGCCGACATCATGAACATGGGAGAAGTTCTAAAGTAGCGATTTCCCGTTCAAGATCACGTTCTAAAAGTATACATTCTCCTCATCAGCAAAGGTATGACCATGCATATCACTCTCCCAGACGGGGACAAAAATCTCCACCTCGTACCTCTTCAAAAGTATCAAAACACACTTATCATGCACCAAGATTAGTATCACCTTATAACTCACGTTCTTCAAGAAAATCAAGTCATATTCGTGCAAGATATTCACGTAGCCCTACAACAAAAAAAAATCGGACACATAGTAAATCCTCTTCTCCAGTAAAAGATACAAGATTTACAAATAAACAATCAGTAAGTAGTGATTGTGAAATTGGAATTTATAAGAAAAAAAAGCCTACTAAGAGTCCACCAAGACAGTACAAAACTAAACCAAAACTAAGTGAAACAAGTCTGTTTGCTGAATTAGTTAAAGATAGACAAATGAGAGAATTGGCTATGAAACGTTTGACACAAATAAATCCTAAAATTGATGAGAATGAAGTAGTAGAAATACATGATGATTCTGACTATGAACAAAATACAAAATTGGCTGAGCCAAGTCAATTAAATTCCAAATCCCCTAAAGAGGTTTTAAAGGATGATGTTGATTCTTGTGAAGTACCCAAAATTACTGAGAATACAATTAAAACCTCTAAGCCTCAAAGCGAATCATCTATTATTATTAATAATTCAGTTAAATCAAATAAATTAAAATTAAAAGATAATTTAAACCCATCTGTTTCTAAAAATCAAATGATAGAAAATGGAATTGAGCCAATAGTAGAAGCTATTTCATTAGACAAATCAAACACAACATCTTCTGATAAAACCAAACTTGATGAAGTAGTTGGAACTAAAGATTTGTCTAAAATGCCATTGCCACCTGTCTTTCCAACCCAAATTGAAATATTTCTAGAAACAGACACGAAGAGTTCAAAAAAAAGCATTAGAGATTTACCATTACCTCCTGGTGAGTTTTTCTTATACAAATTTATTATGTGTAGAATATTATTTAATACATTTTAATGGTTTAAAATGAGTTTGGGTGCAAGGTATTAATGACAAATAGATATATATTCAAATTCAAAAAATTTAAACTAATGTGTGGGGATTAATTCCACTAATATCTAATGACTCAATAGTAAATCATGCCAGACAGGATAAGAAAACCTGTTCTTTTAACTGTAAATGGAGCATGGTAATATTAATAAGCTGATTATGCATTAGTAGAATAGACAGTGCAGATACTAGGTTTTATGAGGCTCTGGACAATGCTTTGGTATATTTAATGATTGTATACCTATATAATAGTATACCGTGGGGGTCCATTAAAACCTAAACAAGTGTGGGGGCCTTGAATCTATGTCTCATTTGTCTTCCCCTAGCGCCATTGAGAAAAGACCCCTCAGTTATTCAAGTATCTTAGTGTTCATCACTTTTTTTGAGAAACTGGTGACATTTTCTAAAATTGTAGAAATAAACTTATTGTATATATTTTAACAGTGTATAACAAGGGTAGTCTATTTATAGTATAGTCCAGTGGTAGTACATCTGTTTGAGGAGTTCAATTTAAGCAATATATTTTGCAGGTACATTCATGCCTTCCATCTATGTGTGAGGTAATTGATTTTTGGTGCTGTGAGAAGGATCACGGAAGGAAATTAAAGAAAGGAGGTCTGGGGCATCTATGAAAACCATTTAGAAAGAAAGAAATGAAGTTTAAATCTAGACACCTAGATGAAAGAGTAGGTATATTTAAAGTGTTACAGATGAGAGAATAATTATAGGGAGGATGTTTTATCTAGAGAATGAAAGAAGCATATGACAAAAGTTTGTTTTGGATATGCTCTAGTCTTAACAGACCTTTTGTAAGACAAGGATGTCAAACAACTACACCCTATAATTACTAATATTTTTACAACCTTCCCAGTTTTCTAGGTTTTGCAAGATTCCTGCTACTGACCTGATTCCTGTTAAATCTTTGATTTGGCCAATAAATCGAGTACCCTTCTAAATGATGCATTGATGCATTTGTTCTAAAGACGAAAATTCTCTGATAGTTCTGAGTTGGCATAGATATTTTTTATTTGAATTATAAGATAAGTGTTAATCCCATTTCCTCTAGAACATGCCATAGAATATTCCATTTAATAGTGTCAAATGCTTTAGTGTAATTTAGGAAACATAGTATAACTAGCGCATTATATTCATATAGCTTTTCTACCAGTTTCCTGATGTTAATAAGTTAGTCTTTTGTTCCTCTTCCAGGCATGAAGCCTAATTGTTCCGATAATATTTGGTTAAGTAGGTATGGCTTCAATCTATCTTGTATTAGCAGAAATTGTAGAGAAATTGTATAGCAGAAATTATCTAGTATGTTATATTAAGGTAATAGTTCTGAAATTATTGCAATTTTTTTATCACTTTTTTTGTTTATTGGAGTGTATATAAATCCACACCAATCTTTGGGCCATTCACTAGTATTCCGTATCTTAGTGCATATTTTGTCCATACCTATTTCACCAGAAGCTATATCAGCTACAATGTTATCTATGCTATTGTGATCATTTCCACAATCCATACCTGGATATGTTTTAACATCCCTTATTGATGATTTCTACTTGTTCCTCACTAGAATGAAGTCAATCTGATTTCTATACTATCCATATGGTGACTGTCATGTATATTATAATTATTGGATATGATGTTTGAAGTTAATGTTTTTTATAAACACATTTTTTCTATTTTTCATTTTTATATTTATTATTTATGTTTTAGATTTTGAGTGAATTGTGATTGTAGTTGTGTCAGGTGGTGTATTGGTTTTACAATGATGTTTATTTTCTGTGGACAACTTTTCTACCAGTAATTACAATGATAGCACTTTTTCTAAAAGGGAATCTAACTGGGAGGATACCTTAGGGAAATCATTTTTTGTCATCAATCTTTCTCTACTGTCCCTACCTCTCCTGTCAGATTTCCTTTTAGAAAAAGTGCTATCATTGTAAACCTAAGCAAAATTGTTGGTAGAAAAGTTGTCCACAGAAAAAAGAGATTGTTGTATTTCGCTAATACAAAATTTAATATTAAAACTCTTTTCTGAAAAAAATACTATATAAAACTCAATTATATTTTCTTTTGACCACAAAATACGACATTTAAGGAACTTCCTGTTAAATTTTCAAGTATTTCTACACATGCATGTCCATAGCCCCATCATTTGAACATTTTAAAATTTTTCTTATGCCATCGGTGAGCATCCAATTTGCAAGCTTAATTTCACAATTTGCAAGTGCTTTGTTTAAGAAGAAAGCCTAATTTATCAGGGGTAGGACTAGAGACATGTGTATGCCATCATTTAGCAGCCAATTTTCAAGCCCATCTTCAACATTTTTTATTCATTATTTACCCCTTCAATTGCAAATTTTTAAATTTATCCATTTCCATGCCTGAAAGCTTTTATTGTAACAATCAAAAATAAATCTTTAACAATACATTATCAAAGGTGTACATAATTACTTATGATGTATTTATATACAAAAATAGTTTTATATAGTATTTTATGCATAAAGGAATTTTAATACCAAATTTTAATGAAATTCTGTTGAGTAAGAACTTATGTGGAATAAATCTAGTTACAGATCTATTGCCAATTTAAGAACTATGGTGAAGCCAAAATTGAGCAGATTGATTTAGTTTCGAAATCATAGCTTTTTGAAGTTATATTATATGCATTCTGTTAAATAATAACTCAATATTATCAACTTTATAGTATGTATGTCATAGTCTAGTGGTGGTATGTACCTGTTGTCATCCCAGGAGCGCAAGTTCAAACCTGAATTTCATAAAAAAAACTTTGCAAAATCACGTTGGGTAGGTAAAATGGAAAAAACAAATTAATTTTGTTTCAAAAAATAAAATTGAGTATAATGTAGAATTTTTATTTTTTACAAGTTTTAACAAGTTGAGTGCCTTGAGTATCATATGTATGTTTCATGTATCAGATGCATGATGAGCTTGAAAATACAGGCCGTAACATTTTAACTTAAACTTCCACACCCGCCCTGAGAACCACATATCGACTGTCCAACGAAAAAGGTAGTATCTCGATTTTTTTCAATATCGAAGTTATTACCGCCATCTGGTAGTGGATTGTTTTCTCTTATCGCTGAAACTGAACTTAATAGTTCAGTGATCGCCCACGAAAATGATTCGTATCTCAAAACATCAAAATAAATCTCTGGACCATAGAGTAAAATGCTCTGGGGCTCAGTTCTTGAAACCGTTTGATAAGTTCTCGCATGCAATAAAAGTTATCGAATTTATGGCATGAGTCTAATTTTAATCGCATGCAATATAAAATTGGTATTCTTGATAAGATTTTATCACTTGTCGAATGCGATAAAGTATATTGACCGAACTACTGTGATAACAACACAAAATCTAGAGATTCACAGAAATATAGATTCTAACCTCAAATTATTATTTCTTAGAGCAACAATCATTTTGCCTTACAGGGAGACACTGTTGACTGATATAATTCTACGAATCGATTATTGCCCATTAGACATTAATTAGAACCTGTTGCCAAAAAATTCAGCGTCACTAGAATCGATAGAATCTATTCAAATTAAAACAAATATGTACAAAAGTAATTGTTAGTTGTGTACGATGAATTTATGAAACATTTTTGCATTAATCAATAATAAAAAACATACATTAATACATCGGTAGTCTGTAGTCTAAAATAAATATTCGTAAAACTGATTATGAATTTACTTTTGTCTTTTGTCATATAACTTTTATTTCTATGTGGGGTCTTAATAATTTCATTAAATAAAGAACAAGATCTTTTGTAAGTCGGAAGTTTTTAATAAATAATTTATTTGACAGTTAATGCATGTGGATCCGTGATAAATTCATAATGATAAATAAAATAATAATTTTCTAAGTAGATGGTATTATAATAGAAAAAAGTCAAAAATATAATTGGGGAAATACCAAATTTATTACTCATCTGATTATCACATTTGTCACTGGCTTTAAACTAGTAATCGACTTACTTATCGCATGATAATTTTTCGTTTAAATTTGATCACTTTTCAAGAATAGCATTTTTTGTAATTCGTGTGATAACCTATCAGACACTAAAAAAAAACCGGTTCTTATCAGTACCTACTTACTTAGAATAAAGCCGAGTTTTCATTACACCGTGCATCGTGTCGTGTGCATTAATCTACGTATTATAATTAGCTGAACCAGGCAGTACATAGTTTCAACCAATCAGAATACGTAAATGTATGAACGAAACATAATGACTGCACACGAAATATTTACCTTATCTAATAAAATATACATCTGAACATAATAATGCATCCAAATATCCATATAGGTTATAATAGTATTATGAAATGGGTGACGCATACGCAGGAGATACATACCCTCTTGATATGTTGCCATGTGCCTTAACTATTGTATATCATGATTTCAATTTTTTTTGCATCGTGATTTATGATTCAAAGTTTAATTTTTTTAAGAGAAATTTGAAAGTGCATATGATAATTTATAAGTTTAGTTTATTCAGTTCATCAAGTACATTAATTATGGTGTGAATATTTTAAAAGTGCCTTAATAAAACAATCAATAATAGATATGTATAGATTTTTTATACATTATACAAAAGCCATTTATTTATATATGATCAAAACTTTAAATATATTGTTTTCATGTGTCATATTTTTATAATTAGATTAAAAATAGGAATGAAGATTTTTAGATGAGCCAAAAGACCATTTTGTAGCAAATGGTCCAAAGTTTTAGATTAAATTATTTTAAATGAGAATCATTGATGATACTTAGTAGCTGTTTAATAAAATAACAATGTGCATATATGATACTTGAGGCAAGCGTAGAAAATGTAAGTGAAAAGCATATTTGATATACAAACTGGTTGTGGCAAGTTAAGAAAAAAATAAGTTAGTTTAAGCAAAATAAGTTGTGCATCATGTATGATACCCAAGATGAGTTTAGCAATTTTAATAAAATTGATAAGGCAGTTAACTTGTTAAAATCAAATTTTGACGAAAATCGTAAATATTATGTCAAAACATGTAACCGAACTTTGCTCCAAATTTTTTATTTGCGTTATCAATAGTTTATCCTTGGTTATAGGTATAAATTTAATAACTTTATGTATCCCACTACCCACCTACAACAGTGGCTGCGCCCATTCCCAGTATCAGTTATTTTTATTTATATTTATATATTTCTTAATACCTATATATTAAAATTATACTTTATTTGAATAACATTATTACAATAAAAATCATTAATTGAAAATTGTTTAATATTTAGGAACTACCACAGATACAAATATAAGTGAAGATAAAAATCTGTCTTTATCAGAAACGCTAATTGAGCCTTTGTCTAATTTTCAACAAAGTGCAGTTAAAAGATCCATTATGTTAGGCTTAGGATCAGGGTTTCCACAGAGTTTTTCATTCACTTCAAATACAGAGCGACCATTTGGTCCTTCAGATCGTAGTGTAAAGTTTAAGCGACCAAAGGTTCTTCACCGGAAACGTAGTGCCAAATCTGCAGCTTCTAGTCCTATTGATTGGGGTGAGCAATGTGTAGACATGTATCAAGTTATCAATCAAATAGGTGAAGGAACTTATGGACAAGTTTATAAGGCTAAAGACAATGCTACAGGTAAATATTTTATGATTATTAACAGTAAATTTATATTGATATTGTATATAATTTTTATTTTTTTATGTATTATTTATACATCTTGTTCATTTTCTTTATGTATTGATTATTAAAAAATATATATATATATGTATAGATTATTTTATACCAGTTTTATATAGCATATTTATTATTGGTAGGCACATTTGTAGCACTAAAAAAAGTACGTCTTGAAAATGAAAAAGAGGGATTTCCAATAACTGCTGTCCGAGAAATCAAAATTTTACGTCAATTAAACCATAAAAATATTGTTAACCTAAAAGAAATTGTCACTGATAAACAAGATGCTCTTGATTTCAAGAAGGTGTATTATTACTATATTATAATTTTACATGTATAAATATCATTTTTGTTTGATTTTAATATTTAGGACAGGGGTTCATTTTATTTAGTATTTGAATACATGGACCATGATCTAATGGGCTTATTAGAGTCTGGAATGGTTGATTTCAATGAGACTCATAATGCTAGTATCATGCGACAATTATTAGAAGGTTTAAACTATTGTCACCGGCGGAATTTTCTTCATAGAGACATTAAATGCAGCAATATTTTAATGAATAACAAGTAAACATATTTATGTATATATATATATATATAATGCATAAGTGTCAGGTCTTGAAAATATATAATCTATGCCCTTGGTGTTATTTACATCAATTACTAATTCCTGAAATAAAAAATATCTATGTTTTACATACAAATAGATATAATTACTTATTGACATACATTTCACTAGGCTCCCCGATATTTGCCAATACCCTACCAATATTCAGCATTAAATATTTGCATTAAAAAAAAAAAAAAATTGGATTGGTGGAGGAGTGTAGTAGTATATCTTACCCCTTGTTAACTTCAAAATTAATATTAAATCATATAAGATATTAGTACAAAAAAATGTTATGATTGTTTAGGTGTTATTTTGGGTTTTAAAAACAGTACAATGAATTTCATTCGTTGAATGTTTACATAATCATATAATAACTGCTTATTCTTCAGGGATGGGTATAATACAAATATCTAGCCAAATCCTATAAAATATAAATTGTATAATATGTATTAGTAGTATTAGTACGACATTATTATATTTGATTGAATCATTTTTTATTATCAGATTGCGTGGCTTATTAATTGTAATATAAAATTCCCTCAAAAAATAATATAATATTTAGACTAAAATTCTAATAGAATCATTTTTAATGAATATATGGAAATCTGAATGAACATACATTCTAAAAAGTTTTCAGGCTCAGCTTATGCTTATTATTTTGTTGTTGGAAATGTTTAAATAATTATATTTAAACCAATAATCTAAATGTTAACATGTACCTAAATAATGGTGAATTAATAATGAATAGGCTAAATTATACCAACATGTGTGTGTTTATATTATACATATTCATAGTAACACTGTTGCATTGGACTACCAATTTTATATTAAAATAAATATTAAATAATAATCTACAAAATAAAGTAATAGTTTTAGTATGTTTATACAAACCATTATAATTAACAATAAATTATTATAAGTGTAGTATCAAAAAATAACAATTTACTGTACATTTTCTCCTTTGTCATATGATAGTCATTTGAAAAATGATAAATATAGCGCAATTTTCAAATAAGATTAACAATAAAATGAAATACAATAATATTCTATTTTATAATCTAATATTATTATCTTAAATTATGAATGCATTATTTGCCAGCTCTATAAATAAATTTCCTATACTTAACATGATACTAACATATAGGCTAATTATCTATGCATTGAAGCCTGTACATCTAGATAAAATTTAGATAATTAATTTTTTTGGTGCCTTAAAATTTTACTTTCAATTTAATTTTTGATAACATTTCAAGATAACTAGACTATCAATAAAAACTTATTTCATTTTCACACCTATTTTTAAACTTTAGGTAAAATGGTTTCAAACAATACTGTTTGTTTTATTTGGAAATATCAAAAAAATTTCAGACAAATTACCAATAAAAATATTAAATAGTTTTACATGAATTCTATTATACAAATACCACCTAGTTCATGGACATATTTGGTTTGCCTCCACAAATATATTAAGATTGGTGCTCTTAAGCCCTCCTTTCTTATCTTTCATGAACATATAGATATAAAGTGAAATTATTATCACTTTAAATTCACATCTATTTCTAATACTTCATAATCTAAAAGATTAATACAATATTATGGTTGTTAATTTATTTATTTTTAAATTATAGAGGTGAAGTAAAATTAGCTGATTTTGGTCTAGCCAGATTATATAATGCTCAAGATAGACAACGCCCATACACTAATAAGGTAATAACACTCTGGTATAGACCACCAGAATTATTACTTGGAGAAGAGAGATATGGAACTTCTATAGATGTTTGGTCATGTGGGTGTATTTTGGGTGAATTATTCTTAAAAAAACCTTTATTCCAGGTAATATTTTATACGCTAGTTTTGTTAAACTATATCTATTAAAATATGTGTATTTTATAGGCTAATGAGGAAATGATGCAACTTGAAACTATATCTCGTTTATGTGGTAGTCCAACACCAGCTGTATGGCCTACTGTTATAAATTTGCCTTTTTGGCATTCCTTAAAATCAAAAAAAATACACCGCAGACGATTACGTGAAGAGTTTACTTTTATGAATGATAGTGCATTAGATCTGTTAGATCATATGTTAGAATTGGATCCTAGCAAACGAATTACTGCTGATAAAGCTTTGAAATGCAATTGGTTAAAAAATGTTCAATCTGATAAGTTAGTAATTATTAAGTTGTCAATAAAGTTTAACCACATATCCGACAGACTCTATTTACATATTTCTCATTTTTTCAACAACTAATTATTTTTATCTGTTGAATTTATACAAAATTTTAATAGTTTATTCCTGTGTTTCTCAACTTAGGGGTCGCCAACTAATTATTTAGGGTTGCTAAAAACTTAAATATTCATTTAGTAGATGACGACATTAAAAAGTTTGAGAAACACTGGTCTATTAAAGTCATTGTTCTATAATCTTCAATTATTTTCTAGAGTTGATGTCGCAGCATTACCAACATGGCAAGATTGCCATGAACTTTGGAGTAAAAAGAGAAAGCGAGATCAACGAGTTAATAATAAACCTAAGTCCAATGACACCGGTGAACAACCAACACATATAGCAGCATCAGCAGGGTTAATTAACATTATAAATTTGTAAACAGTGTGTTCATGTAAATTGCGAACACTTCAATGAATCTTATTCGTATATATGAATTCTGTGTTCAGAATATGCTATTAGCCTACTGGGCCATTCATTTTTCTCACATTCAATTTTTTTTTAATGTGAACTATTTTAAAACCATATTCAGATTTGCTAAATTTTTTCAATTCTCATTGATTTATCAACTTATATTCTTAATTTAAATCTGACCTTATCATAGATTTTTATGAAGTTAAAAAAAAAAACAATTTGTCTAATTGAAATTTATTATTTTTTAAAAAAAAATATTATGTACCATGATTTAATCACAGTTAATTTACTTTAATTTAAGTTAACAACATAATTTGAGTTATAATTAAATTAATGTTGGTTATAATAAGGGTACATTGATTTAAAAATGTATCATTAGCTATCAGGAAAAAAAACTACTTTAATAATTTCTTATAACAATATGATTAATTTCATTTATTGAAACAAATACAGTAAAACCTTATATGTACAAACTTCTGAGCAGATCAAAAAGTATATTGGTTTTATAATAATTTTTCTATGAACAATTTTTTTACTAGTAATACTGTTCCGATTTTCAATTGTAGCACTTTTTCTTAAAGAAAATCTAGCTGAAGTAGTACATAAAAGAGGTCATTTTTTCCCAGGAGCTCTAATAAAAAATGTGAACATTTAGAAAAATTATTATTTCCATTTATTTTTATTATTATTATTATTATTATTATTGTAATTCAGTAGGAAAATACTCATAGACTTGACATTTTTACAGAAAATGTATATTTGCCTTTTATAGATGTGATATAATTTTTAAACTATTAGACATTTTAATTTTGCGAGTTTATGTAATATTTATTCAGTAGGTACTCCGTGGATAAATTGTTAGACCAAACAGAAATGGTTAAAAATTGAACAGAAAATTCTTTATAAGTTGTAATTATTGGTTAACAAAAAAATTGAATTTGAGGAATTTTTTTTTATACAAATTTTAATATAAAAATTGCTCAGAATTGTTTTCCATTAGCAAAAATTAATCACATATAGTTATACATTAAATTCTCTTCTATATCCTACCTTGCCAACTTCTCATCTACAACAGTGGCCCATCCATTGTGTGAAGTATCTTCTTTTTTTTTAATATGGAGTTCTCATTTCAAAAATAAAATGTTTTCATGTACAGAATACATTAGTTTAAAGACATTTATAAGAGAAATGTTTAGTCCAGTAGTCTAATTTTATATTCTGAAATCTAAATTTATAAATATGCATAAGGTACATAGTTCTAAAGTGTTCCTGTAGATACACTGTGTATATGCATGCTTATTATTTAGGTTATTTAATATAAAACTTATAAACTTTTTTCTGCTTTAGAATGCCTATTCCTGATCTACAAAATAATGATATGAATTCTGCTGATTGTGTTAAGTTGAATACTGAAAATCACACCACTGACACTGAGAATATAGAAATTAATAACTCAATAAAATCAGATGATGCTGAAATGCCTTATAACAACAATATAGAAATAGATGAAGTATGATAATATATTCGAAGGAAATAATTTTTTTTGTAACCATTTAGTCAATCTGAATGTTAATTCATTTTAAATTTTAATAAAAATTTCTGTATTATGTAAGTGCAATCCTCAGTTTAATATTGTAGGTATAAAAATCTTAAAACGCATGTACTAATATCTAACATTGTTTTATTCAATGTTTGAAGCAATTCATGCAAAAATAACTGGTATATATTGACATAATTTTGTTGATTCATCGACTTTTAAGAATTAATTTGTCTTGACCAACAAAAATATTTATTAGATATTTTTAAAATATTAGATTGATTAAAAAAAAATAATAATATTATAAATATAATGACCTTAAAAGTATTGAATGCTCACATATATGTATATATATAATCTTAGAACATAGATTTAATTTTAATAATTTTATATTTATAGGTTTCAAGTACAACAATCGATATAAATGAAGATTTGAACTTGACTCCACCAATCAATAATGAATTCAATTCGTGCTTGAATTCTTTCCTTCCACAAACTGGTCGATTTTAGGTTAGTAATTTTATTATTCTATTGTTTTATAATTATGTTATTTATGATATTTTTAATAATTTTTTTTATTGTGGTAATAATTTGTTTATACATTGATGGAACTACATATTTATTATATTTTTTACATTTATTTTGGACTTATTACAATTTAAGTTGTGTTAATGTTTTTTGTTTACTATTTTGTAATATTCATTTGATATGAATTGTATTCTCTTTATTTATATGTTATTAAGAAAATTTAAATTGAATATGAAAAATTGTAGAAATTTAATTTTGTCAAATATTAAACCTTTGAATAAATTCATATATCTAAACATTAAATAATATGTGGATAGAAAAAAAAATAAACCTTAAATTAAAACAACTGTTTTATACCATATTATACCAAAGTGGATTTTAAGCTTTAATTGATTTAGTTATAAAAATATGTATATTTTTAATATTAATGATGTAATTATTCAATTATTGTATTCAATTTTTTTTAATTATCTATACATTGTAAAAGTGAGTTATTATAATTTATAATTTCAACACCTTATACATTTATAGCAATCATTCATTCAGGGTATTTGTAAGTAATATTGAACTTGCTGGAACTTTTCGCTATTTTCTTTATAAATCCAGATTTTGACTATATATATAGTGTTATAGTTTATAGTTTTAAAAATAAGTTTAAGTAGTTATATTTAATTATATTATTATGAATTGATAAAGTTTAAAAAAAAAAAAACAAAACAATGTATTAGTTTTAAATATAATTATTCAAATATTATTTGTTAATTTGTAGGAAATTAAGATGTTTTTATATATTTACATAGATATATAAAAATGCATATATATTTTACATTTTAAAATATTATTTTTAATAGAAAAATATTAGCTATAATTACTGGGATAAATAATAATATTGTATTTGTTTTATATCTCAGTAGTTACATTTTTACAGTAAGAAATATAAAAAAACAAAAAAATGTGTATATTATAAGTGTCTCTAGTAGGACATTTGTACAAGAATTTATTACTTTGCGAACAATTAGTTCAACTTTATGCTTGATGTGCGTTGTTATGTATGTATATTGTATATTTTTTATTAAAATATTTTTAAAAAAAAAATGATTAGCTTTTTAAACCAATTTTAGTCAAGTTCTCTATGTGTCCAGTGTTTAGTGAATATTAACTTTAGTCTAGCCAGTGACCAATTCTATGGTGAGTAGGTAGTCGAGTGGGAGAAATTTGGGCACAAAACCGCGGAGCTCATTAATTTTGATGTGCGAAGGAGTAGTGTTCTCTACTTAGGACTATAGTACAATAAGTCAATTTTAAAGTTATTTACTCAAAAATTATAAAGGCAGTTTTAATAATACTACCATAAGTTGATCCACTTAATACATTCATTATCCAAAAAGTTATTTTTATTATATTTAGCATAATTTCAAAAAATTGTTTGGTTTTGTAAAAAAGCATGAAAATTTTATATAAATTATAATTGGCATATTATGTCAATTATATTATTTATTATTTATTATAATATAATTAATAAAAATAGCTATTTTAATTTAAAATATTTGTTATTTTGTAATAATTAGCTTTATGGTGTAATTTACTCTAGGCCAATTTTTCAAACTAGTAACATAAATCGGGCTAATTTAATAGAATGCAATAAAAAATATTTAGCTAATAGTACTACTTACTAGAAAATCTAGATTAATGCAAACTGGACATTTCTAATCATTTTTAATCAAATATCTTCACTTATAAGGCCCCCAGCAATATCAGTAACATCATAACACTTAAGAGCAGTGGTTGGCAACTGGAAGCATGTGCTTCTATTTTATACAGCCCACTTCAATTTCAGAACAAGGAAATGTAATTGAATATCCGATCAAAATGCTGCTGTAGATATTTTATTGTGTGTTCAAAAAGTTATATCTTCATTGGATCAGTAATTTCATTTGCATTTATAGTTATCTCTATGCATATTTCTATATTTATATACTGTAAAACCTTGTTACCAACTGATTTTTTCGTCATAAAGGTTCGGTTTTAGGGAAACTAAAATATAGGTTATGTAGAACTATTGCTTTTTTTCTGTTTTAAGGAGATTTGAGCCTTATAGGGGATTAGTTATAAGGAGGTTTTACTGTAAATCAAAAGTTTCGATTAATTATAATTCATCTAGATTCCTGGTGAATCTTTGGTGACAGGTTAGCAATTAAACAATTCACAATACCCAGATCTGTGTAACCAATTAGGAATAATTTCAGAAGAACAGTTGTGTTCTTTGTAGATACAATTATATTTAAATTTTAAGGACAGGTAACCTTTTTTAATCTCTACTCAATACCCTCAATTTAATACTTCCTCTAATAGGAAAACGTAGTACCTAAAGGAGAGACATGTATATTCTTGTTTGAGTTACTTTTATCTTTACTATTCTCGCTTTTTAGTGTTATTACCATTATTTTTTTTTTGTCACTGTAACTTTTTACATTTTTGAATGTGACTTGAATGAGTCCAAAAATATTTCTGATCACTGCTTTAGAGAAATCAATTCAATTATATATTTTACTAGCAGTTTTATCAAATTTTAAATTTAATTTCGGAATTATAACTTCGAAATAACTAATTGATAGTTATAGTTACAATGGAAAATATTAATAATTGTGTGGATTAAAATATATCGACGAAATATAATAAAAGTCCTGGTGAAACTTGTTGAAAAAAATCAAGTAAATATTAAAGCGGTTTTTTTCATTAATCAATAATTTAATTTTATAATTTTATATTACATAATTACTTTTTATACTAAAATTGCATAGACAATATAAATTTTAAGAAAAATTTAATAAAAAACGTTTAAATATATTTAGTAAAAATGGACATCCAATTGAAAAGTCCTTCCACCTTAAGTTCCTTTCTCCTTAAAAAAAGAAATATCTTCTGTCCTTCATTTCGAGGGAATGGCAATCCCCATCAAAACCCAAATTAAATATCTGGGCCTGATCCTACATCCTGGAGCCCTCACTTAAAAGCAACAAGGAAAAAACTTAACACTAGACCACTTTTCTGTTCTATCCTCAAAATCAAATCTTTCCCTGAACAATAAAATAATTATTTATAACTCAATGTTAAGACCCATCTGGACGAAATATAAATATGGGGCTGTGCCAAACCATCCAAAACAAAAACAATACAAACATTTCAATCAATTACTCTCCGTTTACTAACTTGACACTCTGTTATGTTTCTAACAACTCACTCCACAGAGACCTCAAGATTGAAACTGTTACCACAGTTGTATCCAAATACTACAGAAAATTCCACTCCAAACTTGCCACCCACACCAATCTCCTTATAGCCAATCAAGCCGGAGCAAACCTACCTAATAATCCCACCCGTCGGTGACCCATGAGGGTTCTGTCACTGGACAGCCTCCCCCTCATATTAAATCATCATGTAAATATTTTCTGTAATTATCATATTTGCTTATTGTATATATGTTACAGATTGTAAATTTTCAATTTAAAACAAAAATATATTTAATAACAATTTAATTTATACATATAATACAAATATTTAAATTACTGTGATAAAACAATTATATTACAGTATAACAAGCAAGAAATATTAAAATGTCCAAACATAAATCTAAACCATATTTGAATCACATTTACAACAATTCACCTGAAATTGTATCAAAACAAATTTAAAAAAATTAGAAATATAGCAATATTATAATTATACAAGCTTTATGTTAACAGAACATAATGTATGTATATATATTATTTTTTAATTATAAATTATGTGTTCAAATTTATTGTAAGAGAATAATAATGAAATTAAAAATAAGGTATCTAAAAATATTAAGTATCTTTGACATTGCATGTCAAATGATCATTAATTGCAGATATCAAAATTTAGTTTAAAAAAAAAAAAAACATCTAACAACTGATAATAATAATAAACATGATAATATTGTAGTTGATAGGAGTCCATATTTTCATTAGGATATTCTCTCCTTAGATACTTGTTTTTTGATGCAGCTCTGCATAATTATTGGAAAACCTAAATCCCATATTACTGAAGATCGACCATAATAACATCAAAATCATTAATTTCAGCAATGATATTCAATATTCATTCAACACAATATACAAACTGTAAATGTATACTACATTGGCACTAGTTAACTTCACCAGCTACTTCAAAAGTTGAAAATAAAAGACCCCTGAAACAGTAGTTACAATAAAATTAAAATATAATTGTCTAAACAACTAAATTAAACATTCATAATAGTTTTGTTTAAATATTTAAGTGAAACAAAATATTATTTTTCCATTCAAATGAATAGTGAAATGTAATTTTGTAAATAAAATAGGAAATACAGATTATTGTTAGAAATTGATATATAGATCTAATAGCTTTTATAATAAGTAAACAAAAAAAAAAATAAAAATTACAGGTACTTTTATTAAAATGACTGTAAAGGTGCATTTTGTACAATTATTTTTTAAAAGTATTATGAAATAATACCAAGTAGGTATAGGAAATTCAAAAATATATCAAAAAATATTTAGAACTTTAAACAATTCTAATTTGAATGTAAAAGTTTAAAAGGTAGGTGTAAAATATAAGTTTTTACAACTTCTAAAGCCCAGTTCACACTGTCAAATATTTGACCATGTAACTAGGCTTTATTAGAAAAAAATGTTTCAAATAAAAGATAAAATCCAAATATTAGGGTTTTGGGTACATATCGATCAATATATTCAACATTTTTAGTGTTTTTGTGCTTTGTGAGATGGCACATTCTACCTAAAATAAAAATTAATTCTGCATCATTTTAAATTTGTCACCATTTAATTAAATAATGATTACATAAATGGAAGGAATCAAAAAGTAAGGAGCAGATGGATAGATAAAATAAAATAAGATTTACTACAAATGGTGTACAGATTTGAAAACATTTTGCTAAAGAATAGCATCTATGGAGAATTCATTTAGAAGGCCAAGGGTAGTAGTGCTATAATATAAAAAATATAATAATAATGATTACCATCTATTTTACTTTACACTGCAAAAGTCTTGATACTTCGTTCATCTGAAATTTGTACTTTGTTGTAGGCAAAGCTAATTATGATAATTCTGCTACACCTAAAAAAGTAAACGTGTATTGTTTTATAATATTCAAATTTACTATAGGAGGTTAGATATAATTTTCCAAATTTTATAAAAATTAAAAATAATTTTTTTTTAATCACCTTAGATAAACCTTTTCCAATAATCTACTACCTGATACCTATTTAAGGTTAGGGATATAGCCTTTTTTACATTATCTATTTATGAAAGTAAAGTATACATATACAAGTATAGTTGTACAGTTGACAAACATTTTATTACTTTCAGTAGTTTGGTTTTAAAAAGGAAAATAATACATTTGAACTTATAACTAACAGTTTGTTTAGCAAACAAAGCACTTTTTCAATTTTCAATGATAAATAATTAAATACAAAATGTTGAAATTAAAAAATTCGAAAATTTTTTCGACCAATGTAAAGTAGTAAGTCATGTGTTTTTTGAACTAAAGTTTTCTCAGGGTGCCCTTGAAAATCATTTAAATCAAAAACTGATTATGTAGAGTAATATTAGTTTGTATTTTGAAATCATAAAACATAAAACCGATATTGCCATTTTTTTTTTTTTATTTTAGACTGTTTTAAAATTAAATACCACTAGTCAAAAAACCTACATCTTTTAAGGTATAATGTAAATAATTTAGTGCAAAAATGTATAAAAAAAAAAACCTATACATTTATAAAACGCGAAAAGGAAAACTAGGTTATAAACTGAAATATGTATAAAATCAATATAAAATAAAGCTTTGATTTTATCAAAAAAAAACGCGATCCAGTTAATTTGGTAAATTCCTATTGTTTGCTATTTGGTTGGTTATTCAACAATTCAATGAAAGGTCCAGTTGTATATGTATCTGGCAAACATAACTCTAGTAGTACATACAAATTAATTAAACACCAAACGCACTTTGAAATAATACATTCAATAATGCAGTGACTTACCTATATCTTTTGAAAAAATGAATCTAGTTTATTTTCTACTTTTTTTGATGTAAATAATTAATTTTACAATTACACAAAATGGTTTCGTTTTAAAACATGGGGAAAAAAATTAGCAAGGAAATAATTCCATAAAGATAGTTCTGCACTATAACAGATGATCCATTTAAGTGAATACACTTATTATCTTGGAAAGTATTAACTTTTCTTGGAATTTGTTTTCTAGAACATTTAAGAAACCAGCAGCTCTACAATTTTATATTTGTTATTTATGGAGGTAAAACCACTACCTATTGTTGATTTTCAAATGACAACCTATATTAAAAATTCCATAAACACATGGAATATGTTACAATAAATTTTAATGTTGACATTTTTGATTTCTGTCAAGCCATTGACAAGATATTCCACTTTTAAGTTTGAATTGGAGGAGAGTAGCGGAGTATCATTTGTGTGGGGGTATGGCACGCGGCGTGTTAAAGGTACACGACCATAGGTACGTATCGGACGGATTGTATTACCTAGTTTACATTCAGCCCACTTCCGTGACAGTGAGCAGGGAAGTGAGCATAAAAATGGGCAGCACGAGTATGTAAACATGTTACTCGCACTGATCATGCTCCTCGCACTGACACTGCCCGACGCTCAAGTTAAGAGCAATGGGTTAAGGGCAATGTATACACTCACTGCCGTCGACACTGTCACCGAAGTATTTTGATGAGTAAATACGGCAGCGCCAGTAGCAATGGCAGCGGCTGAATGTAAACTAGGTATATGAAACGAATTTGAGAATTAATTGTATAGTAAGTTGTACAAGTCGTCCACTGACCGCATCGGTCGCATCGAACCGCATCGGTCGCATCGAACCGCATCGGTCGCATCGAACCGCATCGGGTCGCATCGAACCGCATCGGTCGCATCGAATCGAATCGGTTCGCAACGGATTGCATCGGTCCGAAGGTAATACCGAAGGGGCAACTTTTCCGACTGGTGAGCACGACATCATACTACGGGAATATGAATGTTACTGTAAAATCCGACCGTCACATCGGAAATCCGATTGCTACGAATACAGTGGATGCACTACCATAAATTGATCCGTATCATACGATACTTATGATGTGTACCTGAATAATGTACCACTACTCTCCTCAACCAAAAAACTTAAAAATGGAATATCTCGTCAACAGTTTGACAAAAATAAAAAAAGTTAACACCAAAATTTATTTTAATTAAATGCCATGTAGTTATGGAATTTTTAATATAGGTTGTCATTTGAAAATCAAAAATAAGAGTGACAAAAAATAACATTAGTATAAAATTGTAAAACTGCTTGTTTCTTAAATGTTTTAGAAAACAAATTCAGGAAAAAGTTAATACTTTTCGAAATAATGAGTGTACCCACTTAAATGAATCCTGGTATAAAATATCTCTTAATTCAAGTATAGCTAATTTCTTATTCTTGCATACCTACCTATCATTAATCCAAAATATTTAATACATTTGGCATTTGGACAATTTGATAGTGGGGCGTGAGGTGTGACTATTTTTTTTATATATGATAAAGGTAGCAGTGGCGAATCGCGGTTACCTCCATGGATGGTTACCTCTAACCATACGATTATTACCATAACCTCAATAACGACCGAACCCGACGAAATAACGATGTGCGTCATACAAAGCACGACGCGTACGGCATCCGCCATTTTTGACGCCCAAGAGTCAGACGCCTTTCTGTATCTGCATTTCATTCAGTAGCGTTATTGATTTATGAGTTTTAAATTTATTTGTTTTTATGAATTTCATCATATAATCAACCTATTTGTTGATTTTATGTGTTTTGTATTCAATACTTGCCAAAACAAACGGGATGGCGATGACGATCATTCAGTAATCTGAACATTAATGTAAGTATTACACAATAACGTTGCTGAACGCATAGTGAACATAGCGAACATAGCGATTACGGAACAAATCGACTTTACCACCTTAGACGCGAATTTCATTTTTATTTTTTATAGTCGATTTGTTTTCAATGCTGAAAACAATGGTACAAAAAAATAATAATTGCTGAAACGCTTACTTTTGAAGCTACAGCTATTAGGTACCTAACCTATCTACTTTAGCACCCCTTCGAAATGTTGAATTTATAATTTAATTATTATACATTTTGAATATATCTAGAGATTTGTCAAGATTACTCACTCACTCGCTCGCTCGGATTGTTTTATTTTAATCAAAAATAACCTACGATTTGTTGTGCAAAACCACGTTAGGTAGGTAACAGGGAAAAGCGATAATAATGTTTATTTTAATTTTATAAATATATACTAAATAAAAATTAAATGTTTTTTAATTTTATATTGTGTTAATTACCTCTTTACTTTATCTTAGCGTTCTTCAATCGCGATTAAAGTGGGTCGAACCAGTGCAATGTTAATTCTCTAACTTCAAAAGTAAAAGTTTCCACAATACTTTTTGTATTATTGTTTTCTGAATTTTAAAAAAAAAACTTAATTCGCGTTTGGAGTAGTTAAGTCGGTCTAAGCTGTAATTGCTTCCAGTCTTGATTTGCTTATTACCGCTAAACTAAATGAATGTAATGCCTACTTTGTAAATTAGATTTCCCTTAGTACCTATAATATATATGTCATGCTTCTGGGTGGGTCTTTATTATTCTGTAGGTTTCATATGTGTCAGAAAGTAAATTGTGTTGCTTTAACAGCCAAGTACCAATGGCACAAACTTAAAATTGATAAAGCTTATGATCCTACTTGTCCATTTTGGTTGAGGCAAACATATATAATCTATAGTGACTAATAACTATTATATAACTATTCATTCAATATATTCTTAATATGATACAGCTAGTTCTAAATGCTAAGTTGCACAACTTTCAGTATATACAGAGTGTTCAACGAATATATTATTATTATTTCAATATCTTAGAAAGTATTAACTTTTTTGAAATTTGTTTTTATAATTTTTATAAAAACAAGTAACTAAACCTAAAATGTTACATTACTATTGTTTTTGTCACCCTTATTTCTATATATTTAAAATTCCATAAATAGATATAGTATTAGTAGTTTAATTACATTTAGTGCTAACATTTTTAATTCAATCTGTTTACGAGGTGTTTTACTTTTCAGTAGGGGAAAGTAACAAAGCAGTAGGTATTCAAACGCTGCACGCCATTCTGCTACATAAATAATATTTCACTACTTTCCCCATACCTAAACTTAAAAGTGGAATATCTCACTGACAGATGCACAGAAATCAAAAATGTTAACATTAATTTAAGGAATTTTTGATATAAGTTGCCATTAGAAAATCAAAAGTAGAATAGGCTGCACTTCCAAAAATTAATGTTTATGGAGTATATAATATTTATTTTCAAAGAATATTTTGAACTTTGTTTGTTCGTCTAACGAAAATGTTTATTTTCAGCTCGATAATTAATGTAAACCTCTGCTTTATCAAAACAATATTACTATTACAATTTTAATTATAAAATATTTAACATAAAAAAATCATATACTGAGTTAATAGTTAAGAGCTCAAATTTTTAAAATTGTAATGCATACATAACATTGTTGTCACTCAAAAACTAAAAAGAATTATTCTCCATAGTGGTTTATTAGTAATGATAATTTGTTAGGATTAGTAATTTATTTTTAGTTTCAAAGTTGTTAATAATATAATTTGCATTTCACAAAAAAAAAAAAAACTTGAAAAATGAGCAGATAACGATTTCTCGTTGTTCATTTGGGTTTTTGGGTTGCCTTTATTTAAGCAGTGACCAAAGCAGCCAACTTATGTTATCAAGGCGGTTATACCACTTTAGCCATGGCTCAAACAGTCTTTCAGGGAATCCGCCTAATGTAACATTTTAGAATTACTTGTTTCTTAAACTATCAAAATATAATAATTCCCAAATTAATTATTACTTCCAAGATATTTTAATGATCATATCTTTATGGAACACATTGTATTAAGTGATTTGCTATTATGCATCACGAGTGTTATTGTAAATAACAGTAATTTTGATTACCTATCTGTTGACTATGGTTGATTGAGCTATAGCTTATGTTGTTAATAATTTGTTGCACATATAAACAACAGGTTATTTGTTATTTATTGAGAACTCGACACATATATATTTTTTTTTTAATGGAATTTAAATACAATATACAAGAATTTTAAATTGTTTTGTAGTCGATTTTAGTATAAATCAATGAATTTAACTAAATTATTAATGAACTATTTATTTGGATAAATATAGGACAAGTTTATTTATTTGTTGAATTATTTTCTAATTTGTAATTAAAATAAGATATATTTTTATATGATAATGCCATTACAGAGCATTTACTTAAATTGAGTTTCATGCTATTGTTTAAATACCAGTCACAAAAGTAATTCAAGTCTGATTGTAAATCTAAAGTATTATTAATTGAAATAATAGTTTTATACATTTTGGCGTCATCAACCAGAAGCAATATTTTTGAATGTTTTAATATAGAAGAAATGACATTAATGAATAATAATAACAATAAAAGAGAAATATGATCCCCTTGGGGTACTTTGATGGATATTAAAAGAAATTTTTATATTAAACGTTTTGTAGTTTATTAGATAGAAAAAATGCAAACCATGATAAGAGAGGATCATTTAAGCCCTTCTTTTAGATGATTTAAGATGTGATCAATTCTTATCTGGTAAACTTTATTGTGATAGAATTAAAAAACATTTTGATGTCAAGTGTAACTTTTAATTAATTTAGTTGTTTATAAAATATGACCTATATTGTTATTCATAAAGTAACATTTGTTAGACAAATAAAACATAAAATGTACAATTTAATGATTTTTTTTTATTTCAATCAACTTCAAGGAACATTTATTAAGATGTTGATTAGCAATCTATATTTAAATGTAATTTTATAAATGTAACTTGGGTGTGGATGTGGTATTAGAATATCTGATTAATACTGTACCCCAGAGGTAATGGAAGTAAATAATATATATCAGAGTTGGAATGTATCTTATAATATTACTAAGTTCATTTTTATTAATAACTATATTAATGTTTATAATAACAATATAGATATTTGTTTTACTTTATTCTAAATTTATAAGTCAATGTGATTTGTCAATTTTTTATACTAATTTATAAGTTTAAATACTTCTTAAAATTTAAAATGTACACTTTTATTACTATTTATTACTATATAATAATTTTAATTTCAAGGGAAAAAATGTATAAAATGTTTTATATGCCAATATTACCAGAGGTTAAATCACTGACAAAAATCAATGTACAAATATTTGATTATCATTGGGAAAATATTAGTATTCTGGAATTTAGTGTATACAGTATTGATCAGTGATTTATCCTTTGTATGTTATCAATCCTGCAATATTGATAGATTGAAGATAATATCTGATATAAGAAAAGATAAATTATGGTCAAATACTGTAACATTAAAATTTTATTTACAAATACATAAAATATATACTATCCCATATTCTATGATAATAATTCAGTAAGTCTACTATACAAGGGGAAGCTTATCCTTGATTTTGGTACTTTTTTATCATAAGTTAATGATGTGTTATAAAAGACTTATTATTAATAATAATTAATTGTTTTAACCTGCAGAGTCCAAGCACTAAAATATGAAAATCATATTTTTGATCAAATAAACATATTATTATCTGTTGTCCCCCAAGGTGCCCACTTGTCACTACTACTTTTTTCTATTTTCATTAATGATCAAAAATTCAATTGCTTTATATTTGTGGATAATACTAAAATGTATAAAAAAAAAAATTGAATCTTTGGATGGTATGTTAAAACTTCATACAGGATTAAATCAACCGATAACATTAGTGCATTGAAAATTATATGAATTGAATATAGACAAATGTGCCATTATCTCTTTCTTTTTTTTTAAAAAAAAAAAATGTTTTTTTTGATTATAGTTAAATAATTTAAATGTGTCACGTAAAGATGTTTTTAAGGACCTGGGTGTTTTATTTGATTTGAAACTTATTCAATCATCATTTTGATTACATTAGGAATAAAGCTTTTATGAAATTGAGATTTTTTAAACATATGTGTAAGGATTTTAATGATGAGTTGGCACTTAAAATTTTATACTAAATAAGTATGGTCTCATTTTGACTATGCTGCCTTAATTTGGATAACTTATAATATTGCACAAAATCAAAGTTTATCCTCAATCCAAAATAACTTCCTAAGATATTTATTGTATAAATGCCATAAATAAAAGGTTCCTGGTTCAGAATATGATATTACTTATGAATATATACATACTTATTGATATGATAGTTTTTTTAGGATGATGTCTTTAGATAAAATAATACATTTGTTAACTGTACATTTTTTTATAAATTATTACATAATATTTACTGTCCTAAACTTCTCGATCAATGAAATTTTAGATGAAGTCAATCATGTTAAAAATTAAATCATTATTTATTTATCCTTTACTAATTAATAAAAAGTACATGTTTTACACCCAAGTAATTATTCTTATGCCAGCGGGAAATTCAAATCATAATTTTAGATATATTCAACATTACCTAAATAATTTTTCAAATTTTATCCAATAAATACTATTTTACATTATTTCATTATGTACTTAATTTATTACAAATAGTTTATTTTGCATGGTAATTTAAATGTTCAACTTAATTTAATTATTTATCATTAATAGATTATTTCTTTCACAATGTTCATATAAACTATCACTTTACATTTTCAATTTATTATTTTGAAATTGGTAAAGAATTTCCATAAATATAATTAATATTATTGTTATTATCATTTCTATTAGACAGAGTAGACATAAAGAAACAAAACTTAAAACCATTGAATTACTTCCGAAAAACAATAATGGTCATTATTTTTATGAAACTTATACATTTTGTACCTATCTATTTCATTGTAATATAGTTTATTAATTTTGAACTTATAAATAATTAATTCAAATTATAATATAATGAAGTAAAAACAAAATTATTAAAATATTTAATACTCATAAATAAATATATAAATAAAAAATGAATGAATGAATGAGTAACCTGGAGTATTATGATAAGTGTATTGTACAACCAGTTTCAAATTAAAAATCCATCATTAGGTATATCACAGTCAAAATGTAAACCCCAACTGAATATAAAAATTAAATGGATACTTAGCAAAAAAATTATTCAATATACAAGAGATTGTTTGAAATGAGTTATATTATTAGACATATATATGTTAAGAAATATAAATAATTTGGTTATTATTTATTTTCTAAAATGTATTGATATAATAACTATTTTTCTTTGTTTCATTGTATATGTATAATCCATCCTTCTTAAACTGAATTAATTAAAATGTTATTTTGGGTACTTAATATTTCTAAATCTATAATATTAAAGTTTATATTATGGTTAATTATTAACATGTTTAACAAAATTTTTATTTGTCTTAGATACATACAATTTATTAAAGTTACATTTAAGTTTATATATACCAGTATTTTAAAAAGAAAGAATTTTTTGTAAGGTTTTTAGTCCTATTGTTTATATGTTTGATTAAATTATCATTAGTTTTAAAAGAGATTTTTACATTATTTGATATTTCATACTTACAACAGTTAACAACATTATTTGGTGAGTTGTCTTTTACACGTTTATGATTGTGTTTAATACTATTTAATTAAAATTAGTTCTATGAGCTATATTATAGATATTATTGAGCTTGTATTTATTTAATGAAATAAATTTCAAGTCTATAGAATATTGAATTAAAAAATGATATTATTGAGAATTAGAATCATGTGGAATTATAGCATTATTTAGATGTAGGGTTCCTGTAAATACTAAAATCTAATTTACTGTTTATTATGGAAATTAAATTTATTATTAATTTGTATTTCAGGTGTAAATTTAATATTTTTATTTATTTTATTTAAGTAGTGAAATCAAAATGTTCTGCTTGTCTATTTGAACATCTAAATAAAATGAATATGTCATTGACATATCTATAATATGCTTTTATATATAGACTATATATATTTTATTATTAATAATATTATTGGTTTCAAAATTTTGTATGCAAATTTCAGACAGAAGTGCACTTAAAGAACCACCCATAATTAACCCATCTTTTTGTGAATATAATTTATTATTATATTGGAATTAGTTTTGATTAATAATTAAATTTATTACGAAGTATAATTTTTTTTCTCAAAAAAATTTACTGTTTCATGTTTAGGAATGGATGTAAATTATTGATGTCAGAAGAAATCATTTTATAACATGGATCAATATTAATTTTATCAATAAAGTTAAATGTTTTTTATAGAAGTATTAGTATTCATGTTTAATTTTTCTTTTATGAGAAAATCTAAATATTTAGCAAGGTTATAAGCTGGAGCAATTTTTAAGTTAATAAATTGACGAATTGGATTATCTTGTTTATGTAATTTTATGAATGGATATGGAGCCTTTTTTTTGAAATCTAATTTTAATAATATTTTCTTTTGTGCTAAGTTTTGATTATTATTATTTATAAAATTTAAAAGTATTTTTATGAATTCCATTAGTATCAATGATAACAATAGCATTAGATTTATTTACCCAGGATTACTGCATACTCACTATCACTATTCCCACTTATTTCATTAATTTTCTCCAAAAAACTCACTTTTTTAAAGCTCTTTGAATTAAAAATTCCAAATTTGTTTAGTTAATTATGTTTTTACTAATATTTTTATTTATTTGAAAATTAATTCAACATTTTTTCTAGGAAAAAACGTAGTCATGAAATATAAATAATATCTTAATGTCATTATGAATACCTATGGCTCTAAAGTATATTATTATAATGATAACAAATAAACTTATAGAAAAATTTAAATTAGGTATCAAACTTGTTTTAATAATATGTAATATTATATATACTATATTCTATTATTAATTATTTTAATTTAGTTTTTTAATATAATTATTATAATTGTTGGGTTACATTTTTTTGTTTACATAATATACTTATTATACTGTTGTAAATATTAATAAGAATTGTCTTATAAATAGTATGTTATAGAAGTTATAACTATGGAATAAACAGTTTAAAAAAAAATAAGTGAAAATATTAAAAACTATATTTTTTAAAAATTTTGATTAAATTTCACTTAAATGAAAATAATACTCACTTATAAACAGCCTGATAAAATATTTAAAAAACAAATTCAGAAATAGTTCCAGTAGACAGGACAGTTACTTATTTTTTTTTCTTTTAAAATTAAGAAACTAATAATCACTTAAATAGCAGTCCTGTCTACTGGAACTCTTTCTGAATTTTTTGTTTTTAATTTATTCACTATTTCGTTACTAATTGTATTTTGTTTTAATATTTGATCAGGTTATTTTTTTGTAATTTTATTGGTGCTGTTTATTAAGATACATATTGTTTTACAAATGAAGATTCACATTGTATTAATTTTATTTTTTATTGATTAAAAGTTTAATATTTGATATGTATTGAATTTATCTTAATTTAATAAATTGTTATTAGCTTTATTAAAATTTATGGAAGTTAAACAAATAATTCGTTGTTGAAAAGAATGGTGGTTTTTAAGTTGTAATTTTTGTTGGATATAATTTTTAAAGTGTGAAATTTGTAAGTGATTTAAATTTTGAGATGCATTCCTTCATTTAATTTTTTATATTCATTTTTGTTTACACATTTCGATGGTAATATATCTGATCGTGAGTTTTTAATAAATAATAATTTTAAAATTTCATTATAAACAATGGTATGGGGTTTTAGTTTACTCTATGGTATATGTGTAACTCGGATCTAAGACAATTCAATTCATAGATATGGATGGCACCAATCTATATAGAAAATATCGATATATATGAGTAAAAAATATTTTATAAATCAAATTTCTATAATGTTTTTTTTTTTTTTTTTAACTTAACAAACTAAATTACCACTTGGATATCTACAGTTGGTGACAGGGAGGGGGTACTTTTAGACCATATACAATATAGGTATGTACATGTATAAGAATATAAAATATAAGTCTGCATATAAGCATACACACACTAAAGTCCATAGTCAATAGTGAGTCCTGTTTGGTTGTATTTCAATTTATAACATGCCAAAAGTTTGATGGTATTAATGATTTAAAATCATAAAATAAGTTCAACTGTAATTCTGAAAACATTTGCACAGAAGACAGAAATATTCTTAACAGAAGAGCCAAAAAAAAATAACAATTATTTATTACACTTATGCCTAGTTGCATAAAACTTTATTTTGTCAATTAATAGTTATTGGTCCAATAAATTGAATAAAAATTTAAAAATTGTGCACAAAGCTTCAATGCCTTATTTCAGCTATTTAGCTAAAGTTATATTTATTCTATAATATGACATTTATTAAAAATAATAAAATTTAATAAAAAAAAAAATATGAATTTTTTTACTTTACTTAAATTGTTTTATTATAATGTAATTATGATGGATGTAATTGAGTTTTCTTTGTTTAAAGATAAACCAAAACAGTATATAATATATTGAATAAAATATTTAAAGAACGTTTTTGATGTAACTGGACATTAACAATTTAAAAAAAAAAATATTCAATTCGAACACAGATAAAAACTATATAACTTTGAGGTCTTAAGATTAAAGTACAGCCAACTACAATTTCAAGAAGTAGTATAAATGCTGGGAGACTTCTACTCGAAAATAATAGTAAAATAATTTTTCTAAACTGCCCCTTAAAATAAATAATTATTTTTTTTAGTTTTTTGTATTTCTGTTTTCTATGCACATATTTCATAATTAAAGGTTTCAGTGCAATTGTAACCACTGTAATCTTTATATTTTTTTATAGCATTGTTTTTGATTTACAGTTAACACTTTAATTATCAATGTTAATGGACTATTAGCGTTTTCTATCTACCCGAAATATCACAGTTAGGCCTGTTTCACACGATACTAGTTATAGTGCTTTCTATAGTTAATTAGCTAGTCCATGAAAATAAGACATGTTTTATTATCAAAATAAATATACTGGCATTAATCATTGTACTATCACACTATTCTTACCATAGATAAAGGATAGGATATGCAACTCAAAACGGCCTGCATAAAGAGCTCTACAGAAACCATAATGATAACTGATACAAATTGGTTTAAGTGTTAAAATTGAAAAAAAAATGTACTCAACTTGCTCAAAAGTATGAAGTATAGAATCTGTTATGAAAGGTACTTATTAGTAAAGGAAGGGCTTTTTATTTACTTTTATTACTTCAAATATTAAAATTTATACCTGCTTAAAAATATGTGGTAGATAATTTAATTGATATCATTGTTCATTGGTATATGAGACAATGATGGATATACAGTATAAACTGATTTCCATAGTTGGTTTAAAATATTCAGTAACAAGTGTTAGTAAACCCGTACATAATGTATCGGTACACCAGTTTATACTAACAAATTTCTTAATGAAGATTAGAAACAAATGTTATTAATGTATTAATACACTTGCAGCAAAATTCTTGGCTGCGTTATCACTTAATAATTATATCAGATTTTTTATCATATCTGTTATCCTAATTTATGTCAATATTTTAATTTTATAGTTTATGTAGTAATTGTATCAATAATTTTGTCTAGTCATAAATTATGTATTCAGAGAATAGAAGATAAGGTCGGACAATTATATTTTATCAGCATTTCGCTTAGTGAGGCTAATTAATTTCCAAGTTTTACCACTAAAATTGAGTGATGCCCTACAGAATTATTTTGAGGTTATAACTTTATAATACTTTAAAATAATCATGAACCAGAGACATAATATATATTATACTAGATAGCCATAGATAATATAAGAATGGATAGACCATAATAATTTATCACAGGAGAACAAACATTTTTATAATTTTAGGTTACAGAGGGTCTTATCCATTAAGTTGTTAACTTGATCAAAAATAATCAATAGTTCATAATTCATTTTAGTTTTATTTAGTATGAATTAAGCTAGTTAGTTAAACTTAATTAGTGCTTTATAATTATTTATATAATCATTATTTATTATGTATTCATATTTTGAAGAAAAACATTCAAATTACATTATAACTAATAGTTATATATATTTTAATTAGAATTAGTAAAAATTATATAGATATATAAATCATAACTCTGGTTTATGAAAATGTGGTATAATAATACTCAATTGAATTTATCCATGTCTGAAATGGATAAGTTTCGTTAATTTGGCACCTGGTACGATTTTCCTTTATGTCATTTTTAATCTTTCTAATTTCGTAAAAAATAGTAAAATAATGATATCAAAATTCAAATACGAATACCTTGATGGAGTTGTTATCATTGTGAATTGATATAATCAATGATGAAACCCCATTATGTGTGAGTGAGTGATAAAAACAGTCTGTCTCTCATTCACATTTCGGAACGCGGTCCCTTATTATATTAATATAAGAGTGGACTATCCATTCTTATATTATCTATGTAGATAGTCCGTATATTATTGTATGATTAGATATGATGTCAAATGTCATTTATCTATTTATCTATATGATATTCACAATTCTCATATTATTTCAATTAAATAGTTTTTGATATTTTTTCATTTTCGACCAGATTACCTACCTCTGTAGTTTTTTTTCCTATGTGTTACCCAGAAATAATAATACTTACCTAACGAGAACCAATGGATTCCTTATATTTAATAAAGCTTAATTAATTACAACTGCTGACATGAATAATATCTTATTAAATAAAATAATTTGCATTGTTATATTTTGGTTTTTGCTTGTTAGTTTAGATTTTAAAGATGGCTGATCAACAGTTGAGGAGATCAAACAGAATAAGACATACAACTAAAGATTGTTCATGTTGTAATGAGTCTGATCAAAAAAAGAAGATAAGAAGAAAATCAAATGCTAAGTCTGATGCGAATCAACCCCCAGCCAAAAAATCACGCACAAGAAATTCCTCTGCAAATTCATCTTCTGCAAGTTCATCTTCTGCAAATAGAAATCTTCCTACAAATGAAGATCTTCCAACAGATGAAAATTTCCCTATAATTGAAGATATTCCTACAGATGAAAATTTGCCAATAGATGAAGATCTTCCTATAGATGAAGATCTTCCTATAGATGAAGATCTTCCTACAGATGAAGATCTTCCTACAAATGAAAATCTTCCTACAGATGAAGATGTGCCAACAGATGAAGATGTGCCAACAGATGAAGATTTTCCTACAAATGGAAATCTTCCTGCAGATGAAGATATTCCTACAGATGAAGATATTCTTACAGATGAAGATATTCCTACAGATGAAAATCTTCCTGCAGATGAAGATATTCCTACAGATGAAGATATTCCTACAGATGAAGATATTCCTACAGATGAAAATCTTCCTACGGATGAAAATCTGCCAACATATGAATATCTTCAAATAGATGATACTTTTGTTATAATTGAAGATATTTCTACAGATGAAAATCTGCCAACACATGAATATCTTTCATTAGATGAAGCTCTTCTTATGATTGAAGATATTTCTACAGATGAAGTTCTTCCTATTATATTTGAAGATATTTCTACAGATGAAGTTGTTCCTGTTATAATTGAAGATATTTCTATAAATGAAACCGCACAAGAAATGAATACTACTACTACAAATGAAACCGCACAAGATATGGATACTACTTCTACAAATGAAACCGCACAAGATATGGATACTACTACTACAATTGAAACCGCACAAGATATGGATACTACTACTACAATTGAAACCGCACAAGATATGGATACTACTACTACAAATGAAACCGCACAAGATATGGATACTACTACTACTACAAATGAAACCGCACAAGAAATGAATACTACTACTACAAATGAAACCGCACAAGAAATGATTACTACTACTACAAATAAAACCGCACAAAAAGTGGATACTACTACTATAGATTTGACTTCTGATGATGATGAAATTGATGAGGTTGAAGATGTCAAATCTACAGAAGTAGTTCCAATTAATGATAACTATAGAATAAAATATCCATTACCTGAGGGTAGTACAAAATATAATCATGGATATGATTTCAATGCATACAATAATTTAATAAACTCCCTGAAAGCTCATGGTCGTGATTATAAAATAACTAATCCTCATAAAATTCCAATCACAGCAGGCGCTTTATACGATACACTTAAAGAAACCCAATGGTTTAACGGAGATGTAATAAACCTATATTTTAAATTATGCGAATTCAATATTAAATCTGTGTATGCAGTTAGCAGTTATTTTTATGACTCCTATAAGACCAGGAATTGGAAAGGTATAAGAGGCTATTTCACATCCACAAATTTTTCAAATTACAAAATTATTTTATTTCCATTCAACGTGAATGGTAATCATTGGGCATTATTCTATGCCAACCTTGAGACAAAATCCCTGCTTTATTATGATAGTTACCTCACATTTAGAACAAAAATGAACATTACATTTTTAAAAGCGTTCTTCACATTAATAGGCTTGTCCAACCTATATCATGGAACCGAGCCATTAAATATCGAAGATTGGACAATAGGATTTGCCCCATGCCCACAGCAGAATAATAATTATGATTGTGGCGTGTTCACCTGTTGCGCAGCTACAGTTTTATCATGGGGAGGAACACCAGATTATACTCAAGAAGATATGTATCTTTACCGTCATGTAATAGCCTATAGAATATATGGACACTATAATAAAACTCCCTTAACTGAGGCTCCAGCATTCACCACCATTATGAACACAAAATAATTTATTATTATTTGTAAATATTAAATTTATTGACAAAAGTAATATTTAGTTGTTCTTTTATTTTTTAGTAAATTTAATTGAGTTTGAAATTAGTCCCTAAGTCTACATATTCAATTTTACAGTTTTTAAATGTTATAATAAGTAACACTTTTTATTAATAAACCAACTTTAAGATTAATTAATTTGTATTATGTTTCCTATCAATGTTATAGTTTTTATTATCTTAAAATATAATACTATAANAGTCTTATCAGTGTAAATATTAAATTTAATTGAATTTGAAATTAGTCCCTAAGTCCTCATATTCAATTTTACAGTTTTTAAATATTATAATAAGTAACACTTTTTATTAATAAACCAACTTTAAGATTAATTAATTTGTATTATGTTTCCTATCAATGTTATAGTTTTTATTATCTTAAAATATAATACTATAATTAAAATATTGATATAATAATCATTATGTATACTTTACTACAGTCTTATCAGTGTAAATATTAAATTTAATTGAATTTGAAATTAGTCCCTAAGTCCTCATATTCAATTTTACAGTTTTTAAATGTTATAATAAGTAACACTTTTTATTAATAAACCAACTTTAAGATTAAATAATTTGTATTATGTATACAATTTGGTACAATTTCATTTTTCAATTTTCTAAACTTTGTTTAAAAGTTTACAAATTGATCTCTTGGTACATTATCATTTAATTGTGAAATATTATATTTTTAAAAAATAGTATCCATATCCATAATCCATACTCGAACTTAATTTTTATATAATCTTCTTATGAAAGTAAGAACTAGTAATGCTAATTCATCATGCAACCAGAGGTGGAAGACCTGGGCCAGGGAGCCTGCTGTAAGGAAGGAGGGCGCCTCAATACAATAACCATTGAATTAATTGAAGGAAGGACATATAAACAAGGTTCTGCCCAAGGGATATACCCTAAGTATGTTATGCTGGCGACACAATAATACTTCTTCAAGTTAAAAATATTGGAAATATATATTCGAAAATGGGTAAAATGTTTTAGGTCATGGTTTGACAATAATTTACTTGCATTAAACTTAAATAAAACCATGAATACAATTTTTAATATACAGCATGTTAATATTGATAGAGATTCAAAACTTATTAATTGTTTGTTATTATGTTTAGAGGCTAATAAGTTCAACTGCTCGTGTACTGTCATTGAATGTACAAATGATATAAAGTATTTAGGGTTATATATTGATTCTCATTTAAAATGGAATGATCATACAGATTATTTACTCTCTTATTTGCAAATTCTTTTATATTTTTTTGAAATCTGAGAGATATTCTCCACAAAATGCATTTAAGAACTATATATATTTTGCTTGTACAATCAATTGTCTTTTATGGTATTAATATTTGAGGATGCACTTATGTTACCCATCTTGACAAAATTAAAACAACGCTCAACAAATTTATTTTAAAGTTACCTTGTAGTACAAATACAGTTTTTATTTATAATGATCTAAATGTATTTAACTTTGATAAATTATTTAAAAAATATTTGCTATTACTTTTATAAAACACAAACATTTTTTTTTCCTTTTGTGGTCATAATTTTAATACTAGATTTATGGTCAATGTAATGTAATTTTATAATATAATCATATATTGGCAATGTCCTTTTTTTATGTAATTCTAAGTTTTTAGTGCTTTAAGTGATATTTTACTTATTCAAATTTTCTTGATTACTTTATTGTAATCAAGAAATGGTTAGTACCTCATTCAGACATTATTATGAACTACAACTCAAACTCAAGCCCAGCTATAGGAGATATGCATCTAAAAAAAATTTTTATGTTAACTACAACTAATTATTTAAATTATGTCATGCAAACAAACAATGAACACCCAAGGAGAGTGTTATATAATATTGTATACTTTTTCTGATAGTCCAAAACTACATTATCTTAAAATGAATTAAATTTTTTTTTTTTTAAATATAAAACATAAATACCTACTAAACAAACCTATTACCTTCATTTGTTGTAATTGTCTAAATTCTAAATTACTCCTTTTAAACAAAGTACTTACCAATAACCAGCAGTTAGAAGAGGTCATTTGAATTGTCATTAAAGTAGTTCAACCAAAATCCATTTGAGAATACCATTATTTGTTCAAATTACTATTCTAAAAGTGATTGGTCCATCAAATCGCATACCTATAAAAAAAATAATAAGAATTATACACACATATATAATATGGGTATGTTTATTATCTAGTTCCTTGATAATTTCATCAACATAACATCCAAGTCTGGTGCAATAAGTCATTTAATAATTTCATTTTATTTGTCTGGTAGTACTAAATTTTAAAAAAGTGTCAGCAAACCCATCCAGTATCACAAACTTGCATAAAAATACTTTTAAACATACCCATTTTTTTTTTTTTAATAATATTCTTAGATAGCTATGAAAAGTATACTCATTGCTCCCAATATTATATTAAATACTACCTCAGCACTATCCACATAAAACAAAACAAATTGAAAATAGTTACAGTTGTAAAGAAAATGAATAATATAGTCATAGGTAATATTTAGTGTTTATGAAAATTTAAGAATGTTAGTATAATCATATAATGAATATCTATATGATTACATATAACAATTAGCAATGTAGCACCTTATGTGAAAAGTAATTTTGCCTAGTTGGTAACCTAACTAACCTAACCTTTATTGATTTTCCAAAAGGTTTTCAAAATAATTGGGAAAAACCGGAAACAAAATTATAGGTAAAATGGCAAATATTTACAGTTCGCCACAGTGTTACCGATTTCATTGTTTTTATTTTTGCAAACTTATGTTTTCAACCAGAAATATAGCATTAATCCAAAAATTCCTTTTGACCTTTTTTGTAGAATTTTGGTTAATAATCCAGTTAAACATATTCGTAGAGGTTTCAAATTTGAACAGAAAACTTATATTTGCATTTTCTAGACTTGTAAAATTTTCTAAACATTTTATGAACTATTTATGGACATTTTAACTTTGTAAGTTTTGTCCATAATTTTTATTAGGTAGGTATACTGTAAATAAAATTATTAGACACTTAGACCAAACAAAAATGCTTGAAAATTTAATAGGAGTTTCATTAGAAGTCGTACTTTGTGGGTAAAAAAAATTGATTGCAATCATGTAATTTTATATGAACTTTCATGTAGTCTTTTAAAACATATATGACCTAACTCTGCTCAGAATTTTTTTTTGTTAGCAATAATTAATTTTTGTGTATAAATAAAAATACATTAAATTCCCCCCTTTATCATAATAGGAACCCACTCAATTTCTCACCAATAATAGTGGCTCATCCACTGAAGCATTTCCGTCTTTTTTTAATTACTGTTTAACAAATTTAAAAAATATTATCATTGTATAAAATTAGTTGTTATTTACGAATTTATGATAGAATTTTATTTATATACATTGTAAACATTTTATGCGAAATACTATAATGATAAACTATGTCTTATAACTATGTATCTAAAATAATGTATATATATCTTATTGTATTTTTAATACAAATAGTAATATGTAGTTTTATTTATTAAACGAGGAGCCTAGAACACAAAGGGTATAAGTGACATTTTTAAAAAATCTGAGCCACTATAAAGTTCCCACTATATTTTGTGGTAAAGATAGGGTCTAGGCCAAATGAACGCAGCTAAAAAAAAAAAAAAAATAAGTAATAATAATAATAATAAAATAAATAATAAATAAAAATAAAAGGATATAATAATAACTGTATATATTAACTTCAAACTTTGAATATCTGAATAACGGCTATAAAATTAAAAAAACTAAACTAAAAATTAATTTTTAAGACTGTTGTAACTCAATTTACCAAATAAATAAATGTAACCATTTTCGATTAAAACACTTTTATTGTGATTTGATTTTAATAATGCCATATATTAGATAATTAATAAATAATTGTTATTTTATATGATAGGTATATAAAACTATGGACTGTACTAATGTGTATATGTTCACTGATGTCAGTTGACTAAATATATTTTTATTGTTTCTTGATATTGAAATTCGGATTCCAGTTGTCGATTCAGATAATGACCAAAAATATCTATCCAGTAAAATTATACAATAATACAATTTAATAATATGTGATATCCATCTAATAAGATTACATTAAACCAACATTTTATTGTGTCACAGTATTGATATAAAATGCAGTTATTCAGATATTCAGAGTTAATATTTAAAATATAATATGTAATAATAATACTACATACAATTATTATTGTATACCATTTTTTTTATTATTATTGTTTATTGCATTATTATTATCTTTTTTTTTTTTCGGCTCCAAATGGTGATGACCAAATGACACTCGCGTCCATATGGTGACGCCTAGACAGCTGTGTCCATACAGTCCTAAACTCAAAGAAATATAAGTGAATTATTCATCATATGCTGCAATCTAGTATCAAATACTAGATCGCATTAAAATGGCCTTCTATTAAAAAAAGCCATAATTGATTAGAAATAAATGGCGTTACATCATTTGGTCTGATAAATAATATCTACGGCATTTGATCAGGTTCAAAAAAAACCAATAAGACAATTATCAAACATAAAATCGTTGTCAAAGACTCGAGTAATAAAAGAAAATGCCCCAATTAATCCAAGTAATACCAAAAGTACAATTAGACCCAAAACATATAAATTAACTAAACAAAAAACCCAAAATTTTTTGGCACATGATAGTGGTAATAGTGAAAGTAGAATTTTAGTTTTTACTATTCAATTCAATTTAAATATACTTCAAGAAACGTATTACTGGTTTGGTTACGGAATTTTCAAATGTTTCCACCAAATTTCTCTAGTTATATAGGTACAATTCATTGTTATACACGTAGCTTAGTAATTCCATTAGTGTATACAGAGTGTCCCGCATAGATATATCCATTGCAATGTCTAGAAATGATCAAAATAATCAAAATCTGCTTTTTATATTACACACTGGGATAAGGACTATAAATATTTCTATTACAATTCATTTTTTAGGCTTTGATAAAAAACTTAAAAAAAAAATGACTTTAATTTTGAAAAATTGGAATATTTTACTTTATAGAGTTTAAATTCTTTTGAAAATGTTAACGAATTAACTTTATTTTTATTAAACTCGTGATTTTTAATTATTTTTTAAAGGCCAGCGAAAAATGTGTACAGCCAATTAATAATAATAATAATAATCAATTAGAATATAATTTAATGGCTTTATAAAATGGCTATCTTCACATTTTTTAAAAATAATAAAATAAAGTAATTTTTTTAAATTTTATACCAAAACATAAAAATAAAATGAAATAAATATTTGTAGCCTTTATCCCAATGAGTAATATATATATATATGTATAAAAAAAAACATAATTTGATTATCTTTATTATCTCTGGAGATAATACAATGGGTATATCTTTGTGGATCACGTTCTGTATATTAATGACTAGTACATACATATTTAAAGGGTATTGCTTGTAATTTTAATTTCTAAATACTTGTATTTTAAATTCCGAGCGTAGCGAGGGAGCTATAGGTTTTACTAAGATGTTTATTTTTTTTTTTTTTTCTAGTCTGTGGACACGTTTTTTCCTAGTAAACTTGCTCCGATTTTTACGTGTAGTAACTTTTATGAAAACTCAAGTTGTTTATATTGTACTTTATAGACGTAATTTTTTGATTTTCGACGCAATTTTTTAAATAAATGCACTTAAATGAGAAAAAACGTAGGAAAACGTAGTATTTCACGATTTCATTATTTTATAAAAACATAGACGACGTTTTTTACCAGAAAAAATGATTTAATCGAAAAATCAAAAGGCACTTCTTTTGATGCCTTTAATTTACTTTCTCACGGTATCATTGTCAATACTTTTTAGTCACTTTTGAATTTATGCTGTAATTCGGTTAGAGTACATATAGTCTTAAAACTTAGTAATAATACTTATATTGGACTTAACTAGACGTGGTAAAATTTCCAAAATCATCAGACGACTTTTTATTTTAATAAGCGTTTTGGAATCAAATTTAAATGAAAATCGCAAAAAAAAAAAATACGGCACTTCAAATTATGTATTACTGAACTGCGCTTAGAATCGTCTTTTGTCAAACAATTGTTTATCATTGCTTACAAATATAAATTAAATAATCTTATGTATCCTACCTTCCCAACTTCATACCTACAACAGTGGCCGCTCCCATCCCCAGTATAAACTCTATTTTTTATTTTTATTTTTATTTTTATTTTTACTTTCACCGGAAATAATATTATTTTATATTATGATGCCTTAAACCAAAGATTCCCAACCAGAGTGCCCCGAACTTAAATTTAGGGTACCGTAAAATTATTTGAAATATATTTTATTTAAAAATCGACTTCATGAAAAATATAGCACTGTGAGTAATAAAACAGACTATGGAGATCATTGAAAAGAAATAAGAGTATATCTTTCAACTATTCGACCACGAATAAAAGATTAGTGTAAAAAAAAACAAGCCCATGTCACATTAGTAACATTTGTTCCATAAGCTACCTAATTTTTAATTAATTTTGATAATCAAATTATATTATATAATAATAATTAAATATAAAATATATAGTTAATGTTCAATGTAATAATTTGTTTTATAAAATATAATATGTGTATATACCTACTACTATTATTTATATTAAGACACTTAGCTAAATAAAACCGAAGTTACAAAATATAAATTTAAATACACGATATATTACTATTTCGTATTCTGTATAGAGTATAAGCCATAAGGTGCCACCGGATTTTTAGAAAATAATTATCATTTAGATCCTCTAAATGAGCTTTAAATATGCAGTATCTACTAAAATATCGCCGAATACTAGGCAAATAAGCAGTAAATGATATATTCTATAAAAACGCAGTAGGTATAAGTTGTGTAGTGACTGTCTATACGTTTAGTAAATTTATTTAGTGGCGCGCATACTGCATATGTGTCTATACATATATATAAAAGCGAAAATAGAAATCTTTGTTACGGATTGGCTTCGAAACTACTTATTTAATCGTCAAGTAATTTTTTTTTAAATTAAAAAGGACATCATACAACAGATTTTAGTTATTAATTAAAATAAACGTGTTAATTGTATACCAATATACCTTAGCATAACACGGATAAAATGAAAAAAAACTATGTGCTGTACTGGGTTGGTATCTGTGGTATCTACAGTTTCTTTCCAATTATAATTTCCTATATGTACCTATTGTCTTCATTATCTAAGTCATTATAATACAGTTTATGACGTCTACAGTGAATTACGTTTTCGATGTATTACAATTTTTATTTGTTGCTGCGAACAGCCACAAATTGGAACGGACAACACCGGGCGAGGGACAGCTAATATTCTATGTAGTAACCTTAGATTATCTGGCCAACAATAAGCAGTATATACATGTTAATAATTAAATGCCAATACTTTTGAATTCTTTTAAAATAAATTTTACATTTTATAATTCCACATAAAGTAAACATAATTCAACGAGTTTTTTCCTTATTTATAGTAGAGGTAGAAAAATAAACCATTGAGCGATCAAGTATTATTTTATCGCGGATCAACGACACTCATCAGATTATTTTTTCTAAAATAATAAAGACTATAACGAACACTATTATACACATTATCACATGCGTACATACATTTATTGCACTAAAAGGTGCTTATGATAAATACAATTTTTTTTGTAAAAGCATTTTATCCCCCCCCTCACAAATGTAACCAAATTACGCCACTGATAAATTGAATCAGTGTGTCACAAATCAATGACTCGAAAATTCAGTACCAACATTATAAACCACTAAATCAACAATCTAAGCCTTTAAATGAGTTGAATCAGTAAGGTCACCAAATCCATTATCGTAATATCGTCTTATCAATTTCAGTGTAATACTGTTCCTATAGAAACACGTTCAGCTATCAACAATATAATTTGATTTGATTAATTGAATTTAGGTTCAAATCATGACCTGTTAAAATATGATTTGACTTATCAATTGAGAATTAATGATTTAATGAGTTGACTTGATGAATTTACTCACTTAAGTGAATTGAATTGAATGAATTGATTCATCAAAGTGAGTCATAATTCCCATATCTACTGTCAATACGTCTTCAATAGATACTACATACCTATTTAGTTTAAAAGTTGTCCTATGGTATACCATAGTTTATACACAATCTGTTTTGTTGGTAACTGGTAAGATAACGAATATTTTTTAACTAAAATACGGTTTGGATGAAATATTTTCGATGAATTTATTTTTCAGATAAAATACGTTCCTACTGAAATACTTTTCAGATACTATATCTTCGGATAAAATATTTCCGGACATTATATAGACCCTCGTTTATATATAAGTATATAACAACTATTAGTACTATATTAATTCATGTTGGTAACAAGTAAATGATAATTTCAATTTCCAAGGTCAGAGTCGTGATTGCCATATTGCCGCCAGTGGAGAGCATCAGCTCCCACCTATTACTGTGAAATTAACCTGGCGACAATACCTACTACTAGGTAGGTACTTAAAGAACAAATAGCAGCAGTGATCGGCAATGGCCGACTGCATAATAAATATTTAATGGAAAATAACATTTACTACAATATTGTAGACTCTCCAGCGTTCCCAGAGATTTTTTAGATGACTGAATAATTAAACCCTGTACAAGTATAAGGAAAATAGTATTAAGTAATTTATAATTATTTTAAAATTCGATTAAACAAAACATTATAAGGCCGAAATGAAACTCAGTTGTTTATTTTGTTTTTTTCGTAACCAATTTTCTTTAGATGCTTAATTAACTTTTTTACGCTGGGTATGTTGACATATTCGTTATAACGAATATGTCGTTATATATATTATGAATAATACGTTATAATTATATTGTGTATTATGTAACAATTATTAAATGGGTATGCCAAATAGATACGGTAGGATACATAAGGATGGATATTTACGATACGTACTTTATAAATTATATAAGCTGTAATATCCCATATTACTTATTATAATTCACTAACTTTACTCTCGTAGTATTTTATTTCAGTGTACAGGTAAAAATGTAAAATAACGGGTGATCCATTTAAGTGGGTACATTCATTATCTTGGAAAGTATAAACTTTTTCAAGAATTTGTTTTTCCAGAACATTTAAGAAACACGTTGCTCTACACTTTTATATCTATTTTAGGTTAGGTTTATTACCCTTAAATTTGGGTGTAAAATCACTACCTACTTTTGATTTTCTAATGGCAACCTATATTAAAAAATCCATAAACAGATGAAGTATTAGTTAAAATAAATTTTGGTGTTGGAATTTTTGATTTTTGTTAAGCCGTTGACAAGATATTCCACTTTTAAATATGAGTTGGAGGAGAGTAATGGAGTATCATTTGTATGGCAGTACGACGCGTGGCGTGTTAATAATACACCACTACTCTCCTCCAACCCATTCAACACTGATAGGTATACATTTCCACCCACAATTTATTTATACATTTTGACGGAAATTTTTAGTCTCATTTAAATACAAATACTGGACTATTAATTTACGTTAAATATTGTATTTTGTCAAAAATGTACATTTTTAAATCAATAACTATTTGAATTATATAACACACATTAGGTACATATATAAAAAAAATGGTTTGAAAAAATCGATTAGATACGAGCTATAAACTACAATTGTGTCACGGTGATAAATCATTTTTCCGATCCTATTTATGTTCTTAAAAAAAAACTTTGGGACATTAATTAGCTACCAAATAAAATGAAAACGTTTAACACAATGATTGGTAAATTAGTACCTTAAGAATTGTAGTTATTTATTATTTTATTAAATTTATAATAGGTTCAAAGAATAAAAATAATTTGGAAGTAAAAAAAATGGGATATTTGTAGTTTAGTATACTAGCGATTTTTATAAAAATATGTTTTTAAGTATACCCACATTAATAAAAGAAACCTGGACGAAATAACTTCGTTTGGAAGTTATGATCAAATACTTCAAAAAATTCGGTTTTTCCATTATTCGCCCATTTCTTAATTAAGAATGAATAGGAATTATTTTCAAAAACAATTTCCTTATGAATTTTGAAAAAAAAAGTCTGATATGCTAAACGAGAATTGTTCTAAAAATAAATAAATAATATGTTGAAAAAAATACCAATTTAAATAACTTGAGTTGTATAAATCATTCATATTTTATTCTTCACCATCACATGTACAGGGAACACATTTTTAAATTACTGTCGTAAAGAATTTGTATATAATTTTAATTAATTTAAAATTAATTTTAATTAATTTAAAATTATAAATATATAAATACTCACAGTTCACTACTGAAGTTTAAACTGAAATTAAAGGCGTTCAAGAACAGTCCACGTTAAAATGGTTATAGTTAACAAATACATCATGTATCTAGACAATGCCCTATTAGAAATTCCAAAGAACAAGTATAGCCAACATAACGAACTTAACGTAATCATTTTAGGCTACCATTACAACTCTCACCATTATAACTCCCACCAAATTATGATTTTTATGCTGGATTCTATAATTCCCACCAATAAAAATCATAATCGTAGTAGTTTATTCCTTGGCAACACTTATAATTCAAGGTTCTCAAACTGTGATACGCATACCATACCTAACCACTGAAGGTACACAGAAAGCCATCTGGTAGCAGTACAGAATATAATTTATTACTAATTTATTATTTAATTTTTTTTTTCATGTTTGAACCGACAGCACTAGCCACGATTTTTATTTTGTGTTAAAATTTAACTTTACAACTTTATTGTGCGAATATGGCATATAACACATAACATATACTTAATAATTATCTATATGTAACACATTTCTTGTAGACATCTGATGCATAACTGCACAATACAGTAAAAAATATAATTTTCGTCATAAATATGGTTAAAGGGCATCTCCCAAAACACCCCCCTAGCTACGCCATTGTACTACGTAGTAAGCAAAAATGTTTAAGAACCTGAATTAAATGGCTGACCTCAAAATACCATAGTAAATAGAATAAGAGGGGGCTTAAAACATGTGCGAAAGTTTTTTGCCTGACCAATAATTTAATCGACAAATATATTGTGAGAACCGTATTTAGGCCAACAAATATTTGGTTTGAACCAGGGGTCTGTTCTACTAATACGTATTCGGCGTGTTTGGTATATTGAGCATTATTAATATTATAATGCACTGTTTACGTTCAAAACGACAGTTTATCTAATCGTTTTCGGTGCAATTTACGATTACGTAAATTACGCAATAGTGGAATCGACCCCTGTACTTAATTATTTATCCGAAACGTATTTCATCAGAAATAAATGCAAATAAAATATGAAGTGGCTGTTTCCACGTCTGACGTGTAAATGTGAAACTTGTTTCATACGTAAATGGAAAAAAAAACTTGGTGTGAACACTATAGTGTACAAGTGTTCGGTGTGTTGTGTTGTGGCAATTCAAAACAAACGTTTCAGGTGTAGAAAGTGAAAAAGTCAGCTGGTTGTCTTCGTCTTAAACAACACACCATTATTGTTACGGCATACTGAACTGTTAAACACTTTCATTTTTATTGTAATATTTAAATCGGAAATGTTAGGTAAAATATATTTTTATTTTTATTGTAGCCAATAGGTAAATGAAGTATATGAATTTTCGCAAATCGCTTAATGTAGTTAGTAATTTAATCTCGTCATGCCGTCATACTGTCGATAGCCGTATAGTGATAAAAAATTATATGATGACAACCTGGTTCCACACTAACTCATTTGATAAACACTTTTTAAAACAAATAACGTGTACCACGACACTTTTTGAAAACAAACACTTTGGTGTGAAACTATTGTACACTTTATGTACACTATTAGTTAAAACGAACAAAGCTAATGTAAATTCTGATTAATGATACTGATATTGCAAAGCGCTATATGGATCCCGAAAAAAAAACCACGAAAATAAAAACTAAATTTTTGTTATTTTTATGGATTTTACATAGGTGCATATTTTTAATTATTACTGTATTTTTCGTACAAACCTGAATATGGAGTTATGTCTATATTTTTCTAAAAAAATAACAAATTTTTGTTAGTTAGTATACATGCAAGTATTGAATTTATATCTGTAAGCAATGATAAACTATTGTTAATGAAAAACGATTTAAAGCGAAGTTCAGTGATACACATTTTGAAAGGCCATAATACTTACGAGTTTTGTCAAAATTTGATTATAAAACTATAAAAAAAAAAAAAAAAAAAATGCATAAAGAACAATTATTTTTTTTTGGTAATTGATAAAACTGATAGATCTCTAATTCTCACAAAATAACAAAAATGATGGCACATGATGGTTGTACTAATTTCTATAGAAGCCAAGTTATAATACAATAGTAATTAAACAGCCGCTGTCTAGTTTATTATTGATACCTGTGAGGAATAATAGTGACGATCTGCCGTCTGATAACAAAGTTCAATGATATGATGTAAGGAACGACTACTACCATGTGATGAAAAACTCGTACCTCAAATTCGGAAAAATTTGGTTTCATTTTCGGGGCTTTTTTTCTTTTGTTTTTTCCTTTTACCTCGCTATAGATACTATCAACCATAGACCACAGTATTGTACTGACCACTTTGGTTATATTATTTTATTACATAGTTATTTACAAATAATTAACTATTATTACATGGTAATAAATAAAAACAAATACAATACTTAAAAAATAAAATCGCACCATGATTTAAGTTAATGTTCATTATTTTGATTTAGCTATTTTATATTCAATAATTCATATTGAAATACGGTACCTATAAGTCTACTTTACCGGACATCCTTTGTTTATCAATTTTTTTTTATTTTTTGAAAACATGTGTTTTTTTACGCTTATTTTGCAGTTATTTGAATTTCTTTGCGGAAATCATTATTAAAAAAGTTATGAAGGTTTGAAGTTTGTCGCTAATACGGTTTTAGTTTATTTATCTTCTTTAATTTTAGTAATTTTCAAAATTGTCCGTGGCGCATGGGATAACAAGCACGTACAAAAAAAGTGGTTGTCGTGTTCGATACCAACTTAACAGTCAGAAAATTTTTGCCCTTTTTTTTTTGTAAAAAACACACTTGTTTAATTTCCGTAACAACATTTTTATTTTGTTAAGTATAGTCAATTATGTCATGCATAAATGTATCTGTCAAGATCAGATATATTCACCTGTGTTTCGATTTTTTTACTTGAGGGGCTATATAATTATAGTGACCAAATATAAAAAAACAAAAAAAAGTACATTTTAAAGTGTAGGTCCTCCATTATATAAAAAAAAAACTCTAACTCTCCCTTGAATTAGTCCACGGGTTCTCAAACTTTTGAGGTCCATGCCCCCTTTAAAACTATTGTGTGAGTTTACGTCCCACCCCTCACTATTATAAGATTGACGGATGTATATTTATTTATGTATATATAATGTTTTTGTTTAACATCTTCACGCTTCTCTAGGGGGCGCGCCCTCTAGTTTGAGAACCGCTGAATTAACCAATGTGTGTACTATTCTACCCATTTTTCCCATAGCTCATCTCCATCTATATATACATTTTTTTATTATTATTCTATTATTATTTTTTCTATTATCAACTATAAAAATTAATTATTTAAAATCACAATGTAAACTCATTTGGTTTGTGTCTTTATGATGAAAATACTTTGAAATTTAAATTAACCACGTAACCACATAATATTACTATATTCGAGAGAACGAAAAGTAGCCGCTGGTGATTATGATGCTAACCGTATGATGCTAAAACGTATTTTTTGTTCGTCAAACAATTTTTCTCCAGTTGTTGCTACCGTTGACAGTCACTTGCAGACGTTTGGAATGCATTAGGTCGAACCATAAAATATTAAAATATTAATAAATTATCAAATAATAAAAAATCATATAAACCTGTATTAGCCCATATTTTCAAAAAAAAAAAAAAAAAAAAAAAAAAAAAAAAAGGAGTACAATTGCATACACTTAATATTATTGTTAAGGACATAGGGCAATCGATAAAAAAGAGTACTGTCCTACGAAAAAGAGTATGTCTGGTCAATATACACATAATGTTCGGAAATATTTCAGCCGAAAATATTTTATTCGAAAAGTATTTCAGCCAAACCGTATTTTTAGTAAAAAATATTCATTATCTTACCAGTTACCACAAAAACATAATTGTGTGTAAACTGTGGTATACCACAGAACAACCTTGAAATTAAGATAAATAGGTATGCAGTGTCTATGAAAGGCGTATAATTACTGTCTAATAATTTGTATTCAATTCGTCGAGAAGAACTCCCACTTGTGGTAGTGACTCTAAGTTCTTTTATAAGCATAATTGAAAACACAGATATCTGTGATTGAAAATGCATCTACCCCATAGACCTTGTACTAATAGACTGGCCTTGCCTATAACTAGAGTAGCTGAGGTAGTAACCGGTCAGCATACTATAGAGGTGTGCAGTATAATCACATCAATATTGTCATTGTATGTGTTGTACAATTTACAATAATACCACGTAAAAGTCACTAGTCACACGTAAAAGCACCCTCTATCTATGACCGTTCTACGTGTACAAAAGGCTTGTCTATTAATATAAGGTCTATGATTTATCTATACGATACGGTGTGTTATCTATAAATACAGAAATACTTTAAGTATTCCTTATCTCTTTCTAATTCACTAACAAAAAAGGTTCCGATGAAATATGTTTGACTTAATGATTTTTCGGACATAATACAGTTAGGATGATATATTTTTGTCTAAATTATTGTTCAGATGAAATATTCTCAAGTAAAATACGTCCGGACGATATATTTTTCGCATAAAATATGTTTCTGATCATATATTTTTCGGATAAAATATTTCGAATATTTGATGCACTCCCTATTTACTATTACCATTATTAATGTTACGATTAATCAGGGGGCAGAAGATTCGTATCGGACGTGAAAGTGATAATAATAAATATTATATAGTTTTACGTAGGACGTGAAAATAGCCACTGCCAATGAATTATTTTAGCAGTAGCCATAGATTCCGACGCATACAACACAAGAACGTAATACCGTAATCAGGAAAAATAATATTAATAATAATTAATGATTTCTTAAATATTTGTATTACTCCGTAAAGTAGATGTTTTTACGTTATAAGGATTGAAATGAAAAGTTTATAGAATGACCATAAAATACTATTTGGATATGAATATTATGAACTTCTTTCAGTCATTCAACTGATACAATATCAGGTTTGTATTGGTAAAAAAATAAAATCCAATTTAAATTAATTTAATTTATTATTGTTATTATTCATTTTCTTATTCTATTGTCACGAAAGATATAATGGGCTTATGATAACTGAAATAGCCGCGAGACTTTTAATTACATTGTGTGTGTGCGTGTTAGTGGTAGGGAAAATCTAGATTTCGGATATTCAAAAATCCAAATTCTTGGATTTTAATCATGACAGACTTAATTTGCTCAGGATATGTTATTATTTGCATTCACATATTAAGTAATGGACCCATATTTTTTCATAATCAAGGGAGTGACCCCTGATAACATATTAAAAGTTAAAATTTTAAATGACCAAAATAAATCGAGGATTACATTCATGGAAATAAAAGTGGTATATTCTGAAAGAGGAGTTTGACCCGCATTATATATTAAAAGTTGTTTAGAATAGTTCCGGCCACCGAGCCGACGACTTACGACCGAGGCCGACCGTGACAGATTTTCAGTTAAAACGGCCTTGAAATTTTACTCCCAGCACGCGTAAAAAGGTTTCACTTCAAAAATGGAGGGGCTATATTTTAAGCGAAAATATTGTAGCCGACAATATTTAATCCGACAAATATATAGTCCGAACCGTATTTTAGCCGACACACATTTCTTCCACTACAACCAACATTACGACAAAACTGGTACGGTAGCGTCGGTAATTATTGCGCATATAGCAGAACGTTGGTTGTGGTGGAGGTGGATTTGTCGGCTGAAAATACAGTTCGGATAAAATACGAGTCTGCTAAAATACGGTCGGCAATTATACGATTCGGATGAAATATTCTCGGTTTTTTAATTTTTTGTTTCTATACCTTTTAAAATATTAAAATAATACTTGGTATTCATATTTTTGTGATATTTAAATAATATATTGTGATACAGGCCTATATAGAATTATTATAAGTATGCCGTGATTTTAATCGATAAGGATAACGAATGCAATGCAACGAGATGAATTTATTCTGCTGCGATAAAATGGCTTTATTACGAAATGTTTCGCAGTATCAAATATCACAACTGTTGTTTTTAAAATAAAACGCTAAAATAAATATTTTATGGCAAGGTGGATTAACCTTGTTTTTTGGTTTATTTTTCATAAAAAAAAGACAATATTAGAATGCTAACCAATAATACTGAATTGTATTGATGCTTTTAAACCGTGACCGCGTTTTATTGCGTCTTAAATTTAACCTAAAATTCCTAAAAGTCTATTCTTTATTGTCTTCTGTACATCGTAGATGTATCTTCATGTACATGTGACTCACTTTGATGAATCAATTCACTCAATTCATTTCACAATGACACGACTGATCAACTTCACAACTGATCAAATCATTAATTCTCAATTGATAAGTTAAATCATGTCTCAACAAGCAAGTTCTGATCGTCGCGACGGTCGAAAATAAAAACATTTCATTTTTCGTCTGTGTATCGATTATCGACATCGCTTAAAGAATTTGTCTGGAAAGCCACGTAGAGGCAGATAGGTTCTAAAATATCCAACGTCATACCTTTGTTTATTAAACCCGAGCACCCATATTTTTTTTGGTTTGAATGGCCCAATTATTTTCATTAAAAACCAAAGGACAAGATCGTCCTCGGAGTCACAAACTTTAAATTAAATATATACTGTTAAACACTTCAACAAATACTTAACTGATGATAACGACAATAAGTAGTAGAATACAGATGATGAGGATTAATTTCGATGGGGAAATAGTTACCGATACTGACGACATTTGTCTTCTATTTTCTCATAAATCATGGGATGGTGTATACGAGAAAGCCTGCAGAGGTTTCAGTCGGATAATTAAAAGTTTAAATGTTAGAAATTTATCTTTAAATGTTGATAAAACTGTTTTTATGCCGTTCTCTATTAATAAAATATCTTTTAACTGCAACATCT